TTATCAATAATGTCAGACTGAATGTACTGCACCGGTAAATTTGCATGCACCGCTTGAAAGATTAACCAAGTCTTCTGTGAGTTATTAAAACATAGTTAAACTAGTTTTCTTAGATAATATAAGTCTGATTAGAATATTAAACCATATTTTAGAAACATTATTCAATTTCTGTCTTTGACTAAATAAAAAAAAATGTGTGAGGGATTAGTCTAACACTAATTTTGATGCTGAAAACAGTACTTTGTTTACTTTATTTTTGTTCAACAGTAAAAGTATACAATGAAAAACAGTATGATACTTTTTCTAGCAATATAGATGGCACCATAAGATTATCTGAACAGATGTCGACTATTGGTATATTTAGGTAACATAACAGACAACCTTTAATTATTTGAGACTATCATTTGTTCAAGATCATTGCAACGCAATCTCCCTCCCTTACTACTTTTATAGTAAAGCCAGTAAAGCTCTGCACAACCTTTACCAGGAGAGATATGGTACTTTGCGATATTATTATAAATATAGAACAAAAGACGCCACTTAGAAAGTTACACCAATATTGAAACGTCGATTTATCATTACCCTAACGAAAAATTACATATCACTTCTCAAACTGTTCAATCATTAAAAATATATCAAATATTCTCAAACGTCAAATTGAGAGGTGTTGACTTAATTTGGTCGGATAATGTTTAAACTTGGTACTAAATATAGTCCCGTTTTATATTAAGACCGTATAAGTAGAAATAAATATTAAATTCTCTCTGTTGTAGACATTATGCCACATTTTTTGTACGTGTAACTAACTTGTATGTATTTATTCGAAGGGAAACCATGAGAAGTAGGTCCGTAGACGTATTGTTTCAACCATTGTACGCGAGAATGGAAAATGTAGACAGTTTTTTTTAACACAACACAATTATTCGGAACAATTTAGCGAAATCTCACACTGACATTCTTGGTAACTCTCGTAATGTTCCGGTACGTCGCATATAAGTTACGGCGTTAGACTTTTAAAAGAGCAAAAAAATAATAATTCAATGAAGTTTCAGTTATTATTACCAAAAACATAAGATATAGTCCATGACGCCGATTTATTTTCGGTTAAAACATTTTAAATCATGTTTCAAACTGAGGTTTTTTTATTTGTTTTATTAAATTTAGTCGTAATTATTAGGTTCATTATCTATAAAGCTAAATTACCCCCGCGAGGATAATTACCCTATTTTTAGAACCACTGCCCTAGAACATATGATGGTTGATTAAATTAACCATATCTGTTTATAAATTAAATAGTATGAAATATACAATCATAAAAGTTTAACATTTGTAATATTAGTTGATATATAAAAACCCATTTTTTTTCTGTAGTTAATAATGTACTCAATAAGGAATAGCCATTAAAAAATCTTTAAAAATAGTTATTACAATCATTGAATTAATTAGTTATCATCTAAGCCATCACGAAACCATCAATCTGATTCAAGGTTAATTTCGTCATACCAACAAAATTTCTATCATCTGAGGTCATCATACCGAATGAAAAAAAACGTAGAGCATGTCAAAAGTTTGATTACGGCCTAATCGAAAATTTGAAGTATGAGGTTCTTGTTTTAAGTTATTTTTTTATTAAAACGGCAAAGGAAGATTCTGTTGATCTTTTCTGAATAAGATTATTTTTTCTAATTTATCAAGTCTCGTTTTGATTGCGATTTTAATTTCATTTTATTTCATTCATTTCATTTCATTTCATTTTCATTTCATGTCATTTTATATTCCTCCCGGGACCTCAGAGACGGCGACACCTTGAAACCGGCGTGCGAGCCACTCTGTTACAGAGGTCGTCAATCTATTACAAAAAATTTAAACTGCAATTAAAAGATGATGAATCATCCACTTTTACTTTACTGTTTGCACAGATAACATTACAAGAAACGTTACACCAATAAAAAGTTCGATGAACTTATAAAAATAAAACAATTTTATGGAAATTACATGTACAATACTTACATATTTATTCATCTTTTCCTCGGCTGCCAAAAAGGATTATTGTCTTTTGAATACATTTTAGATACAATAGTTCGTATCAATCACACCACACAAAAATAATAAAATTAAACTCAACTCTATCTGTTTTAGAGGATAAATACTGTTATGACATTTATTACGATAAAAACTTGGTAAAAACCCTAACAATGGACTTATAAAGTCTGCTATTTTATTGAAAAAATAACATCGGTGCATTTCAAAGTTTTGTAAATGTGCCCCAGTACATTGACCCCATGTTATAAGAAGTAAACATCACGAATGCAAATATAGTTTGTATGTATTTATTATCATCTTACCTACTTAATAATCGTACTTCGCTTCATTTGCGAAGTACGATTGTTAAGTCATCTCACTATGAATAGTGTGGGTTAAGAGGCATTATTAAATACATAATTATCAGCATTTATTTGAAGTGATTGAAAATTAAATCAAATCCAAAAACATGAAAATAACTAACGTGACAGAGACATAATGGAGTAAACTTAAGAGCGTATTTTATTGGTATTACTTTGATTATACATTTGTGACTATGGAATAACGTTAAACCATTGCAAAATAAAATAAGATTTTTAGATTATTGTATTTGATCAATTTTTCATTCACAATGCTATACTGGAAAATATTATTAATGAAAAATGCTTAAATATTGAAGTGTGAGAAAGTGAGAAAAGTAATTTACTTTAGAGAGTGGTACAACAGAATCGGTATCATTGTCTTGCTTTGAAACTTATACGCTATTAATATAATATTACGCATTTATGATAATTTTAATTCTAATATTAATGTAGAAAAAGCAAGTAAAGTATGACTTTAGTGGCATAATAATCTATGCATCATTAATTTGTTCGTCTCAGCGAGTAAAGTCACGCATTATTTTTATCTTATCCGACCATAACGACGCCTAATTATTCCTACTACAGTAGACTGTTTTAAATAAAGTTGTGGTTTTGATACGAGTGAATAACAACTAAATCATTTTCGATGCTCCAACACGAATTGGAATACAATTACCTATGTTTTTCATTTATTTGATAACTGCGTGGGTATCTTCTGTTTGTGGTAGTACATTTCAAATATATATATATTAGTTAATCAAATATGTATATCAATTAGGTAACGATAAAATTCATCTACCTGTCTATATGAATTAGTTTAGGATAAGTGAATATATCAATTTTAATAAATTGTCTACGACATTTTATCTTACCTGTTATAAATTTAGTAATGAAAACATGATTTTAATTAATTTAGTAGTACCAAAACGGTCCACTAAATTCCATGTTACGTACTCCTGTAAAAAAGGTTTTATTAACAGCATACTAATTACAGCCAACACTAGAGCACGGTAGAATGCACCTCGGTCAGCTATGTGTAATTAGCATAGCCGCGACCGGTCATACAGCACGGTAACTGTACATTTATGAGTTGCGCACCCGCGATAGCGCATTCTGCAGCTGTTGTTACCATTTCGGTTATTTAATAGATCGTCACATGAATATTTAATTAATCGACAAAATCTCTTCACTGATAAAAAATCGTGGATTCCATATTTAATCTTAGGGGTTAATCTCCGATGGGTGCCTATTAACAGTTTGAAAATCGGTGTCATATAATATGTGATTTACTTAATAAACTTTCGTTCCGAGGTCGCTTTGATATGCTCCTGATGCCAAGTACGTTTGAAAATATATTATATATACTTATTATACTCAATAGTATTTCGTAGTCCAAGAATGATGTTAAAAATCTATGTACCTAGTCCAAAGTACAATCCAACGATCGTAGAGTATATGAATTGTCTATGGATGCATTTTCTACTTTCTCATGTTTTTAAATGCTGTGTGCGTTTTAAACTTTCGCACACTTTCTTATCACAATCTAGCGCCGTTTTATAATTCTTCTTGCGAATGAGTATGGCATTTGTGATTCGTGTAGGATCTATTTCAGAATAACAAATATAAAATGAATATACTAAAGCCTAATATTGATATAAAAATCTATTGCAGCTCAAAAACCACATAGTTTACAAAAAGAAAAATAAATTTAACTGGCTGGAAGCTGGTAAAAGAATACAAAAAATGTTTTCTTGAGCCAAAAAATTAGTTTGGTTAAGCCCCATGAAGTATTCACAGTAAACATTTGTTTAAGTAAACGTGTTGCTGAGTTGCTGTCAACATGTTGGCAACAATGCGTGTTGAGGAGATGATTACTGCATGTTGAAATGCTTTTGCTCGATGAGCGGAAACAATGTTGATCAGTAGTTGCTCAACTAATATCTACAATGAATATATGGCTTAAATAGTTTCTTGTATAAAGTAATAAAAATAATTTAAATGTTTAGAATTGCAAGGTTTATCTTTACACTCATGTTATACTGGGTGGTGGTGATTGTATAAAAATCCGAACCCGAATTTGAATTCACTCATGTATCCGAATTCATCTCATTTAGTGAAGAAATAAATTATTGATTCCATTTCTATAAAGAAGAAAAAAACAAACTTGATTGATTATACGTGTCGTTGATATTCTATTTCTACGTCATTTCGAAACTCACTTCACTAAACGTTATTATCAATCTATTCCTACGTCATTTTGAAACTCACTTCACTAATACCACGAAACGGTACTGAGCGAATGGCGCATTTTGAAGTGAATTTAAAACCTCAGTGAATTCGAAATCGGTTTCGGGTTTTTACAGAATCGCAGGTTCCATTTTACAAATAAACAATTGTTCTTAAAAATAATTACGAATATTACGATTTCTATATATAAACATATGTTTATTGTAAACCTTTAGCAATTAAACGTTTGTTAAATTATAATTCAAATTATGTCACACTTATATAGAATATTACGAGGTGATTTCAATGCGGAACAAAGAATAACGTAAATAAATGGGGTTTAAAAATTATTATTACCTATTTCTTCTTAGATTTCCTAAAATAACAAAGTATACATTTTATTTGCAGAATACCTAAAAATATACCTATTACAAATTTTCCTTAGTAGCCGTCATCGCGTACCGACCAAAGATTAATTATAAAAATACATAGTACAATTGTAGTGAAGGTAAATGAGTGAAGTGAAGTGAATTTAAATGAAGTTGAGTGAAGTTAAAGATGCAGCGGCAACTTAGCAACGTGAGCTTTCATTCCTACCAGGACTACCAACCGTCCAGAAAATATGGTAATTTTTATAATCCATGTCATAAGATCGATATGTCAATTCTTTAAACATAGTAATTATTAAATTATTTATATTTAAAAAAAGTCTATATGATTAAGCGCTTTAAGCATAATACACATGTTGATTTACTTTCATATATCATCCATCATCAACAAACTTATTAGTGTTCCCAAAGCTAAGGTTCGGGCCTTCCTTATCGATACAATTGGATACAATCGAATAAGAAAGAATGGGACATGACCCACCAGGCAGGACCAGTGTGGATATTAACGACTGCAAATTATTATTAAGCATCATTATTTTTATTTAATTATAGGAATAAATAATAAAATACAATAACACAAAACAAGTGTCCTAATAGTATTTTCTAAATACCTTTTTTCAAATTATTTAACCACCTCATTTTTGAAATATTTGTTCAATATTACCCAATAACAACATCATATTGCTATTCTGTGTCAAACAGAGTCCTATCGCAGCATTAAAGGTTCAATCGAATGAAACCGTCTGAATTAGGTAGTAGTAGATTTTATTTGATAGAACTCCAAATGCTGCTGCGACAGCTGTTCGACACAGCGGTAGAGTCCTAATTAATTACTTATTACGTCATAAATAAGTCGATATACAGGAATAACATTATATAAAATATATCTCTTTTTATTTTTATTATGAAATTTTATTAATATTAAATAACTAGTGATGCGCAGAATAGTGGTTTTACCAAATAACCGAACATCTACTATTCGCTTTAACCGAACCGGATTTTCGACCGAATTATTCGGTTTACCATTTCATTGTTTTACAACTCATTCATTGAATACACATAGTGAGAAAGATGTCGAATGCCGAATACAAAACGAATATTCAGCACATCTCTATAAATAACAATCTTCTATATTGTTACAGGGCCGCAGTATGAGCCGGGTGGTTACGCTAGTGCAGTACAACAGCGTACCAACATGACGCAGCGCGAGGACGCGCTCAAATTCGAGCAGAGTCGCATCAAAGCGCTGCAAGAGGAACGGTTGCATATACAGAAGAAGACATTCACGAAATGGATCAACTCATTCCTTCAAAAGGTCACTTAACACGGTTATAAATACTATCATTCATTTAAACTCTAACCCAAAAGCGTTAACTCTTTTTTTTTTACTTTTATTGTAATATACTCGCTGTTGCCCCGTGACTTCGCACGCGTAAATTATAGCCTATGTAAACCCCGTATGATGTAGCTACCCGTGGGTGAAATTTTAAAATCTGTCCAATAGTTACGGAGCCTATTCGATACATACAAACAAACAACAAAATCTTTCCTCTTTATAATATTAGTAGAGACGTGGTAGGACTTGTTGCAGTCAAAAAATAGGAATTAAACATAATTATGTAAAACGTATACAATCTGTTATAAAAATACTATTAATTTACTACATTCAAACGAACCTAAAACAATGGATGTTCTTTTTCACTTTGTAGGGACTCAGTTTTAGAAAAAGAAAACAAGATCCAATTGTAGTTTCTGGTCAAAACATATGCCCGATAATGGGATCAATAAAAAACTATTATAAAAATAATGGACTTCCATGTTTTGATTATTTTATGAAGTTTTTGAGAAAGCCTATCTTAAAAATACCTATCTATCTAAAAATAATATTGGTAATCTTAGAGCAAACAAAAATGCATCTCAGCAAACAAATAGCATGCGTATTAATAAGTGATCTAAGCAAAGTCACCTTTGGGTGACTCAATCATGAAAAATAATAAGCTGTCTCAAACAGATGATATCATTGATAGCCATAGTGCGCAGGTCGCTGTGACAAATCTGCCTTGTTTTTTAAATTGAATTGCATGAATTTTAAGTTTGATGTAATTAGAAATTTGACTGAAGATGTATCAAATTAGTTAATTAATATTTAAGAATAATATATATCATCTGTAAACATTATATCTATACATACTATATACAAATAAATAAAATTGGAGTGTCTGTTTGTAATATTAAAATATGCTTTTCATTAAAAATACATATGTATGTATAATTATATACATGGAACATTACAAAAATATCATTTTTGTCTGTCTGTTTGTTCCGACTAATCTCTGAGCGACGTCAGACACTTAAGCTACTTAAAACTACATAATATATGGTGATATAGGTTTTAATTTACGCGAGCGATGTCGCAGGAAAACAACTAGTAAATCATAAAAGATAAGTAATCTATCCTAGGCCACAAACGATCCAGTAGACAAAATCACTTACACATTTATAAATATAATGAATAAATGATTGCTGTATTCAATTAATAAGTATACTGTTAGCGCACATAAACCTATATAAAAATTATGTAGAACGGGTTCTAAATTGCGCGTATTTTTAATTTATTAGAACCTGTTCTAAAGGTCTTTCTTGAAATAAGTATTGCGAAATTAATATCGCTACGTAGAATTAATAAAATAAAGATATTAACCAACCGCTAAATAATATTATAAACTTATCTGAGATAATAAAAAAATGTGGTCAAGATGGCACCTACCTTTATAAAGGTAGGTCATTACTAGACGGTCAAATGACAATAAGGGCGCTGTTATTCTGAGAGGGACCTTAAATGACCTCTGACATTACCCGTGTCTGTTGTTTTCAATAGGGGTAATATGTCGACTGTATTTTTTTTTATCTTTCCATCAGGTAGATTTTTGAAGAATAAATAAATTTAATTAAACGCGTATTTTTTCGCAATCTCTAAATTAAAGCGACACGTTTGAGTTAAAATGTCGCGCTTTTGTACATTTTCTACGAAACTGTGACGTAGCGAGCCCCCACTTCTTAACTTTAATACCTGTTATCTAATTGTCTAACTAATTTCTTGTTAAATTAAAGCAACAAAAATACGCATCTAATATTTTTCTATTATCTGACTGATATATATAATAGATTTTTTTACCCAGTCATCATCCCTTTAAAGACATTGCAAATATAACATCTAGGTATATTTACATTATTCAAATTAGACACAAGGTTCACACACGACCGGGCACTTGAATGAGGTCGTCGGGTCGTTGACAAACACTCAATTATTATTAAATAATGTTATCTCGAGATCGTATTCATGCATACTCCATATCTATAACTATACATAGTATAAAAAAAGTTAATTCCTGCTGCCTGTACGATGCGATAATACTGAATACTCAAGAAGTTTATTGTAATTTAAAATAATTTTACATAAGTTAGTCTTACTGTGGAGGACAACAATGCAATATTTTCACGTTTTTATATTGTGTTATGGTGTTACGAAATATTAATTTAGAATCATAGGAATGTGTCCTACAAATGATAAAACAGGTTTCTGTTCGGATATTATTAACCATTTTAACTTACAAATATTACAGAATTTTATTACATTAATTTTATCTAATATATTACTTTGTGTATAATATAATTTTTACAGTTTTTAAACATTTATAGACTCCGTGATCACAAGAATTATTTTAATAAATAGTGCTAGTGTGCGCAGAAACATATACACCTATTCACATAAATAAATAAAATTAAATATCCGTAATAATTTTGTCTAACAATTATAACGTTTAATTTATCAGGCTCGCATGGAGGTGGACGATTTGTTCGTGGACCTGGCTGATGGTAGACGGCTTTTGAAGCTCCTGGAGATAATCAGCGGTGAGAGATTACCTAGACCCAACACTGGTCGTATGCGAGTCCACAAGATCGAGAATGTCAACAAGAGTCTTAGCTTCTTACACACCAAGGTAAAGGAATGTTCGAAATGAAAAATGTTTCTATTTATTTACAGAATTACTTAAGAAATACAGAAACAAAAATATGGAAAACAAAGTCTATTATTTACTTTTTTAACCGACTTCGAAAGGAAGAGGTTATATGTTCGACAGGGATATTTCCGCCAATTTTCAGAATCCTTTTTTTATTCAACAGCTTAATGGGCCGAGGTGGTCCTATTTAAATTTTATTGAAATCGAATTAGTAGTTTTCCTTTTATAACAAAACAAAATATGCTTCAATATCACCGAAATATTTAGATAATATAACGAGACACTATACAATTTTAGAATATTCTACCGTAAATTCGATCACTACTTTTCAAATCTTTATTGAATTCGAGTTTCGAGCATCGAGATGACTATCGAGTTTCCATTAAGAATACCAATCTCTATGCACGTAATATCCATATCTCACTTATCTTAATTCAATTTACTTCACGTCCGACTATGAGGCGCTTCAAATATGGTATTCCCTAGAATTGGCGTTTCACAGAGACGTCGTTTCCATGACACCCAAAAGAGATTTAGCTCTAATCAAAAACAATGTCTTTTAGGTAGGTCGGGCCTCTCAATTCAAGTAGTATCATCAATCTTCTAATTCATGAAGCTTAATTTTATCTGTTTTACGAGAATTATACACAATTCATGTATCTCACTTAAAAAACAAGAGATTGCGGATTTTATAAAGATAAAATCAGGTATCTTAATCGATTTTATCTTGAATTGTGTACCAATTTTATAAAACTACACTCGTGGGCAAAACCAAATCGACTCAACGACCAACGTGTTAGCACACATACTTTTCCAAGTTGCAAATAATTCACTTCCAATATTATACGTTATTTCAAAGCGTGACATTGCAGGTTTACATGGATACCACCACAGCACTATTGTCGATGTTTATTAAGTGTTCTTTTAATAATGATATTAAAACGGGAGCAGTGAGAAAACGGGAATTTAAAGAAAATCGTTATGTTCGGCAGTTTCAAAATAAAACAAAAAATACTGAAAAATAAAATAAAATTTATGTAAATCAGTAAATTGTGTTCCCTCCCCTAGCCCTGATCAAACTTGCTTACGATTTTTCATCGACGAAATGCCGTCCCACTTCTCTAGTAACGCCGTTTCTTATTTCATCCACGGTCGAAAAGACTGGATTTTGAACCCCGATTCTCCCCGATATAGCCTTCGTACGGAACAACATGGTCCGTAAGAATGTCGGTAATTACCGATCAATATTAGCCCTTGTCTCTTCCAGGCACAAAAACAAGCTCGGTTTTGCCTTCTAAGGATATACCAGCCCACATCGTGCAGGAGGTGCCGTATGCAACAAAACATCACTGCGCATACTATTCCCCAGGAATCCTGTAGAATCGGCCTCTTCTGTCGCTACCAATCAGACACATTCTGCACTCATAAGTGAATAATACCGACAGCCTCATATGCTCCCGAGCAAATTGAAGGCACGCTTGGCGGTTGCCTGCGGTCAATTTAGGGCCTATTGCAGGCTGTTTTGGAGTAAAATTGGCTTCTTTCAGACGTCTTCCCACTGTCCACTCGCTGTCAGTCACCCCTCCACCACGTCTCAATTCCTGTTGTATATTCTTGACAATAATTCAGTCATCTCTCTCTGAAGTGTACCGGAGATGGCTGGTTCTTGGTCTTCGAGAGACGGCAACGGTTTCTTGAAATCTGCTATAGACTCTGGATACTGCAGACTGGCTCAAATGAAACTGAGTAGCCACTGCACGCTGACAAAGTCCTTGTTGCATAAGAGCAACAACTTGAGCGGCTTCTTCAGTCGTGATATTCATAGTGATGACAAAACAATCGATCCAATTAGAAGTTGACCTGTACACATGTACAGGTCAACTTCTGTCAAGGAACTGATAAGATGAATCTAAAGGGTGATGTTTATAGGAAGCGTAGTAGCGCAGTAGTGAGTATTTGAGGCTGTGTTTTTTTTCTTTGCGGTGATTTAAATTTTGTGAACAAGAAAATAGAGTGAGCATTATAACGATATTAACATTAATTTAAAGCTAAAATTTCAAGTTTTCAACGAAGTATAAATAATTAATAATAATTACACATTTTTCAAAAAACACATCTTTAAGCAGTAGCTTACCTTCGGAGTTGATTTGGGTGCTCGCGAGTGTAGCTGTTTCCCCGTTACTTCGCCTGCGTAAATTATAGCCTATGTCCAACGCGTATTGTGTAGCTTCTTGTAAACGAAAGAGTTATAAATCGGTCTAATAGTTTAGGAACCTATCCAATGCAAACAAACAAGCAATAAAATATTTTTATTTATAATATGAGTATATATTTTGATTACTTGATATTGTTGTTGTTAGCATACAGTAAAAACAATTGCGATTGCAGAACCATGTACAAATTTGAAGTACCCACTCAACAGGTTCTTAAACACGCCTATTGTCTGTCACAATGACCTTTATTAGCGTGATGGAGGATAACAAATTTGGAATTTATCTTATCTCGCTCAGATAATCTCTCACTCTAACGCACATGTAAATTTTTATAACACCGCTACTGACGTGTGTAGATAGCTTGCCCTAGAAATACTCGTTCTTGAGCTACTGTCATTGTTATCATAATTAGAATTCAATAATATTTATATATTTATTTTCTTCTTTCTTTGTTTCTAATATTTCAATAGCAAATACAGGTGTTTTAAAATTAGAGTAGGTAAATAGCAACTTAATAATTATATGATTTATAAATATAAATAGCTTCTACTAGCTACTAACAAAATTTATCAAATAATTGATAATGATTATGACATGTTTATAATCAAAAGATGCGCGTTTATATTTTAATAAAAAAATTGCTTAACTTTCTTTCTTCTTCTGTCAACCACTGTTGTAAACAAAAATCAATCGCCATATAATTTTGTTAATCTACTTACACAATAAAATGAAATATCGAGCTTAAATTTTGAAAATGTCAAAAGCTGGAAATGCCAAAAACTCTGCTGTGTGTTGACAAAATCAATGTCTATTCTATTCTATCACTGAGGCGCGTGATAATATAGTAAAAAGTAATAACTCGTACCGACCACTATCCATCTAGAAATGTTAACGTTAAGTGTGTAATATATACCTAATAGTAAACATAGATAAATACGGTTTATCATTGAGATATCAGCACAAACAGTGACATAAGACTGAAGCCTCTCAATCACGCTTATATGGCTTCTTGGCGGCGCCTAACTAATATGTACTATGTTGTGGCGACACTTCATTTGTTTACAGTGTAATAAAACTACTACAGTGTAATAATAGTATAATAAAACGTATATTTTATATATATTTAGATAATAAAAGTTTTTTATTATTCGATATTTCTCATTTTTTTTCAATTTCTTTAAACCCTTGTTTTTGAATAAATTAAAAGAAGCTAGCTGGAGGGATTCCCCCACAACCTCTGTCGTATACCATGCGACAAGAACAGCACCTATCGCATTTTCTCAAGGAAAAAAAAAATATATATACGAAGAGATTTATCTTATTCCGTCAACCGTCAATCAACGGCGAGGCCTCCTAAGGCTTATTTTAGTACTAAGGCCTACTCAAAATCTAGTAGTACGGCTAGGTATAAGTTCCTTACTACTCCTTCCTTACTTAGAAATATACTACTACTACTACTACGAGGGTCAAACTGAAAGTTCTTAGAACTGGCCACTTATAAACAATATAATAAAAAAATAATTCTAAAATTTGAAAATATAACTCTTTGCCAATATTACTGAGTATATATTTCATTCATTTGTCATTTGTTTTACGATTTGGCGGCAAATTGAAAATTGTCTGTGTCACGTCATCATGAATTTAACACGAGAAAATTTTCGTGCAATGATTTTTTATGACTTTCGATGTCATTTAAGTCAACAAGAAAGTTATGATAGACTACGATTGGCCTTTCACGATGAAGCCCCATCTCGTGCGACTGTTTACAACTGGTTTAATGAGTTTAAACGTGGTCGCACTAATCTCACTGATGATTTACGTGAGGGACGGCCTTCTACGGCGACGACTGAAGATAACATCTGTGTTGTGCGGCGTATGATAGAGACTGACAATAGAGTGACCTATCAACAGATTCGGACAAGCTTAGGCATCGGTATGAGTCAAGTGCACAAAATCCTCCACGAACATTTAGCGGTCAGGAAGCTTTGCGCCCGGTGGATACCTCATAATTTGACTGAGGCTCAAAAACTCCATCGTGTGGATTGGTGTCGTAAAATGATTGAAAGATTTAACGGAGGTGACTCAAATGCTGTGTTCGACATACTAACAGGTGACGAAAGCTGGATTTACTGTTATGATCCTAAAACCAAAAGACAATCTGCTCAGTGGGTGTTTCCTTTCGAGGAGTTGCCAACTAAAGTGAAGAGAGATCGAAGTGCGGGAAAAAAAATGGTGGCCTCGTTCTTTGGAAGGATAGGTCATTTTGCAACAATTGTGTTAGAGGATCAAAAAACAGTTTCTGCAGAATGGTACACTACCAATTGTTTGCCACTTGTCTTGGAAAAAGTTCGAGAGAAACGACCTCGCAGTAGGATCCTCCTTCACCACGACAACGCCTCGTCGCACACCGCCAAGCGAACGATCGACTATTTGGCGACATCAAACGTTGAATTACTGGGTCACCCGCCGTATAGCCCCGACCTCGCGCCTTGTGATTTTTATTTATTTCCAAAAATTAAAGAAAAACTTAAAGGAAAGCGGTTTATGAATGCTGAAGAAGCGGTGGCTGCGTATCGCGATGCCATTGAAGAGACCCCTAAGGACGAGTGGGCAAAGTGCTTTTCCCAGTGGTTCCATCGCATGCAGCGGTGTATTGACGTGAATGGACAATATTTTGAAAAGATATAATAAAACTAATAACTGGCTAATGTAATCAGTTTTTGATTTTCTAAGAACTTTCAGTTTGACCCTCGTATATTGAGTTTTTGGTACGTTGACAGGTACGCCTCGAGTCTATCGGTGCTGAGGACATAGTAGACGGTAATCCTCGCCTGATCCTCGGCTTAATATGGACCATAATCCTGCGCTTCCAAATTCAAGAGATTGAAATTGATGTGGTAAGATTTTCTTTAATTAAATCCATGTTTTTTTTTAAACAATATATAAACAATAATGAAATGTGAAATTAAAATAAAGACATTATTCATTATAGTATCTTACAGGTCTCTTATAAAACTCATGTGGAAATTTTGTTGATATGTAACACATTATGTAAAGTTTCCGCAATTGATTTTGACCTCTACGCTCAATTTGTTAAGGTTAAAAAAATGGAATAGCGAACTATGATAGTTTTGTATAATACTGACACAACACATTATTATAGGTATAAATTTGTCAATACAATCCGGACATTATAATAAACCTAATATTTAAGTGATTATTAACGGGTTTACTACCATTTACCTTATTTTAATGAGTCCCTGATATCCGAGGAACAGTGGAACGGGTATCAAACGCAAGAGGAATCGAAAGAGGGTAGATCCATATATCTGCCAATAATGTGTCTACGATATCCGAAGAATAGTGGAACGGGTATCAAACGCAAGAGGGATCGAAAAAGGGTAGACCCATATATCTGCCATTAATGAGTCTACGGCATCCGAAGAACAGTGGAACCGGTATCAAGCGCAGGACGATCGAAGTTACTCTGTGATAGTTGCGTTAGCAGCAGTGTCATCGGGGACTCATTAAAACATATTCCATGTACTTTGTTATGAAACAATCACGTTAATAATAGGGATGACGTCAGGGTAAAAAAAAACTATTTAGTCAGTCAGTCAGATAATAGAAAAATATTACATACGTATTTTTTTATACTCCAATTTGACAAGAAATAGCTTAGATAACAGGCATTAAAGCTTATGAGTGGGGGCTCGCTAGGTCACAGTTTTGTAGAAAATGTACAAAAGCGTGACACCATGTAACATTTTAACTCAATGTAATGCCTTAATTACTAATTAATGAATACGTAAAAAAAAAAAAAGAAATACGTCTTTAATATTTTTCAACAATATACCTAACGGACAAAAAAAAATTAGTCGTCATCACTATTGTATATTACAACATAAACTTACCCATTAGGATGAGGAAAATGAATCGTCAGAGAAGAAATCGGCTAAGGACGCGTTGCTGCTGTGGTGCCAGCGGAAGACGAGCGGCTACCATGGCGTACACATACACAACTTCACGGACTCCTGGCGTTCAGGGCTTGGTTTCAACGCACTCATACACGCACACAGGTGATCTAACTATTTCTAACTTAGGATTCGGCCGTTAGGACGTTATGTAACGGCTAGTTTGCACGTGATTTACGGTCAGTGCAGTTGATACCTCCATTTTAATCCTTTTGAATGACGTTTTTAACCTCTAATTAATGTCAAATTTGTATCGGTAATGTCTCTTTAAACTAATGACCGTCTAAATGAACCTTTGTGCAACTGTAAACAACTTATAACTGACATGTGTGCGAGATGGGCTCGTGGACACATAACCTTATCGCTACTCAGCCCGATATTCATCATAATCCTTAATGCACTATAGTAATTGTAATAAATTACAGGATTTGCTAGCGGAATGTTCCAAAAATCATAGAAAGCAACCTTAAGGGTGATGACAGGGTAAAAAAAAACTATTTTGTCTTTCAGTCAGATAATAGAAAAGTATTAAATACGTTTTTTTTTTTCTTCAACCTAAAAATAATAGATAACAAGCATTAAAGTGGGGGCTCGCTACATCACAGTTTTGAAGAAAATGTTTATAAAAACGTGACGTCATCTGACATTTCAACTTCAACGTAGGCGATTCTGTAAAAATCCGAACCCGAATTAGAATTCACTCGTGTGTCCGAATTCACGTCATTTAATGAAGAAATTCTATTGATTCCATAAAAAAAAAAAATTGGTATATTATCTCGAAACTCACTTCCCTTATGCCATGGAACGTTATAACTAATTCAATATTGAGCGAATTGAATACGAATTCTGGTTCATATTTTTACAGAATCGCAGGACATAACTTCAAAACATGTGATGTTGAGGTATGATCGAACACGCGAACTCTTATCTTGCTGGTATTCCTTTCAGGCCGGACCTGTTCCGTTGGGCGGAGGTTCCAGCCTCTGATCACGTGGAGACCCTCAATCATGCTTTCGACGTTGCCCATAAACACCTCGGCATACCGCGCTTGCTGGACGCCGAAGGTAAAACGCTCTTAACGCATACTGAATAAGAGTCAATTTTCTATGACACTGTTATAGCTGTTCCGGCAGCTGCTATCTGAAAATCACTATCGCCTAGTATACTAATATTATAAAGAGGAAAATTTTGTTTGTATGTTTGTTTGTAATGAATAGGCTCAAAAACTATTCGACCAATTTTAAAAATTCTTTCACCATTCGAAAGCTACATTATCCACGAATAACATAGACTATATTTTATAAGGTGTAAAAAATCAACCAGAAAAGTTACTTATTTTGCGTACGCTGCCTAAACTATAATAGATAGAATCATAAAATGTTAGAATTAATTGTAGATCTTTTAAATATCTACAAAAAAGCTAGTCTATAAAATAATATTGTAAACGCGAAAGCAATATGTGTTGGTGTATGTGTCATTTTCGTTTGCACGCCTAAACTACTGACCTTATTTTAATGAATATTTGGTACACAGATAGACTGGACATTGGAAAAGGACATAAGATAGTTTTTCTCGTGAAAAATGTCTTTAAAGGAGTTTTAACTCCTAAGGTATGATGAGGTACTCCTACAAGATATTATAACAAGGTATGAAAATACGAAAAACGAAAATAATCGAATCCATGCGGTTGATGCCGAGTGCGGAAAACTAGCTTTTCCTACTCATCATAATTTTTCGTTAGTTTCTACGCAAAACAATTCAATGGATTTTGATAATTGTTTAATTAACAGAAGCCCTATTTAAGATAGTTGTATTTATTTTTAGACGTGGATACGACCCGACCCGATGAGAAGTCAGTGATGACATACGTGGCTAGCTACTACCACACATTTGCCAGGATGAAGAATGAACAAAAAAGTGGAAGAAGGATTGCCAACGTGAGTTACTACTGATAGAATTAATTAAAAGAATAGACATTATGTTTGACAAATATCGATCATCAAGTAATATGTGCTGGAATAGTTCGAAAGCTATGACATCTATTTCATAATCTACGGCAGCAGAAACGGCTCTGCCGTAAATATTTCCTTAATAATCTGTCAAAATAAAAACCTGACTTATATACCAGGCTGTCACTCAACTGTCAGCAGATCAATTAGTATTGTTTTAGACCAAACCTGATTGACCAGCTGATTTTTCAAATTATTTCAGTTACGCGGTAGAGCCGCCTGTACTGAGAAGGAATAGCAACAACTATAAACATTGTTTTTCTCAAAGTCTTATGCGTTGTTTTATACAGACTTATGCCACAGGTATGACGTCACCTTGCGTTTAAGGATGATTGTTGTTAGAAACCCAATAGATGTTGGTGTCGATGTTAAAATCGAACCAAGAGTAATGCTGTCCGATGATTTCGAATTAATAATATCGATATTCAAAATTACCTTGGTTTTATGTAATGTCAATTGTCTGCAGTTTATTTTGCGCCCTATTTTCAATGTATTAAAGTTTAAATTTAAATCTGGTGAACAGTTTTGTCAGTTTTGAATAAATTGCATTTGACGATAGCAGAAGAAACAATATATTAATTTAGTTTAATTCAGTTACACTGTTCGGCGATAACTAATGTTAATTGATTTAAATTTAACAATATCGTTATTTCAAGGACATAACAATGATGATATTTTAATATAAAACATTACTATCGATAATCCCTTACTTCCATTGTAATATTTAGTTAAAATTAAAAAAAAATTGTATCATGTTTTTTTTTACTGAATCTGCTAGATTATCGGTCAGCTGATGGACTGTGATGGTCGTAAAGCGGAGTATGGACGGCTATTCTCAGCGCTGATGGAATGGATCCGAGCGAAGATCCTCGAGCTGGCGGACAGGGACCTGCCCAATTCACTAGACGGCATACAACGTCTGTTACTAGCCTTCAAACAGTACAGAACTGTTGAGAAACCACCCAAGTGAGTTATAAGTTTAATACAGTGTTAACTCAAGATCGTAGTCAAGTCAGTTATAGTCCAGTCGAAACAACATAGAGACACGGTAAATGAGTCAGTGAAAGTCATAATCTAGCTAGATATAGTCTACGCTATCACTATATCTAGCCATAGACAAACTTTTTTAGAACGCAGAGGAAATACATCTTAACCCTTAAACCAGAGCTCTCCAACCATCCTGTTTTGAAATAACCCAATTAAAGTAATATACAAGTCTAGAATAAGAGTTGATTCAAAATCTACACAGACTTAATATTATTTCCTCAGCACCACATAAAAATAATTTATTTGTTTTAACTATAAGAAAGGAAACAATAAAATTCACCGCATTTAACAAACAGTTGCTATACTTATGAGCTGTAGAATGATTAAACATTTACACTTGAAGCCGTATGTACGGCTTGAACATGTCATTTGGAATCTATTTTATTAGGTCAAGGAAAATCGTATAACTCGCACGAATTAATATGACACCTTAGGGCCTCAATCTATTTGGATTTCGAATTGTTATTATAATTTTGTTAAATCATATGAGTGAAAATTATGTGTCTGTCAGAGGCAGGGTCAGATCATATCTCCGTTGAATCACACATTTTATCGAAAAATGCCTTTCTTTGGAGTCGTATTAGCATTTCGAAAATGGAAGAAATTTCGTTTTCGAAGAAATAGGAGAAGCCTTTTCGTTGTTTAGGAATCTCTAGCAAAAGGGCTTTAGTTACGTTGTTTTTATTTTCTATTACAGATACAAGGAGCGTTCAGAGATCGAGGCGTTGTTTTTCCACATCAACACAATGCAGAAGAGCCTGGTGGGCGAGACCTGGGCGCCGTTAGAGGGACAGTTGCCGCAAGACCTGGAGCGAGCCTGGCAACAGCTGGAACAGGTCAGTCGATTCTTCATCATCAACCTAACAATATTCCCACAGGTGGGATACATGCTTTCAGACGGAGAAATTATATAATCCCACGCGAGCCCAGTACTGATTGGTCGGTGCTGACGACAGTAGATGCGAAACTGTACCTACCGTAGTACGGAGAAGATAGAGCTATAACCTCTGCGTCATCAAATACCACGGTCCATTATATAAACACTATTTTATTAGTCAGATAATGAGAGATCTTAAAAATGAGGTTTTAGCTGGCAAAGGTGTTATGTATTTACTGGTTTAAAATGATGAGGTGATTGATAATTTTCAGCTCGTCCATCAAGTGTGATGTAGATTTTGTTCTGTCCAAAGATGTTTTTATTTAAAACAATATTATTTTTTCCGCCAGGCCGAGCATGCTCGTGAGATCGCGTTAAGGACCGAGTTACTCCGCCAGCAGCGATTGGAACAGCTCAATTACAAATTCAACACTAAGGTATTATTATTACACAATTTGAAAACATTGATTGTAAATAAAAATGTCTATAGTTATTTGGTGATAGCTAAAATGATTAAATAAAATATTTAGAGAGTATTTCGAAAAGTGAACTATAAAGCAGGACCAGCTACATATTTTTTTGCTTCAATTGAAACAAGAAATTGCTTAGATAAAAAGCAAAGTTGAGGAGTGGGGGCTCACTACGTCACAGTTTTGTAGAAAATGTACAAAAGCGTGACGTCATGCCACAATTGAACTCAACGTATCGCCATAATTAGTTGATTACGCAAAAAATAAGAAAATACGTGTTCAAAAGTATACCTGACGGACAGATAAAAAAAATTGTCTATGGAAATGAGGTGAAACCGTGACTGTTGGACGGATTGTGTTCATCTGGTATTTATAGTGTGGGTTGTTTGTTATCAGTCTGTGCTGCGTAAGGGCTACCTGAAGGAAATGATCCAGGTGTTATCAGATCCTCGGTACGGCTCGAACCTCGCACAGGTCGATGCCACCGTAAAGAAACACGAGGCTATCTCTGCGGACATATTGGCCAGGTAAATCAAACATATATATCTATCTATACTAATATTATACGTGAGTACCTCGGAAGCGTAGTGTTGATGGCGGATCGTTGTTGTTAAGCAACTTTCACAAGGTTCGGTCACGAGATGGGTGACTGATTTTTTTATCTCGAGCTACTCTGTGCTTCAGCAGGCGTGTTAAACCGTTGGTCCCGGGTAAATTTGCAGTCATTGATATCCTCAAATCCGCAATGGGCCAAAATGGAGGGATATCACCTAGGGGAAGCTACATCATACGTAAATAACATAGTCTATATTTTACGCGGGCGAAATAGCTAAAATAAAATAAATTTCCAAAATATGTTAATTAATACTTGTACGTATAAATTATCTAAAGCCCTATTCTATTTCTCTGGAAACAAAATTTCGTCTATAGAGATGCAGCGGAAGTATGGATATGATTTTAATAAAAAATTTTTTTTTTTTTTTCGTTCGAGGACGAATAGAATAAGCTCTTATGTGTCATTTTAATTCATACGAGTTATACACCATCTATAACTCGAAAACGAATGAAATTAATACACAAGCTGATTAATTTGCCACCATCTGTGCTACAATTTTTAATTTATGATTAAGTGGACGATCTAAAATCATACTTATAATACTCAGGACGGAACGCTTCGAAGATTTGTCTGCGATGGCGTCAGAATTAGTACGTGAAAAATATCACGGAGCCGAAGCCGTGAAAAACACTGAACAGGCAGTGTTGCAACGTTGGCGTGAGCTGCTGGAACTGCTGGAGAGGCATCGAGCTGCTCTAAACAGTCTGGCGCAGTTGATGGCACTACTGCGGGAGGCGGACGCGGTCCAGCAGACGCTGCAGCAGATGCAAGTGGGTGTTACCTCTGCAGATGCTGGAACTACTGCTTACACATCAATTTGTTTGATTTATTACTATTTGTTCTTCATCAGACATTTTGACATAAAATATTATTTAATATAAATACCTATTCTGTACGACAGACCAATTCTGGTAATTTTTACTTAACAATCGCATCTCAATAGAATCCCAACTACTTGCGTTTTGACATTGTGCTATCTATGTAAAGTCTATTACTGCTAGCTGTTTTCCTCGCGAATCAATGGTGATTGATATATAATAATATTGGACTTCACATCTACCCTAATCCAATCTTATTTAGATATAATTTTTTGTTCACTTTGCAAGGTTGCCTGGAAGAAATTACTTTTTAGTAATAAGGCCGCCAATTGTACATTCACATTTATTGTATCCATGTTTGTTTTTCGTCCATTGGTGTACAATAAAAAAATTTTCATTCATTCATCCAGAATTAGCCTACGAGTCATTGTCCGAGCAATGTGACATCCTGAAATTTTATATTAAATAGATTTGTTTCGTATGTTTAGACTCAATTCTCTTCTGAGGAGATGGGTCGCCACCTGGTGGACGTGGAGCGGCTGCTGCAAGCCCACGCTCTCCAGGAATTGCAGCTGGGAGCTCTTGACGAAAGTATTAGACGACTGGTCAGTATATGCGAGTTATCTTGTAGGTAATTTCATATTAAAAGAAACTATGATGATGATGACGGTACCAGGTTCGTCACGGAGCAGCAGCTCAGGGTCCCGCTCAACCAACACGTCAGTTGGCGGCACAGCTCGCTCACCTTGAAAAAGCCCACCAAGAGCTGCAAGCAGCTGCCAGTCATAGGAAAGCGAGGCTGGAAGACGCCAGGGGATTGTACCAGTTCCTGGAAGACCACGACGAAGAGGAAGGTAACTGATATGCTTCAATATTATTTATTTTATTTAGGCTGTTAGCTAGCGCACTTTGAAGTTCTATATGGCTGTGTATATGTTTATGCCAAGTGAGCTTATAATGAAAAGAACTGTTAAGTTAAAAAAAATAAGTTCTATATAGCTGTTGGGTCGTATATATGTGTGTATATGGCAAGCAAGCTCATACTGAAAAAAACTGTTAAATTAAAAAAAAAAAGTTTTCAAAATGAGCTCAAGTTGTAAATATTTTTATTGACATTAAGTCCACGTTTAAGCTAATTACATTAATTTAAAATGTGGTACGGAACAGGATGGGTGACCGAGAAGCAACGCATCTGCCGAGCCGAAGTAGCCGCTAAAGATTTACGTGGTGTTCTGGCTCTGAAACAGAAACATACTGCGTTATTGCATGAGATAAGGGCGAGAGAGCATGTCTCACAACGTCACAGAGCTAAGGGGCAGAGGTAAGATAAATAAAACAATAATTACATATATTTACGATATCCTAGAGCACCTTTTAGTAGAACACAGAGTATATAACTCTAATAATTAACTGCGCACCAAATGTTGTTGAAGTCCGCCATGGCATTTATACGTGAAAAGAGAGAGAGCTTTGATTCTCGAAAGGCCTTCGATAAAGTGAATAACCACTGTTTTTTGAAGAAAATTCATGCTTTATTCATGCTATAGTATCCAGTAATATTTTTTCCGAATTGGATAAATTATTACCAGGTTTAAACATATCACGAATCTTCTTTATGAAGTACATAAAGGATACATTCCGTGACCTATGTTATTTTAAACTTTCATGGTCATTAACATAAGAATGATTGCTACTATATACCTTATATTTTACGAGTTCCCGATATTTCAGCGCTGTTGTAAGCGCTAAGATCACGGAGTAATTATATACTATCTAAATATAAGGTATATCGTAACAATCCTGTAATAATTCTGATTCTGGGACCTGTTTTGTATATGTTTATCCGTTTATCCCATAGTTATAAGTTTCTATACCTATGATCTACAATTATAACCGAAATCGGTTGGTTAGAACTTCAAAAATAATATGTTAAAGACGAATTCACCGTTAGAATAATGGTGTAGATGAAATCTACCATCTATCTATAAATCGCAAATCTATTGAGATTTAAACATTGCAACATACTTTATTCGTATCATAGGTTTAAAAGATAACTCGTCCCACTGTAGACCTCATTCGTGCCCTTGAGCTGGATTGAGGTCAAGAGTGTGCCCATTATAAATAATAAAAACAATCGATAGTTGGATTACATGGTACTTAAATGTCATTATTTATTTTTTTAGTTTGATCGACGCGAAACATCCAAAGAGCGCTGAAATAGAACGTCGTTTGACTTTACTAAGTCAGCAATGGGAAACACTCAGGGAACTTGCTTCCGCTAGGGAGAAGCAGCTAGCTGATGCCGCTGAAGCACATCAGGTATTTTTGGATAACATAACATGTATAACATATGAAGATATAGATTGAGTCTTAAACTACGTAACTAATAAATTTGTAACCGATTTATAGTTCTACGGTGATGCAAACGAGGCTGAGTCATGGATGAAAGAGAAACGCGCTCTGGTAGCGACGGAGGATTGCGGTAGAGACGTACCTGAAGCGGCCGCGTTACTCGCGCGACAGCGTCTGCTGCACGACGAACTGCGCGCGTACAGTACTGAGCTGCACGCGCTAGCCGCGCACGCAGCACGACTGCAGCAAGCGGGCATACATACTATACAGGTAACGAAAGATTATAATTAATTATTCCTTATCACCTCAGTAGCTCGGTGGCGTAGTGGATAAGCGCCGCGGCCCGCGATCTTAATCGTTAAGCAACTTTCGCTAGGGTCGGTCACGGGATGGGTGACCAAACAATTATTATCTCGAGTTACTCCCTGCTTCGGAAGGCACATTAAGCCGTTGGTCCCGGCTGCATTTGCAATCGTTAATACCCTCCAATCCGCATTGGGCCAGCGTGGAGGGTCATGGCCCATCCTCCTTAACCATCCATAAGGAAGGCCTGAGCCCCTGCAGTGGGGACGTTAAAGGGCTGGAGATGATGATGATGATTCTTTATCACCGTGAAACTATTATATCTAGCAATTTCCACATCCAATCAGTATCCGCAAAACATGCTGTGTATTGCCCGCACACAAATTCAAATATACAAACGGTAACAAGCCTTGCGCATTTTTCGCTCCTCCATGGGGCATCCTCAGGAGTTGTTAGATCTGATTAGGTTTGGAAGTTGCTAGATATAATAATTTCACGGTTATAGCAATGGACTTCCATAATATAACGTCTATTAAATAATTATTCCTTATCATTAATGGTCCGCGGCGCCTCTTAGAAATCACTTAAAACGTACAATTGGGATGATGCCTGGGTAAAAAAATGAACTATATTTAGTCCGTCTGTCAGATAATAGAAAAACATTAGATACGTTTTTTTTTTTTGCTTCAGTTTAACAGCTTAATTAACAGGCGTCATAATTGAGAAGTGGGGGGTCACTATGTAACAGCTTTGTATAAATTTAATAAAAGTGTCACGTCTTTAATATTCTTCATTAATCTACATGATGGGCAGGCAAAAAATATTGTCTTCATACCTAATATATTTTAATTATCTAGAATTACTTATTTAGAAAAATAAATATTCAGTAATCTGTGGTTCCATTACGAAGGAGAAATCATGTCTTTTTATATGCTATTTCTATCAGTTACCTACTGAGGTGGAGAGTGCAGCAGCTCTGGAAGAAGAGGAATGGACAAACGAATCCCGGTTAGTACCCACTGAAGTTTGGGAAGAGGAGCCGGTGGAGAGACTGGAACATCGCACCGTCACAGAGGAACGCAGTGTCCCACAGGTAACTCTATTAGGTCTTAAACTCTATTCATTGTTATTTTCTTAAAGCACTTCATTATTTTAGTGTGTATGATTTCATGTGTGTTTATGTAATATACCCTGTGCTTCACGAATTTGATATTAGTTTAGTCGATCTAGGATGTTGAAAAGCACTTAGAATATCCGCCAATCGCCATTTCCATTTGCATGATTCCCAATGATTGATCAATAAAAACATGTTCCATGTGAAAAAAACATCTTTTTAGTGACACTTATAAGTCATATAAATTAACATGACTCCTGAGGACCTATTATTCGTCCTAGACTGAAAATCCAGGAAATTTGGAATTATTCTTATGGTTTTGTTAAAATATATAATTTTAACAAAATCATAGATTATCTGTGCATCAGAGACAGTGTCAGGATCTATCTTTGTTGTATAATTTCAAAAGTAGACGAAATTTCCTGTAAAATAGAATGGATAGCCTGGTGTTATGTTAGTTAATACATACGAATAGCATATATAGACATTAAACATAATTCTGTCATCTTAGGTGAAGGCACTATACGCATTCACCGGGCAAGGTATATCGATGCAGAAGGGCGAAGTGATGTTCCTGATGAATAAAACTAACCCGGACTGGTGGTCTGTACGGAAAGCGGACAGGACAGATGGATTCGTGCCAGCTAACTATGTGAGGGAGATAGAGCCGAGAGTTGTACCGGTTAGTAATTTTTATTATACAGTTAAAACGTTACATACGTATGAGTGCGTATACCATCTAGGACTTTTTCCACAAGCTTATCCAGTGGATGGTCCGCCTATAGGTCAGGAGCCGTCCTTTCTGGATCCTTAATACTTCCCATTAGTATACTGTACAGTTGTGTACGATCACATCATTTCAGGTTATTCAAATCTGTCAAATTTCTCCACTTCATTTCAAACCTTAATATAATGAGAATAGACTTTAAAATCAACTGGAAAATTTTGACATATTGTGGTAACCTGACATCCAGCCGTGTCTACTGTTCGAGTTAAATAAGAAATCTATAAAAATATCGATCGATTAGAACTCCATCAACGAACATAATTTAACGGTCTTCACTGATCCTCGTACAGGTACAAGTCCGTCGTCCTGAAAAAGTGCGAACAGTGCAACGAGTGAAGAAAACGGTTCTGGTGAAGCAAGTGGTGCCAGTGCGTAGACCGGCTCCTACCACCAGGAGGACGAAACCGCCCCCACAACAACACGCGCACAACGTGCCGCAGAGGATACAACAGCTGCAGGACGGCTACGGTGAGATGTCACTTCATAGTTGCAGCTTTTGATCAGTTTTTACATGTTATATTTATTGGACAACTAACGAGACGTGCTAGTTACAAGATACAGTAAGATACAATTTGTGTGGCTTATTGATGTACAGTAATTAAAAGTTTCGTCAAATTTCAAACCGATTTGAAGTCGCGAGCACTTATAACTTTATGAAATTAAGACAAAAAATGTAATGCTGCATAACTCTGACAATAAGTTTTATTTTTCTTTAAAATATTGTTTAAAAGAATCCGTTTTGATATGAACTCTTTGTTTTAGTTTAACCATAACTGTATATATCTATCATATATACATTTATAGTTAAACTAAATCAAGGAGTTTAATGAGAAATAAATATTTTATTTTTGGTTTAAGAAGCTGCTATAGAACTGTAATTACTTCTGTTACTCAGAACACTCAGAATAATTTCAGGCTCAGATTAATAACTAAATATTCTAAGACTATTGGCGTAACGTTGATATGAAATAGAATTGACGTTGGCAGTTCAAGGCAAATCATTACATAGTTACTCTTTGGTTAAGTTGGAACTGATTATTGAGCTGTTGTAAGCATAATTCGGCTTTAAGGTGACCAATTTTCTTTCTCTGACTGTACAACTTCTAACCTACATCGATTAGACCACGGTCCCGTATCTACCAAAACCCAGTTCTAAGAAAGACAATTCCTTTTAGTCTCCCTTACTAGTTGCTACCTCCACGTAGGATTATAACCGCCTTCTGGTCCTACATTCTTACACTAATTACGAGTTACTACAGTAAATTTCAACTAATATGGCTCATGATATATCTTCGTTTGCGTAGAGGAACTTACTGTAACCTTTCTGCGAAGAATGGTCTATTATGCCAGTAGCGTATACCCCTTGATGACTTATCTCTGAAGCGAGACCAGAGGCAAAGATGCTATCAAGACAGACCCTAAGTTGGGAGAAATCGCAAAAAAAGTATAAGAAAACTCGCGCGCAAATCGCTTTGAGATATCTGATTCAACGTGGCATAGCGGTTCTACCAAAATCGGTCACCAAATCGCGTATAGGAGAAAACTTAAACATCTTCGACTTCCAATCAAGCAAACAAGAGATGGCAATAGTTGATAGCTATAATATTGACCATAGGGTTCCCGGTACGGCATTCTGCCCATACAACAATTATCCATTCTGATGACAATGTGTAGTTAAAATATTAGTGTAGCGTTAGTCAGCTCCGGATCTGTTTTTTGAACTTTACAGAGGTGCCATTTTTCTTCAGTATTATTAGAGTATACCTACCTATTTGTATACAAGAATATATTTGTTTTAATAAAATTTACATGTAAATTTACACTTAGCGGAGTTCAAGCGCGTGGGTATTGGTGGATCGCCTGAAGATACGTTACTTAAATCATTCTGATTGGCTGACATTTGCCGCGCTTCGAAATTTAACCGTCTGCCTTCTGCACAGGGACATCAATAAGCCAAATCAGTTGTATCTTAAATCTTACTGTACACATTTCCGAGTGAAGCCTGTAATTTAGGCTTTTACTTCTGTTTAACCATGAACACAATTTCAGTTAAAATTTCGTCAAATTTCATATGACTGTTATGACGTCATATTGTGCTTCTTAACATCAGTTCACAAGCTGTCGCTAAGCATTGCATCTTTGACCATATGTCTGTCGGAAGATGCATCGCACATAGTCTACTATGCTCCATTCCGGTGATATTTTTGCTCACACGGACATAAATTGCTGCGATGTTATTATATTAATATGTGGTTTAATATGATGGTAAAGATCTAAAATTATATATTTATAAGGGTTTTCTGCTTTTAGAGGAACTTTTGAAGTTATCTGCGGCACGACGCGAGCAACTCGAAGATGCCATCAAGTTGTACAGCTTCTTTGCCGAGTGCGACGATTTCGACAAGTGGATGAAGGACAAAGAAAAGATGCTGCGAGCGGATGACGAACAGGATAGCGTCGATAACGCTAAGAGGAAATACGAAGTCAGTACACTTTTTTTTCATTATTTTCTTAATTTAAATAGATATAGACTTTAATGTCAGTGAGCAGAGTATATAGACTATTTCAAATTGATTACTATATTAGTATGGATATGACTCCTTATTCCGAGATTTAACTAATTAAACATTTGTCAAAATCACATAAATTGCTTCGATCCCATTTTCAATATGTACAGCAATCGCGGTTTTATTGTAAAGTTAGCCATTAACCATTTACCAAGTTTCGACAATAATCTAACAATAAATCCGATAGTGCTCATTATAGATTTATTGATTTGAAATTATGTACAATATTTTTCTTTCCCGCTAGAAATTTGTAACAGACCTATCAGCGGCTTCCAAAAGACTAGAACAGATAGATTCAGCTGCCGAAGAGCTTGTAGCAGCTAAACATGGACAAGCAGCAAAAGCTACCGCCAGGAGAGCACAGCTAAAGCAACAGTGGGACAGACTGCTGAGGCTTAAGTTGCAGAAAGAAAGAAGTTTGGAGGGGGCAAGCAGGTAGAGACTATATTTCAAAAACGTAAAAAGCATTTTAAAAGTTTCATATGATCAGATTACTCCACTGTCTGATTCATTTTTTTTTTTATTCAAAATTGTTACTTAATAAAGGAAAAACAAAGTGTTACTAAACAAATGTATATTCATTACATAATTTAAACCTCGCGTTAATTAAAACAATCAATCACTTGACATTTCAACGTTGATATCAACACGAATTTTGGTTGTACTCGCAACAAATATGCTGACGTTTGGTTTATTGAAATGTGATGTCACACAATGTTCTATCACGACCGCCAGCGTTTTCTTTTAATTCACAAATTAAAAATTGCAATTTGGTTTTGGAAAAATAAAATATGCTTACAATTTATTTTAAAATAAAAATTCTAAAAAGTTATTGTTTACGAATAATTTACCATTTCAAACACATTACATAATTTATTGTTATGTCTGTCAAGTAGTCAATTGAATATAATTTTCATATCTAGCGTGGAGTTGTTCAGCCGGACTTGTGATGAAGCGCTGGAATGGATGGCGGAGAAAGAACAACAGCTGGCGGCTTCCAGCGCTCCCCCTACAGATCTACGAACAGTACGAGCGTTACAGCGCAGACACGCACAGCTGGAGAGAGAGCTGGAACCGCTGCACGATAAAGTGCACACGCTCACACTGCTGGCTGACGAGTGAGTATAATAAGGATGTTTTATATATACAGGTGTTACAAACTGTAGCTGGAAAGTGGGCTGGAATATCTACAGGATAAAGTAAACAAGTTCACACCCCAGGCAGAGTTGGACTGTAACCCTAGTGTACATATAGTTATATTTACTATAACCATGGCTATAGTTATATTTACTAGTATTACATACAAACCGCTGAGATATTCACAGCTGAAAACTTAGTTGAAGGACTAATCTGATTCTCTGAAAACGAATTTTCGTCTGTTTTTAAAACACTAATATGACTCGAAACAAATCCATTTTTAGCTTATATATATATATATATATGCATATGATACAACAGAGATAGGACTTGGCACAAGATAATCTACCGCAGTCGTGCAAAGATATATTTCAAGGATATGATTAATGATTTTCCGAATATTCGTTCACGGACAAACAGAAGAGAGCTTCTGGAATTACTGTTCAACAGATGCGTTATGACCGTAGTCTAGTTATGATAAAATTTTATCCAAATAAGCTTTTTATTATACGTTTGTTTTCTTGAGATCTGACTATATTTTGTAATCACTATAATTTAATAATAAAGCATTATGTCAAAGTTCTAATGTAACGTCGTCATTTTACACGCAGCCTCCTATTTTGGTGTGAAAAACATAGGTATGGACTTAATTTGTTTTAAGCAAAATAATGAGACAGAAAATCGATTAATTCAACCGAATATCCGGTTCGGCAACAGTTAAAAGTAATAGCATTCAGTTATTATCCGCTATACGGCGTATCTCTAGTTTTAATACATTGTCAACGATAACCCTGGCAGCGTGAAGAGTCAGTACCCGTCTGAGCGCGCCAGTGTTGAAGCCCGTCAGCAACAGATCAACGCGATGTGGACGCGCTGCCAGGCGCAGGCGGCTGACAGGCGAGCTCGATTAGAGAGCGCCGTTGGACATCAGATATTCGGCACTAGTGCTGGTGTGCTGCAAGACTGGCTGCAGGTAACGTACATAAATTAGGAATAGGGAACTTAACTAACTGTAAAATATATGCGGAGGTTTGTAAATAAAATTGTCATAGATGTAATCATATTGTGATTGATGCTGTAAGCTCCCCAAAAAGAATATAATAAAATAAAAATAAAACTTATATTGAAAATATTGTTAATGAAAAATGCTTAAAAAATCCTCTTTGTCCCTGGTACTCAGAGATGGGACTCGACCCACTATCTTTTGCAATCCGGGTGACTCTAACCACAGAGCTACTTAGGACCTAATAGGACTGGCGAATTTTTCAAGCATTTGTCAGTGCCAGGGATAAGAGGATTTTTCATTATATTTTTCAGCATAGCAACATCAATACATAGCTACCAATCACATAAATTGTGTCTTGTACTTGGTGGTCTATTATATTTTATGTTCGTTATACTTATATTATAAAGAGAAAACTACGATTTTTTGTTTGTTTCTTTGCATGGAATAGGCTCCGAAACTGCAAAATCGATTATAAAAATTCTTTCACCTACGGTATATGTACATCTGTCATAGGCAGGTGACATGGGCTACAGCTTACGTGGGTGAAACCGCGGGATAACAGCTAGTAGTTCGTGTTGAAAAACTATGATAAAACATATAGTCCAAGAGCTGGTGAATGAATGAATGAATGAATACTTTTATTGTACACCATAATTAAACAAAAGGAGAATCGATACAATTTAGTGGTACAATCGGCGGCCTTATCGCTAAAAAGCAATTTCTTCCAGGCAACCGCAGGTTAGACTGGACTTACTTAAGTAGGTGGGCAGTAGATGGTGTCTTACATGGCGAGAAAACATGTTTTCATATATAAACATACATACATACACACAAGCTCATACATAAATATACATACATAAATATGCATATATACATAAAATAATAATAATATCATAATAAATATAACAGTACCTAAAAAAGTATACAGTAGAAGTAGGATGAAAACGATAGCGTATTATACTTGAAGTGATAAATAATATTCTCTTAACATCTTCTTAAAGCAGTGCAGTGATGGAGCGCGCATTATTTCTTCCGGCAATGCATTCCACAAGCGAACAGCCTGAACTGCGAATGACTTATCAAGGAATTTTGTGGAATGCATCGGCATCTGTAATTTTAAGCTCTCTGATGATCTCAACGCGCGAGAGTGTGAATCGCGAAGGAACTTGAAGCGTTCCTTAAGATAAGTTGGAGAGAAAGGATTGAACAGAATATTGTAAAGCAGGGAAACAATATGCGCATTCCGACGAAAACGAATTGGCAACCACTTGAGCTTAGTGCGAAAATCAGATATATGATCATATTTGCGCAACCCAAATATGAATCTAATACAAAAATTTTGGAGTCTCTCAAGTTTATTTAATTGCTCCTCAGTTAAATCTAGATAGCTGACATCAGAGTAATCCAGAATTGGAAGAAGAAGGGATTGTGCGAGCGCAATTTTAGTGGCCACTGGTAAGAAATTACGCAGCCTCTTCAAGGAGCCAGCTGCAGCAAAGATTTTACGACTCGTTTGCTCGATCTGAGATCCCCATGTCAGGTTTTTGTCTATGATTATACCTAAATTTCGTACGCTGTCACTTGGGGCTACAATGATACCATCAAACATTATTGCAGGTAAACATGACCACTTAATTTTATTTGTCATTGCAGGGCTGCCAACAATAATGGCTTGGGTTTTCAAAGCATTTACTTTTATGCCGTAGGACTTACTCCAATCACAAATTTTCTCTAAGTCACGGTTCAGAGCATTGATCGCAAAAGATAGTTGGTCAGGACAAGCTTGGGAATAAACTTGTAAATCATCAGCATAAAGGTGGTAGGATGAAACTAACTGGCGTGAAATAGAGTTGATAAATATAGCGAAAAGTAATGGAGATAGAACGCCACCCTGTGGTACCCCAGCAGAAATATCACACCAAGTTGAAAAGGTATCCTCAATGCGTATCCGCTGACGGCGTCCAGACAGGTAACTACGAAACCAGTCAATTACGGCTGGAGATATGTTAATAGAGCGTAATGTGCCAAGCAGAATGTCAAAGTCAACGGTATTAAATGCGTTGCTAAAATCGAGTAATGAGAGAACCGTTACTTTTCCATGTTCCATACCTGACCTTATATCATCGGTGACATTTACCAGTGCAGTGGTTGTGCTATGACTAGCACGGAAGCCGGATTGATAGGGGTTTAGGACTTGATGTTTGAAAAGGAATGTGGACAGCTCACTGTGAATAAGCCGTTCTAAGACTTTCGAAAGGAATGGTAGTATGGAAATAGGCCTATAGTCTGAAAAGGATAGTGGTTTGGATTTTTTAGGTAACGGCGTTACGTTAGCGTCTTTCCAGACAGAGGGAAATTCACCCATGCTTATGGATTGGTTAAAGATATGAGACAAAATGGGAAGAATTTCGTCTAGGATAAGCATAATCATTTTCCTGCTGATAAAGTCTTCACCCACAGCACTGGAGGATATTGACATAATGCTCTTCTTAACATCACAGTCAGTAAATTGACGAAATGAAAAATGTGGGTAGTCTGGGCATGGAAAAGATGAAAGATAATTCAAAGTGTCGGCCTTGCTCAATGGGTCGCAGCTATGTGAAGAGGAAAAATGTTTATTAAGTAAATTAATATCTAACTCACTAGAGGAAGAAGCTTGACGCTGTTTTCCTATGCCCAGAGATCTTAGAAATTTCCAGACTTTTGCTGGATCTTCGACTTCAACGGAGCTGTGAATAAATTGGCGTTGTGCATTCCTACACACCTTATTGCATTGATTACGAACCTTGACATACTTTTCCCAGTTGGAGGGTGTGGGCCTGCATTTGTACTTGGTCTTGGCAGCAGCCTTTTGCTCTGACAGATGGTGGTGGATATTTTTCAAGAAGTGTTTGAGGCATTATAAAAACTTGTTCAATATATTTTTGTAATACCTAAATTCTAAAGATGCTGACTTAGCAGGAGGATAATGGAATTTAAAAATAAGTCATTCAATATTAAAGATCTCAAAAATATATATTTTTTTTTGCTATTTTAGAAATATTCAATTAATTCGATTTATTGTAACATCCTTTGTAGCTTAGTGGTTCGTATTGTAACAGTGCTTCGTACCACACCGTTTTTTTTTTCTTTTTTACTTTTTGTCAGTGTCATCCAATCTTTAAGATCGTTTTATTTTTTTATTATTATCTTTTTCTAATTTGAAATTTTTAGAAACACCACATGTTCATTCTGAATGTCAGTTCGTAAAAAATGTACGTGTAAGTTTGCACCTTATCTTCTACGGAAAACCCCACATAAGGTTTTTTCTTTTATCATAAACTAGCTTTCCGCCAGCGGCTTCGCCCGCGTGGTATTGTATTATACATAAAAACCTACCCTTTGAATCATCCTATCTATGAAAAAAAAAAACCGCATCAAAATCTGTTGCGTATTTTTAAAGATTTAAGCATACATAGGGATATAGGACAGAGATAGTGACTTTTTTTTATACTATGTAGTGATGTATAAGCCTGCCTTTTCTTTTGACTAGCAAACCAACAAACTAGCCCAAACCCCGTTAAAGTACGTCGGCTTCATGATGTATTTGATGATATCTTTGAGGTCCCGAGTTCGTGGTAATGTAGAAAAAGGACTTTTATATATTGTTTCGGGTCATTGTTATGTGTTTCAGATACTTCATAATACAGAGGCTTTAGCTACTGATCTTGGAATTTGAGCAATATATAAGATGTTTGATATTTATTTATTATCTATTAGAAAGTACAAGAGCAGTTGCAAGCGGAGAGCTCCGCTAAGGATGTGGCGACGGCGGAAGGTCTCCGTAAACAACACCAAGAGCTACACGACGATATCAAAGCGCATGATGACGAGTGAGTTCTTCATCATCAGCCCTTTTACGTTCCCACTGCAGGGGCTCAGGCCTTCCTTATGAATGGTTAAGGACGATGGGCCATGACCAGCCACACTGGTCTAATGCGGATTGGAAGGTATTATTAACGACTGCAAATGCAGCCGGGAGCAACGGCTTAACGTGCTTGCTGAAGCACGGAGTAGTTCGAGATAATAATGTTTTAGTCACCCATCCCGTGACCGACCATTGCGAATGCTTATTAATGTCCCAACCACTGGGGCACAATCGAATAATATCGAATATGGAGAATGGGACCATGACCCTCCACACGGGCTTAGTGCGTATTGTACTTAACGACTGCACATACAGAATGGAACGACGCTTCCGAAAGTGCTAAAATTAATAAATTTTTGGTCATCCATCCCTTTGCAAAAGTTGCTTAACTTCCGCATTGCATACCGAACGCTCTAAGGCTACCAACGCTTTACAACAACTTAAAATAAATAAGATGAGTGATTCTAATTCGTTTCCAAAAATTCATTTCAAAAATCTGTATTTATCAGATTCGCTGAAGTGATACAGTTGGGTAAACAGCTATTGTCCAACAACCCGGCGCTCACAGACGTCGCTGACAAGATAAAACACCTGGAACAGGAACAGGCCAACGTACACAAACGTGAGTATATACTTACAAACATTCACACACATACACACACTAGATTATATTATGCATAGAGTAGGTTACGCATTCAATCTTCACTCTACTGTCGCCAGATGGCAAAACGCTGTAGTTGGCATTTAAAAAAAATAAGATTAAAGGTTTTTTTTTTATGATTATTGCTCATTACTCGTAAACAATGTATGTTTTATAGTTTATTTCCGAAATAATACCAATTTCTTGTTCTAAGCCATTGTGATTTTAGAGGCATTAAAGCCGTGTTTTGCTTAAACGCCGTAACCGCTTCTACCGCATTTTGTTGTTAGATGGCAGTCTATTTACACACATACTCACTCACTTATAAATATGTTTCGTCAATTGATTCACTCAAGTATACTATACTCTTCACACAAATTTTTCTTCGATCTCACTTACTCTTATGGCAAATGGCTTACTCACTTACTCTTATATATATCGCGGATAGACTTTAATTCGAATATATACAAAAACTAGTTGTTTAAATTTTTTTACCCATATATTATAAAATATTTGTGTACAATAACCTTGATATTATTGACCATTAAATTACGGCGATACGTCGAGTTCAAATGTCGCATAACGTCACACCTTTGTACATTTTCTACTTATTTGAGACGTAGCGAGCCCCCACTCTTTAATTTTAATGCCTATTATCTAAGCCATTTCTTGTGAAGACTGTTTATCCCGTTTCATGTTGTTTGTGATAATTTCGGTACTTTTCGAGCGCCTTTAATCATGAAAGACTTATTTAAAAATATCAAATATTACCTACACGTCGAGGAAATTTTGTCGTAATAACAATATTAATGAAGCTCCAATGGATCAATACGAGTCGGTAACACTATACACGTCAACTCAAGCAAGAAGTACATTGCAATTACCTAAACTCGACGCAACGGATTTGGCATAAACGCTATTCATTTGAAGTGAAAAATATAACTATTTAATGATTTTCTATGAACGGACTGCCCGCAATAAGTAGAATTTCTTTTTTTTTTTACTTAGGCATCATACCTATTGATTACGTCTACTTCGAATTCCAGACTATTACATGCAACATTCTGCAAACAACCGATGTTGGGAGAATATATATTTGAATATTTCTGTTGGTACTTAGAATGGGCGGACAAAGATACGTATTTGATGCAGTTAGTACAGCTGCAGAGTGTGAATCGTGAGGCTGATCGTATTGACGCTTCCAGCGGTGCACATTCCGCCTACCTCGACTACCAACCATGTGGGGTGAGAATCAATATAAATACCTGTATCTCGTATGAATTAACATGACACACCTTAGTGTCTATTGTATTGGTCCTTGACCGAAAATTCGGAAAATTTCGTATCATACTTGTCCTATGAGAATTCTAATATTTAAAAAAAAAAAGATAGGTTCTCTTTGAAGAGAGCAAATACCAATAATTATAATTTTGTTCAAGAGACTCGTGAACAACGTTTTTGGATAATCATTGATATTTTAAATTAGTAATTTAGGATATTATGTGCAGTCATCAATTCTTATTATGTAGGATATTATTTACTTTTAATTTATATAAGTCATAAATTCATCCAAATCAATAATAGTTGTTAAATCCTTGTATAACTAATAGTGTAAATAATAGTTGTTGTTACAATGTTGATAAATCGACGATATTACTCATTTTTTTTATTAATTCTTTTCAATATAAAATTTACATAATCTTAACCCATAAACTATATGGAAATGATACGGACACCGCCGGCACTCCGCATGATATTGCCATTATAAGAGTATAAATTTCTTTATACTCAAGAAACTGAGTTTAATGGGAAGTTTAAAGATTTAAAAATCTTCTATTTACACTCTTTTGTTTTAAATTACTGCTGTCAGACCTCACTGTTGTGCGGAATGTATGTCATCATCAGCTCTGTTACGTTCCCACTGCAAGGGCTCAGGCCTTCCTTATGGTTGGTTAAGGAGGACGGGTCACGCCTCCACGCTGGTCGAGTGCGGAGGGTATTTACGATTGTAAATACAGCATGAGCCAACAGCTTAACGTAATAGTTTTTTGGTCACAAGTTACTTCACAACGACGTTCGCGGGCCACCGCGCTAATTCACTACGCCACCTAGTCGGATTGTATATAACGTTGACTAATATAATTATTATAGTCCTCGGTGGAGGAGGTAGAAGCATTGCTGAAGCGTCACGAGGAGTTGGAGGCGCGTCTGACAGCTCAAGACGAACGGTTGTCAGCGTTCGTCACTCGCGCCACCACACTCGTGGAGAATAACCATCCACACGCCGCACAGTAAGTACATACATATTACAGTTTCCTTTCATCCCCCTCCCCTCATACTCGCAGCTTGTTTTATTAGGTAGGCCATGGCAAATCACCCGGGGGAACGAAATCTGCAAGGTTTTTATTATTGTTTTTGTTTCTGCAAATCACTAGGATAAGTTGTAAAACACAGTACGTACTCGCGCTGGGGTAGATAGCCGACACCATGTGATCTATGAGTTTAAATATAGTAAAAATCTTAGGGTTACTAGCACCAACATACTTTAACAATAACAAACATGCTAAAGTACCTATTAGACAACCGAGATTGAACCGAGATTTGTTTTTAAATTTAAGGTTTATGTAAAATTTGACAATATCTGTCACGCCGACTATAACATTGGCAGTGGAATGCGTTGCATCATCCTCTTTCTGGGCATAGTAAAACAAACACTTTAACCAGCGACACTTAGGAGATTATAGTATACAGTTAAAGTTACGAAGTCAACAAAAACAAATGTTAACTTAATATTACTTGCTTAGCCGGTACTTTAACATGTTTGTTATTGTTAATGTAAATTTGGTTCAAGAAAGCAGCAGATTTTGTTTATTTGCTCGACATAATTTTTCCGATACATATCTATTCTAATATTATAGGAAAGATTTACTTCTCTGTTTGCATTCAATAGATTCCGAAACTGCAGGACCGGTTTAAAAAAATATCACACTACCGGAAGCTACAGCATCGGGGGACATGGGCTATAATTTACTTTTATTTGTTATTCTGCTTTCCTATATGGTATAGCCCTTTAACATCCCCACTGTAGGGGCTCAGGCCTTCTTTATGGATGTTTAAGCACACAGTAACTTGAGATAATATTATTTTATTGATCACCGATCCCGTGACCAACCTTTGCGAAAGTTGGCTTAACAACAACGATCGCGGGCCGCAGTCTATATACTCCACCGAGTTACTCTATGGTATATTGAATTAACGAAAATGAGCGTTATAGTAAGATCAAAAAAATGCAAAATAATAAGAAATAATGTTTGTCTGTAGTATCGCAGCCCGTAGAGATGCAGTAGTAGCACGTCGTGATTCAGTGAGACGCGCGGCGGCCGACAGACGCCGGGCGCTACTAGCTAGTTTAGCTCATCAACAGGTGAGACATTACATTAATAATAGAAATCTTGTTTTACACAAATAAATGAAAAACACGTGTGAAAAACATGTGTGTTGTTTTACACAAATAAATGAAAAACACAAACAGTTGTTTCTAGTTACATTTTTTAATATTTTAGAGAATTCGTTTTCAAATAAGGCTTGAGTTAATATTGTCAGTAAACTTGTCAATAGTTATATTTCTTGCATTTAGTTCTTACAAGTCATTTGGAAACTTATACTAGAATTGTTTAGTAATTATTTTCTATGTTGACTTTGTTTATCTAGCTTTTTATTAAGACTGGAAATGTAAGGAAAACGGCTTGTTTTTAACCATGTTTATGTGTTTCTTAAATAATGAATAATTCTATAATTCCCTAGTTTATCGAAGCTGCCGAAGAGTTACAAGCATGGATTCAAGACAAAACCAGAACAGCTAAAGACCAAAGCTACAGGTGAGTAAAATATTGTAGGAAACAGTAAATGCATTTCTTTTAACATTTGATTAGTTTTGGATTAAAATGTTAGATAATAACAAAAAAAAATCAGCGTCTGGTTGTTTTGCAATAATAAATCTACTAGATTTTAACGACACAAGTTTATGGATTTTCTTTCTTTGTATAATAAAGATCAAACGTCCCAAGTGCCAGACATATAACTTTAATGTCCGATAGAAATGTGTATTATAGATGACATTATAACATAACTTATGTTTACAGAGATTTAGCTAACCTCGAGAGAAAACTTCAGAAACACGAGGCCTTTGAAAGAGAACTGCAGGCGAATGAGAAGCAACTCCGAAATGTTGAGAGTGTAAGTTTTAATTTAATTTACCTCAGCTTTATTGCCGAGTTTTATTCGTTTCTTGTTTCTTTTTCATTGTATTGTGCCTGTCACATACGCACATGCCTAGCGCAAGGAGCCGCATTACGAATACTTTAGATATTGCTTAATTTCGTTATGTCGCAATTCCTAAATATTTAGGTGACAGATTTGGGCGACTCCTGTGTTTAGTGAAAACGGGCATTAGTAATACTCGTATGATGATTATAAATTGACTTCACCACGGCCATTTATTATTTCCAACATTTGCCTTTTCATAAGACAATACAATAAAAGAATTTGACTATTGGGGTAAAAAAAGCTTGTGACGTCATCGAAAACCAATATGGCCGACGTCTTTTTTTCTTCTGTCATTTATTTAATAATAACTTTAGCCATTCACTATTACATTCTTTCGATTGTACTTTGTTATTTTTAGAAAAGTGTTTTTAATATTCAAATAATTCTATATAGATCGGCAAGTCCCTACAACAGTCGGACGCTGGTCGTGCATCGCAGGTTTCCGCGTTGTTGGGAAAGTTGCGCGACAGTTGGGAACAGCTCGTTCTTGCATCTCGCGACAAGGGTGCCAAGCTGAGGCAAGCCGCCGCGCAGAGGAAACACAAGAGGTAAGTGTAACATATGAAAGGAAAGGAATTAAAAATGCAAAAATATATATCTGTGTAAATATTATCGTAGTATAATAAATAAATAAAATAATAAGTAATAAAATACATAAAAAAAACATCATCAAGGCGAGCAAAGCGACAGGAAAGGAAAATCAGAACAAAAAATAACACCATTTGACATATATTAACAGAAAAGAAATCAAGAGAAAATAAAACTATTTACACAGCCCGGTTTGATGGTCAGTTCGTAACACTGTGGAATTATGACATCTATCTATCTTCTGAAATCAAAACAAGTTTCTTACGGCGTAATCGTCACGTAATTCTATAAAAACTTTTAAGAGCCTTTTCTAGTTTTTTTTTTAAATAATGATATTTATTACACAGAGCTATTGAAGATGCCAAAGCACGCCTTACTGATTTGGAACGTGCGCTCAAGAGTGAAGAAGTGGGCACCGACTTAAGGAGTTGTAAACGATTAATGAATCAACATCAGGTACTTACAATACTGTAGGCGACTGCTATAATAGGTATGATGACTGATTATTTACTGTCTGTCCATCATGTAGATTATAGAAGATTAATAAATACGTATTTTTTTATTTGTTGAAATATCCCATGACGTCGAGCCTTTATTCGTTTTCTACATAATTGTTTTGTAGCGAGGCAACTCAGTGCCTTTTATCCAAGCCATTTCTTGTTAGGTTGAAGCAAATAAAACGTATTTAATATTTTTCTATTATCTGACTGACAGACTAAATAGAAATGTATTTTTACGCAGTCATCGTTCCTATTATAAGAAGGTCTTAATCTTATGACTATGATATGGAATGCAATAAAATAAATAAATAAATTATTACCAATTAATTTGTTGGTTGACTGTAGTCATGGTAGGTGGTGTACGTATGTGTCCGTATCTGCCATGATATTCGTTTATAACAATTAAGACAAAACTCAATATAACAATGATTTATAGTGTCATGATTGTATTTGTTCATCAATGTCGTATCGATGAAAAATTGACGGTGACACATGTTGCGACTTGTTTAAAATCCATAATATTTCTAAGTATAATCAGCCGGCCAATGAGGCGGCTAACCCTTTACTTGAATGGCGCCATTCAATTAACAGGCATACTTTCTATCAGCCGAGTAGCTGAATACGGCAACGTTCTGCAATACGGCTGAACAAAAGGTTAGCCAACTTATTTATAATTTATTGTCAACTCACTGGCAACACCAATATTTATTGGAAGTAAAACCAAATATAAATTTAAATTAGTGATTTTATATAAAACTTAAAATTCCTTGTTACGATTTGTAATTGATACAGATACAGGAGTGATCAAAATGATAATAACAAATTGCTTATTAACGATTGGGTGTTAATGGTCCGTATGATCCAGTACAGGAAACTAACGCACGCACCTATAACGCAAGTGGGTTAAGCTTAAACTTTCATAATAAATTCTTAACACTAATACAATTAAACAAAGATAAGATATTCCGCGATTCAGACGGCCACAGCGCCATTTATGGAAAGTAGAGTAAGCAGTGTATATGACTGCTATTGTTTAGTATGTTTATTACGGTTTCGAAGTTTTAGAACAGGTCTTTTTTAACAGATAACAAAACTAAATGAATGTTTTTGGATCAGCCACCTTGTTGAACAGTCCAAATGTCATAATGATTCAACAAGGAAACTATGCATGCAATTGAATTTCGCCATCCAATTAAATGGCTAGCCGCCCAATCGAACGGTTATTTTAACCAACTGGCTGCAACATATATATATATATATTTATTTAGTTTTTTCAACAATGGATATACTAATAATTATTTTTTTAACAGTTTAATATTATATAGTAATGTAGTAAATGCTCTGTACATCCTATTTTCTACTTAAGTCAATATCACAGATAAACGTAAAAAAACTATAGTTAATTGTAAAAATGTAGTGTCTAATTTATTTGTCCTGTCTGGTTTTTATATTTCAAATCCGATTACTCTGCTCGTAGTGGGCGTTGTGCACGTACAAGAACAAAATTCATTACATTCTTTAATAAAATTGGTAACATTATGTTATGTCATATTCGATGTGTTATTATGCAGGCTCTAGAACAGGAGCTCGCACAGTGGGAACACAAAGCGGGCGTATTGCAGTCTCAGGGCGCTGATCTTGTATCTGAAGGTCACTTCGACGCGGACGCGATACAGCGTGAATCGGCTGCGCTCGTAGAAAACGTACGAGCACTTCATCAACCCGCCGCCACCAGGAGGCAGGCGATAGAGGACAGCGAGCGGTGAGTCTTATGTCTATATCCTTCACTCTCACTCAGTGTGAGTGGTACACTCCGATATTTGATTGCTTTATTGTAAGGAATACTCCTTTCATCTTATAACTTCTGTCACATTTCATAGATCTTAGTTTTATTTAGCAGGTACTTGAAAAATAAATTCATTCTTTTTTTCTAGCCATCCCTCTTATTTCTTATTCCTTTTTCAGTATCCATTTTATCGCCTCTCTGTTTTCTATCATTTGATGCCATTATAAGATCATATTTATTGTTTTAAAAATAATTGTATCTTGAATGCGAACAGGCTTGTAAATTTTTGAGAAACAATATTCGTGATATTCGTACTACCTTTTTCGCAGTTGTCTGCGAAACCGTACTGACAAGAACGCAGCTATTTAATCGAGCTAATAATAGAGCGAGACAAGACATATAAGAAACATTGCCATACAACTGACAAGATTCGCTAATGATTTCGCATTCGCACGCGATTGCGTCTGTGTACTAACGGCGTTAGTGTTACAAATTAAATTATATCTGCTCTATTACATTTATATGTATATCTCGAATATTATACAGTGTAAGCAGCGTAATAATTATTATAATAGTAAAATAAAACTATAATTTATAGTCCTGTCATGAGGAAACTAGTGCCTTATGTGCCTTATCTAAGAAACTTGTAGACACAGGTCATTACAGATACCCAAAGAAAAATTTTACATAGCATTTCGAGAAAAGATATTAATAGACACAAAATAAAAATGAAATATGATTAAAATAGTATTCACATACTAATCTAAGAATAGAAAGTATAATTCCAGTAATAGTTAAGTAATTTAAAGATTGATTTTGTAGATTACAAAGGTTCGCACTGGAAGTGGGCGGGGAGGTCTCATGGTTGCAGCAGCGCGGCGCCGCCGCTGTAGCGCCGGTCACAGCGGCCGGCGCTGCCGCGGCGCTGAAACATCACGCCAAACTTATAGCTGAGTTACACGCGCGTCGACCGCACGTCCAGAAAGTATTAGCGCAAGGAAAAGCTCTGCTTGCTGATGGACATCCAAACGAAGACAAGGTATGTACCATCTAAACCAGAGGTTCCTAAACAATTTTTAGTCGTAGACCACCTGCTGCTACATTTTTGCCATATTCCCAAAATTCATCCACAATGTAAAGATCTAACGATGGAAATTAGCGTCGCGGGTGAGTTCCAACCCTAAATTCGCCTCTTCTATTTTTATTTCACGCCAACGTTGACCCCCTTTGAATCTCTCGTGGACCCCTGGGAGTCCACCTGGACCACTTAGTGAATCACTGATTTAAACTAATATCTAATATCATCAGCCCTTTTACGTCCCCACTGCTGGAGCTCAGGCCTTAATGTATGGTTAAGGATACTCTATGACCCTCCACGCTTCACGCTTTCGGCGTTCGAAAAATTTGAACTAAACAATGGAGTTAATGCGATTTTCATCAATATACAGAGTGATTCAAGAGGAAGTTTTATAAGTATAATGCAGGACCATCTGGGCGAAGCCGCTGGTGATAAGCTAGTTTTAAATGCGAAAGTAATTATGTTTCTTTTACGTTTTCACGCCTAAACTACTGAACCAATAGGGATAATGACTAGGTATTATAGTATTAAGTCCGTCAGTTAGATATAAGAAAAATATTTGATACGCATTTTTTTATACAACAAGAAATGGCTTAGATAATATGCAGTAAAGTTTAGGAGTGGGGGCTCGCTACGTCACAGCTATGTAGAAAATGTACAAAGGGACGTCACGCGGCATTTTAACTTAATGTATCGCTGTAATATATTAATTATACAAAAACTAAAAAAGTGGGGCTTGGGAAAGGATACAATATAGTTTTTATCAAAAGTCAATCTAAAACTGACCGTGAATTATTTAAATTATTTTAACTTCTACATGCAGATCACGGAACTATGCACGACTTTGGAGAAAGAGTACGCGGAGGTTGCCGCCGCGGCGGAAGAGCGCGGCGTCAGATTGGAGGAAGCAGCTAAGGCGCAGCAGTTCCTCAACGACGCCGTAGAACTGGAAGCGTGGCTCACAGACAAGGTAACATAAGTTTAAAAGCTATGATATAATGTAATGCATTAGACATTTTTACGTTGTTAAGGTGGTAAGGTTAGGTAAGCTGTGTACATATTGCTTTAGTGTCCGCCAATTCGAACAAACAACCCATGTTTATCGACGTAATTTTCAATTTTTAAAACAAAACTGCTACCCGATCCCGAGTGACGGCATCGGCCCCCTTCGTTAGGGTCAAGTACGTCACGGCGTTTGTATTCAAATGTCAGCCTTTTAAATTAGCAGGATATTGAAAATTGTTCATATTTGTAACTTAGTGTGAAACCATTATAGTAAATGTTTTGACAGAAGCGTACACAGGAATTTATTATTCTTGCAAAAAAATTGTTTATTCGTAGTTCTTCAGCGTTACGCGTAATTAAGTTTAGATGAGAAAGACCTTTTTCAACCAGTACAGCATTTGAATCTCTTCCCTCGGGAGTCCCACAAGGATCACACTTGGGGCTGATTTAATTTATAATCTCAGTATAATCGCACTATACTCTAATGGAGTTTCTAATGCTCAACAATTTCTCATATGATAAGCTTAAACAATTTATATTATTATACATCAAACATGTTGTAAAAACATTTTTGTTTACTCTACATTGACTTTAAAATGTGCCGAAATATAAGTTTTTTCTCGTTTTTTTTCCTAGGCTGCCGCTTTAGCCGACCCCGACGTGGGTCGCGACTCGCATCGCGCTACTCAGCTGCTCACCAGGCACAAAGTAAGTGACTAAAAGTCGAAGTCATTTTTAAACTTCTTTAATAAATAATTTGGTTTTTAAATAGGTTTTGTCAATTTAAATAGTACATAAGTTTCAATATTGACAAGAGAACAAATTATTGGTGAACTAACCAAGGAGTGCCATCAGCACGTCTGTAGATGAGATGGCTTATATTGTCAGATTTAAAACAAATTAATCAATATTTCTGTTAAAGTGCAAATCATTATAAGCTAAGCTTAATCTATTATTTATTCGTTTTATAAAAATTAAGAGTTCTGCTTGAAGAGGGAATGCTTACAATTTACTAAATATATCAGTATTTTAAAGCTTTCTATCATTGGTTAAACGAGATTATAAATTTTAATAACAAAATAAATACATAATTAACTTCGATTAAAATACAGATCAACAATAATTAAGTAAGAATTCAGTATTGCTTGAAAAAATAAAAAATCTGGGAAAATTTCTCGTCGTGTAGGCGGTGGAATTAGAACTAGACACGTATGCCGCCATAGTGGCGGAGATGGGTCACTGTGCGACATCTATGGAAGCAAACGGTCACCCATCCGGCGCTGCGCTGGTCGCTCGACACGCGCTACTGGCTGAGAGTCTGCAGCGGCTGCAGCGTTTAGCTGAACTCAGGCAGCGAGCTTTAGTAGAGAGCGTATGCAGGTAAAACATCCAACTACAGGTTTCGTGCGGTTTTCTTTCCTTCATTTATCATCATCACCAGCCCATCAACGACCTCCGTAGCCGTGTGGTTCGCTCGCCGGTTTCAAGGTGTCGCCGTCTCAAAGTCCCGGGTTCGATTACCGGTTGGGTCTTTTCTATATTTTTTTTTTTTTTTTTCTTTTTTTTTAAGGTTTTAAAAAAATATTTATTAATATTGTCTCGGTTCTGGGTGTTGTGTTACCTTCGTTGTCTTAGATACTCCATAATACGGGCGCTTCAGCTAGTCATCTTAGAATCTGAGCAATGTACGTGATGTTGTTTAATATTTATTTATTTGCTATGATCACGCAGAGCTAGTGTTGATTAGTGGGTGTTAATGACTACTGATGCAGCGGGGACCAACGGTGACGTCATAACGCCCCATCCGACGTACTAAGAAACGCGAGATAATAAATTTCCAGTCACCCAGTTGTGATTTTTTCATAGCATAATTTTGTTCGACTTAATGATGATTTTCTTCGGGAGTAATTATGTGTGTATGGCATAATTTTTATTGGGTTATTTTTTATCCAATCATTTAGTTAAAAACCACTTTAGATGTATTGCGGACTTCATCATACTTTGTCCCACTATTATGTATAAAAAATACGTCATTAAAGAGGGACAGATGACGAAATTACCAACAAAATTGAAGATTATGACACTTAAAATATTCTATACTTTTAGACACGAATACTTAGCGGAGAGTGCAGAATTAGAAAGTTGGATTCAGGAACAGTACGCTGCTGCATCGAGCGAGGATTACGGCCATGACTACGAACATCTGTTGGTAAGTATTTGTGAACTACCTATAATTAACACGATGCCTTTATATGATGGTTCTAATTTAGCAACGCCTACATGGACGCGTACACGTAGCATGTAATCGATTAGCAGGAAAAAAATCACATCATCATAAGATGGCGCTTTCGCACAATATATGGAACATATTAGCTTATTAAATATCCTCACTGGTGGGAGAGTATACGAGAGTGGACTTTGATTTAGTTCAGTGCGGATTCGTGACTATTGACGACTGCTGAGACAGCCGGCATTAACTCTTGGTGTGTTTTTTAAAGTTAAAATTATGACCTTATTATTTCTTAAATAACTTAAACACGAAATGTTTTTCCGTATAATTTATAAACTAAATTGTTAGGAAAAATGAATCTTAACAATACGCCTTGTGATCCAGATCTTAAGGTCCAAATTCGAGGAGCTCCGTCTCAGAGTTGAGAGCGGTGCTGAACGGTTTAGCCAATGCGAAGAGCTGGCGAAGAAACTGCTCGCTACAGACAGCCCTTACATAGCTGACATCGAAAAGAGACAAGAGGCTTTGGGGTACGTATATCTCTCTTAATCTTTAGTGATAACATCAAAAAGAATTTATTTTTCGTCTACATTTTTTTTTATACAGTAATAAACAATTTTATTCTAAAGTTATACTAATATTTGTCAAATAAAAATAATTTTATGGAAACAAACATATCATCGATTCCTTCCTAAAAACAGAAACATAAATTTCAATAAATGGCTCGATAGAAATGTTCACAAAATGACTCTCAATAGGTTAACTATATAAAAATATATACCAAAATAGGTTTTGATAAATATATATTTTTTAAACTGCATTTGTTTCATTTGGTGATTAAAATATATGAAACTAGCTTCGCCAGCGTGGTCTTGTATTATACATAAAAACCTTCCTTTTGAATCACCCTATCTATGAAAAAAAGCCGCATCAAAATCCATTGCATAGTTTTAAAGATTAAAGCATACATAGGGATATAGGGACAGAGAAAGCTACTTTGTTTTATACTAGGTAGTGATCAGGCGAGCAAGTCATTACTCTCGATTTGTATTTGTATGTGAACGTAAGCGGAGGTACAAGAGGGCCTTATTTAACTTTCAGAGAGTCATGGCAACGTCTAGTAGACCAAATACAATCGCGTGGCGCTCGCCTCCACGCCGCTGGTGAAATACATCGCTTCCACCGTGACGTAGCGGACTTACTAGCGCGTGCGCATGATAAACGCGCGCTACTAGCGACCCCCCCACCCGCTAGAGACACTAGCAAGGGAGAACTGCTAGCTATAGAGGCACAGATGCAGGTAACACTATTGTTTATAATAATAAACAGTTTACTGATCAAATAAAACAGATTTATATTATACATTAATTGTAAGCAAACGGCGACCTTTTTTATTTGTTGTTGCACGACAAAGTGACTGTAATATACATGGTGGGAAGTGATATTACAGTCTAATAATAGTCGCAGCTGTCAGAAGTCGGAAACTACTCCTGGTAGCCATCACTATCTTGCCGGCCTATTAAAGAGCCTTTTCATACCTCTTGTTTTTTTTTCACACCTTGTTGCTTAACAAAAATCTCTCCGAAGCAAACTATGATGAAAGTAGAAAATTACTTGTATTAAACATTCCTGGTTAAGATTTATACTATTAAATATTAAAATTAAAAATGCAGTCAACGTACACAATTTGCGCAGCATAAATGTAATAGCAGTTTGTGTGCTGGAGACAAATTTATAAAGGATTTGTTCATCTAATTACTATGGTGTAGATAACAATAACGGAGGTTAAAATCATAGTAGTGCACATATTGTTTTACCAACCGCATTGGTTTTTTTTAAACAGTGGCGGGTAGCCCATATAATTAATTATGAACCAATAGAAATCTGAATTTTGTTAAACTTATCCATATCTTGTGAAACACCATTCGAAAATGTAACGCTCAAACATACACATCAGCTGTTGCAATAGAAAGGTATTCTAACGAGGAGGTGTTCTAAAAACAGATATAAACATTAATATTAGAAAGGTTCATTCAATTAATATTAGTAATACGGGTGTTAACATTTTTTTATATATTTTTTGTAGATATAATTTAAATATAATAAATTATCTCTCATATATTAATTTAAAATCTAATAATAAAATTCATGTTCAAACTTCCAGCTAAAACGTTAACCTTTGTCATATCGTCGATGTCACGTTACCTCTGTCAACTCTCTGAAATAATTTCTGCTTCTTTTTTAATTCATGGCCTATTTGCGTTTACACAATTCCGCCAATGTCACGTTTGTGGTCTTTACACGTAAAGAAATAGTAATAAAATATGTCAAATAGCTAACAAACAGCGTTCTATGTATGTTAATGTCATAATCAAAGACATCTTCCTTAGAGGATTGTGACGGCACACGCTATTTGCAGTTACGTGACAATGAGTATAAATAAAATAAGCATGGTAGTGTGATTATCAGTAATAGTATATATGCTACCAGAAAAAAAGAATATATATATTTATATTCGTTTACTGTCAACACCCGTGTTAAGTTAAAATTGGTCCCTCCAGGTGTTGCAGGAGGAGGGAGCTCGGCTGATAGCTCTGTACCCGGGCAGCAACGTGCAACAGCTGGAGATGCAGCGGCGCGCGCTCGCCGATACCTGGACGCAGCTGCAGCAGGCCGCCGCCGCTAGGAATCATGCCGCTATGCAGCAGGCCGATCTGCAACACTTCCTCACTCAGGTATCACTCATTATTGGACGTAGAGTGTATTTTCTAGGGAAGTTTCCGACGATGCTACTTCAAAGCGGGGTCCTCAAGTAAAACAAAATTTTGAATCAACCGATCTATGAAAAAAAACCGCATCAAAATCCGTTGCGTAGTTTTAAAGATTTAAGCATACATAGGGATAAAGGGACAGAGAAAACGACTTTGTTTTATACTATGTACGAGTAGTGATAATTTTATTACTAAGGGCCTGTTTTTTGATCCGTGGTTTTTTTTTATTTTATTTTATTTTTTATTTTTTTTTATTTATGAACCACTAACAAGTTTACAATAAACTTAATGCTAAAAGTTACATAAATTAGGACTTATTGTACTTATTGTAAACTCAATATCGTTGGTTACATTTAAATACAAGTATTCTAGTGCAAACTGAAGATGCAGATTCTTTGCAAGACTCATACAACTTATGTTTAAATTACAATTAAAACTATTTATATAGAACCAAATCATATTGACAAATACCATTCTATTACATCCATGTACAGTGAAATAGAGATTTGTGCATATTTATGTATGTCTTTTCTTTAATTGAGTGCATGTTTGTGTGTGCATGTATGATTTCTAGTATAGGCATGTGTGTGAATGTGTGTATGTGTGTGTGTGTGTGTGTGTGTGTGTGTGTGTGTGTGTGTGTGTGTGTGTGTGTGTGCGAGTGTGTGTATTCGAGACTGTCAGCAAATGCAAAAAATAAAACTATCAATGAAGTGTTTAAGATTTCAACAAAATATCAACTATTTGTTTTTTGTATGACCCTACACTAGAAGAAAAAATGTCTACTGTACAAAATCTTTTATTATAAGTGCCAACTATGCGATTTAAAGGAGAGCGAATACCAGCGTTTGTGCGATGACTAGGAATAGCGAATAGCGATCTAGATCTAGATCGCACCGACCTTATACGTGCGCGTGTTGGTACGGAATACATGATACGATTAATGATATCAATACTATCGTACTTGTTATTGCATAGGTCGTATAATAACATGGCATCAAGTTGAGCTCGTCTGGATCGAAGATCTAAAAGTTTGAATTTTTGCAGAAGTGACTCATAAGACCGGCGTCCACGGAAATATTTGTAAGAAATTCGTCGCAAAAAAATTTTCTGCACCATTTCAATACTATTATTATATTTGTCATATAATGGGTTCCAAATCGATACTCCATACTCCAACTGTGGCCTTATAAGGGATTTGAACAGGTATATAGACGTAAGGGGGTTTTTAAATTCAGTGGTTGCTCGCATAACAAAACCATACATCTTGAATGCTTTTGCAATTATATTTTGTATATGAATATCAAAATGCAATTTATTGTCGCAAGTGATCCCAAGATCCCGAATAATGCTGACTCTGTCGATCTCATGATCACTAAGAATGTAAGTATTATTTATTAGTTTCTTTTTTTTTTGTGAAAGTTATTATTTTACATTTGTTTATATTGAGTTGAAGATTATTAACACGACAGTAGTCAATGAATCTGTTAAGATCTTCTTGTAACAAATTGCGATCTTATGGTTCTTCAATTTTTCGGTATATTTTAAGATCATCAGCATATAATAGAAATTTGCTATATTTAAAACATTTATTTACATCATTTATGAAGATCACAAATAGAAGAGGACCCAGTATAGAACCCTGTGGGACACCGGAAGTAACATGAGATACTTGTGATTCTGAACCTTTAATCACGACTTTTTGTGTTCTATTAGATATATAAGACTTGAACCATCGCCAAAGATTTCCATGTATACCGTTAAAAGCTATCTTCTCCAATAAGATTCTGTGGTCCACTGCATCAAACGCTTTTCTGAAGTCAGTGTAGATACTATCGATTTGTTCATTGTTGTCAAGCGCGTTAAATAGATCCGAAGTATAACTTAAAAGATTAGTTATTGTCGATCGACGCTTAACAAATCCATGCTGCTCTTTTAAAATTATATTGTGTAGATGTGGATAAATAGCATTATTTTATTTATTTATTTTATTCTTTATGCACAATCGTACAAAGGCGGACTTAATGCCTTAGGCATTCTCTGCCAGTCAACCTTTAGGTGATGTGGAGATTAAAATAAAGGATAAAAGTAGGTGCATATGTTATCTTTGAGAGAAAAAAATAATATAAAATAAGCATAACACAAACATACATACTATATATAACATAGTACATAAATAATATAATAAAAATAAATACAATACATACTTATAAATACTATGCCTAGTAGAAATGAGATAGCAATTTTTATGATTCTGCCTGATCTAATATTAAATTGCGCAACTTGGATTTAAAAGCAAACCGACTGGCGGACATTCTAATGTCTGTGGGGAGTGCATTCCATAGGATAATGGCTTTAACGAAAAAGGAAGAGTGGATGATGTCAGAGTGATGAGCAGGACACATAAGTAGTCTATTAGAAGAAGATCGAAGGTCTTTTGTATGACTCGTACATAAGTACTGAAAGTGTGGAGTGAGGTAGCTTGGAGCGTTAGGTGATTGCAACAAAGAAAACAGGGTTGTTAGAGCACGGACATCTCTACGCTTTCGAATAGGCATCCATTTCAAAAGGGAGCGATGGGCAGACACGTGGTCGTATTTACGGAGATTGAAAACGAATCGAATGCAGTTGTTTAAAACACGGTCAAGTTTATTGAGTAGATCTGCATTCAGGTCGAGGTAACACACATCACCATAGTCGATTATGGGGAAAATTAAAGTCTGCACAAGCATTGCCTTGGTTTTGCTAGGTAGAAAGTTTTTCAAGCGATACAGCGCACGCAACGTTCCAGTAACTTTTTGACAAATTGTAGTCGTTTGAGTCTGCCAGTTCAAATTAACATCAATGTGAAGTCCCAGGTCTTTAACACTATCGCTAAACGGTATTGAGGAGCCGTCATACAGGATAGAATGGAGATTAGTGCTGTCGATCCTACTCATCATCACGCGGCTGCCCACAAGTATAGCCTGACATTTCGCCGGGTTTACATGAATGCCAAAATTTTTAGACCATACGAGTATTGTGTTAAGATCCCTATTTAGTGCATCAATAGAATTGTTCAACCTATCGACGTTTTCCTGAGCATATAACTGTAAATCGTCAGCATACAGATGATACGAGCACTGAAGTTTAGACGTAATGAAGTTAATGAAAATTGAAAAGAGAAGAGGAGAAAGAATGCCGCCTTGGGGAACGCCAGCAGCGAGCCCACTCCAGGATGAGGAGGATTCACCCAACCGGACAGACTGCTGACGGTCCCGAAGATATGAGGAGAACCACTTTAACTCATCGTCAGAAACCATGAGATATTCCAGCATAGCAAGAAGGATGTCATGATTTACCGTGTTGAAGGCATTGGAAAAATCGATAAGTACAAGACATGTTATTCTTCCACTCTCCATTCCCACTCTAATGTCACCGGTAACCTTAAGGAGTGCTGTCACTGTACTGTGTCCTGGTCGAAAACCAGATTGTAATGGGTTTAATAAAGAATTCTGGAAAACATATTGAGAAAACTCCTTATGTACGCAGGCCTCCAGGACTTTGGACAAGAAGGGAAGGATAGAGATGGGTCGAAATTGATTGGCATGTGTTGGATTGGGAACTTTCGGGAGAGGTCGGACATAGGCCTTACACCACAATTTAGGGAAAGTGCAGGAGTCCAGAGAGAAGTTAACAATGTGACATATAGCAGGAAGAAGATGATCTAGAATGGTGACAATCATACGGCGACTTATTCCATCGCAGCCCACTGCATTTGACTTAATAGAAAGTATAATCTTTCTGACTTCTGACGTTGAGACTGATGAAAAACAAAATGGAGCAATATTGCGACGCGTTAGACCATTTATAGAAGCAACTGTACTTGCAGCAGTAAAGTCATCTAATTTTGAAGAAGTGGAAAAGTGACGATTAAGCTCGTTTAATTCTACAGAAACTGGAAGGTCCATATTTCGCGATTTACCGATACCCAGAGTTCCTAGAAACTTCCAAATATCAGCAGAAGATGAAGAAGAAATATTATTGAGAATATGGCGACGTTTTGCATTACGTATCATCTGGTTACAGCGATTTCTAGCGAATTTAAAAGCAGTCCATTTCTCTTCAGCTCGATCCTTTTTATAATTACGAAAAGCCCGATCCCTGCGTCGCATCGCCATCCGAATACCATTTGTCATCCAAGGTGCCGGCAATCGTTTTAACCTGATTTTCCTTATTGGCGCATGGACATCGTAGAGCCCTATAACTGTTTTGTTAAAAAACTGAATCATTGAGTCAACATTAGGAGCCTGGATCAATGGGTCCCAACAAATATCTGAGGCATCATTTTGTAGTCTATTTATATCCATGCGCGCGAAGGATCGCCTGTGCAGAAACTTGGGAGGGGGTTTTGGGGGCTTAATGAGGTAGGAAAGGAAAATAAGATCATGGCGAGAAAAACCAGGTGCAACGTGTTGGCCATGTGAAAGGACTAGGGAAGGGTTAGAGGTGAAAATCAAGTCCAGCCATGAGTCCTCGCCACCAACATTATGGTGAGTTGCTTGAAGAGGAAGAAGATGTAAGTTGGCCGACTTAATGATATGGAAAAGGTTACGGGATCGATAGGAATAAGGTGAAAGAAGATTCGTATTAAAATCGCCCATGATAACGTGATGCGCACACTCAGAACCCAAAGATTCTAGAACTAACTCAATTTCGGAGAAATAGTTGACTGAAGGTGGACAATAAACTACCCCAAGGATAAGTCGACGACGACCTGTACCAACTTCCACGAAAAGAAATTCAGCACAGGAATCAGAACCAGAGCAAGCAATAATTTTGTAGGGAAAGTTATTACAAAGATAGATTGCAACACCACCCCCCCTTCCACCACTGCGATCATTACGAATGAGAGTAAAATTGGGGAGAGTGTAGGTGGTGGATAACAGATGTGGTTTGAACCAAGTTTCCGAAACCAGAACAGCGTGCACATTACGCCCTGTGAACACGTCGAGCAGTTCGTTATAATGAGAAGGCACACTTTGGGCGTTAATGTGACACACATTAAATAAATTTGGTGAAAGGTCAAAAGTTTTACTCAATAAATCACCAAGTAGCATGTCGGTTGCCGAACAGAAACTTTCATTGCTAGGTGACCCTGCAGATTCATCAGCTGAATAATATGGTATATCGTCTAAAGGCATAATAAAATAAAAAATAATAAAAAATATATAAAATATAATAAGAAATATATATAGGTGTGTATATGCAAAATCTAATGCGAGTAAAATCTCCACACCACCCACCAGCTTACATCAAATTAAACACATATAAAATAGAACACATCCAAAAAAAACAACAATTACATCGTTCACTAAAATAAAACACGTGTCAAGTGAAAAAAAAAAGAGAGAAAAAAAAAAAAAATCTACAGGCTGCACAGATACGATCTCTTTGCCAACAAAAGAAAAAGTTGTATAAAATGGAAATGACATTGACATGTATTGATTTATTTACGACGATTGACACTTCTTAAGTTATTTAGCGGATTGTGGTTTCTAAAATAATTAGGTTATTTCTAGATAATACTCCTATCTACCGCTACAAACATAGATGTGATTACGATACTTCTTGCCACAAAATTACATATATAAGAAAACAAAACAACATCCATTACAACCAAGATTACAAACAAGATGACAAAAAGGAAAGCGATATTAATTTAACTTTGATGTTTAATGTAAGTAATGATTATATACTGTGTACTGAAACTAATAACTGAAAACTTCATAAGAATGTTGCGACAATAAGACTAAATCAATCAATTACTTGTTTTTACTGGCAGGGCCAAGGCGTCCAGTCGCGGCGCGCGTAGATGCAGCCTTAGGGTGTTTAGCAGTCAGGGAGTCCAGATCCTCTTGGGTTACACATCTATGACGCCTACCATCAGATGTTTTAATGATGATGATGCCATCATGCGTCCAACAACTCCGAACACCAAAATGCAGACGAGCCTTTCAAATACTTTAGCGAGGACTGGTAGTATAGATATGGGACGATAATTCTTAACATCGTTCTTTGACCCATTTTTGTGTACAGGGATGATCCTTGCACTCTTCCAAATATTTGGGAATACTCCCTCATTCAAGCACTTATTGTATATATGCCATATGGGGAGATCAATTTCATCTGCTGTTTCTTTGAAGAATGTTGAAGAAATGTTATCGGTTCCTGCCCCTTTTGTAGTATCTAAGCCCTTCAAAGCCTTGTGCACTTCAAACCTGGTAAATTTTATGTCATGAATCACAATATTATTTCTATATTCATTAGTTAAGTCAATTTCATTAAAATTGAGGCTATTATGAATAGACGTTGAGTGAAAAACAGACTGAAAGTATGCCTTAAATAATTCACATGACTCTTCCGCGCTACGAGCAACAAGGTTGTCAAAATGTATGTTACTTGGTATGTCACAGGCATTACGACGTTGTGATATATATTTCCAAAAGTATTTAATATTTTCTTTCGAACTACATTCTACCTTGTGTATATAATTTTTATAACAAATTTCAGATAAAGATTTAAATTTTTTCCTATATATTGAGAAGACTAATAATTTGATTCAGTTTTATATTTTTTCATCAAAATCCACGCTTTATTTTTCTTTTTATATAATTGAATCAACGTTGGAGTAAACCATGCAGGATAAGAAGAAGTTTTAGTTAGTTTTTTAGGCACGTGGTGATTAATGATGGTGTTAATGAGGGTGTAAAATGTTGATACGGCTTCCTCAGCACATTTATGTAGAAACAAGTGATTCCAGTGGTTAACTCAACCATTTGTTAAAATCTTTGACAAATGGTTAAATCCTTTTCTGTTCGTGGTGTTCAACTATGGAACAGACTTCCCGTGAATATTCAGGATTGCCCTTCCATCATGTGTTTCAAATTAACACTTAAACACTATCTTCTAGAACAATGTTCGTATTCATGACACTGCTTTCATCGTATCTTATATATGTATATATGTAGTATATATTTTATGTATTGTATATATCTATTATTTGTTTGCTATTTATTATATATATATATTTTTTTCCAACCGTAATATCATTTAACTGCACTTTAATCACCCGCTTACGTCTTACTCTCCCACAGCTCCTAGGTTGGCTGGAAGAGATCTCTTCTAGAGATAAGCCCACCTTTGTAACAAATTTATTTACTTGTTTTTATGTAAAATGTTGAGTGCAATAAAGAGTATAATTTAATCTAATCTTAAATATCAGAAAAATATGTTTTTTGATTAATAGTTAGCCTAACCAATTGTCAGAATTACAACCATTTGTCAAAAATTTAACCATCACTGGAAGCTAGGTAAATGACCAATTGTTAAAAGAACAGATGTACAACTGCGATGTATTTACTTGGTCCCTTGTTATTGTTTTTTACGTTGTTTTTATAACCCACATAATTTCATAGTGAATTTGGACATTAGCTATCATTGCGATTTCGTTTTATGATGCAATTTCATAAGTAAATATACCTACAGTACATAAAATACATAGTCCTCGATTTATTTTCATATATACTATATTTTTTCATGTATTTCTCTATAACATAAATAAAAAACAAATATATGCTTTTTATAAAAAAGTTAAGTTTAAAATAACTGGAAATAAACATATCTTTGTTGCTTTCTAACATTATTAAAGAAATTGCCTTATATTTCCTGAAAAATAACACATAGTGCACACTACATAACAACCATAAACATCCACATTGTTTGATAATCTATAGATTTCTTTCGTCTATTTGATATTTAAAACAAAATTCCTAATCTCAAAAATGGTATATAGTTCGCTCCGTTCATTCAAACCGTTAGTGTTGTCACCCAGAAAAAAATTACCCATGTCAATGTATAGCGAAAAAACTACTCATTGTGCTGGCAACAAATTGGCCAGTGGTTAAATTTGGCTATGGTTTAATTTGGCATCAAAAAATTAAAGAGCGAGTTAGCAACTTGTTAATGTTTTAACTATAATCAAGTTAACAAATGGTAAAACGACATTTGACTACGGATCAAAAAATTGGCTCTAAGTACAATTTGTATTGACCAAATATATATTCTATTTCAATCAGTTAATCTAATTAATTTTATCGGAGTGGGGCTACATCACCCCACACCGCGCGGGAGGGGAAGGTCGCTTCGTTTTGTTTCCGTTGGCGTCGCTGTCCACGCGGCGAGACTCGGTGTCCTCCACATTCATCTCACCACCATACAGCATGCTTACTCTCGAAAGTAATCGCGATCGGTCAACGTTGCAATTGTGTCGTTTATACACTTGATGGGGTACTCTAGCATACTCTGGCGCTAGTGTACTTTAATCAAGAGAACGGAACGGCACAATTAGGGATCAGACAGCAATTACATAAAAAATAAACTGTATGTAGTTACAAAGTTCATAAACACCTGAAAGCCATTCTTTTATCTCCGAAGACGAAATTTTGTCTATTTCAGAATTTTAATATAACTCTAAATAAAACACGTTTTCAATCATTTATGTACAGATAATCTTCACGGATATGATTTTATCGAAATTATAAGAACGAAAATGGAATGGGTGAAATTAAATAAATAAGACAAATATTTATATCTTCTTTTTCTTTAAAATGTGATGTCTCTAATCCAGTTTAAAGCTGAATTGAAGCGAATTCTAAATAATTGTTCAACTCTCAACGTCTCAGTGTATTAAGTATGTTGTTTTCCTCGTTTTTTATTTGTAACTGTTTCCTAGTTGTTTTTCATAGAGTGAAATTGTGTGATCCGTATACTAACTACTAAGTAAATGTTTATTTCAGTTTTTGCATGAGATGTTCACCTGTTAATGATTGTACATTCAGCAAATTTAAAATAAATTAGTTTATTAAATCAAATTAAAGTAACAATCGTTGGTGTACTAATTAAATAAATAAAAAAAATAACTAAGGACCCTACTCCATATGAAAGTTTTCTTACAACTTTATATGTATTGTTTGTAACAGGTCCGCGATTTGATATCGTGGTGTGGGGGAGTGGTCGCGTCGTTAAGTAGTGCGGGGGCGGCGGGCGTGCGGGACGCGGCGTCCGCGCAGGCCGCGCGCGCGGAGCACGACGCGCTCAGGCACGAGCTGGACGCGCGCGACGCCAGTGTCCGCGACGCGCTGGAGCACGGCCAGAGGCTCATCAAGGAGAACCATCCCGCGCAACAGGTAAACCTACTGTATAGCCCATTTTTACATAGCACGGGTACGGTGACGTTTGTTAAGAAATCCATTTGTATTTCGAAAAAATTTAAAACCATCGTTATAAAAAATTGTTTGACTGTGTATATATTATATTAGAAATTGAAATGTTTTTTAAATAGGGCTTGAATCAATAAAATCGTTCTAATCTAAACATGTATTCGGTAATCGTTTGATTTTTGAAAAATATTAAATACGTATTTTTTGAATTTAAAATTACGGCGATACATTGAGTTAAAATGTCACATGACGTCACACTTTTGTCTATTTTCTACAAAACTACGACGTAGTGAACCCCCCACTCTTCAACTTAATGCTAATCTAAGATATATATTTTCAAATTGAATGATTTATTAAGAGTTACTTTTGTGTTTTGTTTATTTGCGATTTTGAATATAAAATACCTTTTCCCTTTTTACTGAAAATCCATTTATTCTCTCCTGCAAATGACGATACGTTCCCGAGTTTCTGAGTACTCGGTTTTTGTAATAGTCAATTATCAAACATTGATTTTGTAGAAATAAGCATCCATATCGATTAATTTAAAACAGTCGTCCGTACCCCTATTAAAATAAATAAATATTAGACAACAGACTCAGATTCCAGGACACCCAGACCCGAGTTTATATAGAAAAGGTCATTTTATACATTGACCAGACCGGGAATCGAATCCGGATCCTCAGAGATGGCGACACCTTGAACCCGACATGTAAACCACTCAGCTACGTAGGTCGTCAATGCGTATAGCATGAAGTATTATCGCAGGAAGTAGAAGAGCGTTGCGAGCAGTTGATTGAGGCTCGAGCGCGGGCGGCGGCAGCGTGGGGGGCGCGGCAGGTAGCCCTCGATCAGCTGATAGACCTGCATTGCTTCTTACGGGATGTGGCGCAGTTACACGATCTATGTGCCGCGCAGGAACACGCGCTTGGTGAGTTGACGTACACTTATGTCACTATACAATGAGAGAGGAAACCCTCCCCGGGTTTAACCCTCTGTGTGGAAGGAAGGATCCGAGACCTAGCAAAGAGGCCGCCGGATTTAAAAAAAAGCATATCCTGCCGTCCTTATGAAGAGTGCAATAATTTGGTTTAGGCTACTTTTACTAGTTAACCGCATTTAAAGATTATAAACATATTTTAAATTATAAAGAGATATAAATTATACAGATTATAAACAATTTTTGTTTATGTATAACTTTGATAATTAAAAAGTATATCACATAAAAAACTACAGTCAATACAAAAGAAGTAAGAAGAAAATATATCAAGGGAGTTAAAAAATCTTCACTGATTTGATGCCCGCTTTGCCAACCGTCGTGTTTGAAGGTCTGTAGGAATCAATATCAAAAATTTAACGTACCTTATGAATCGTAAAATAAATTTATGATCCCATTCTGTGGTACAAATCTAATCAAATCTGATTTAATCCTACGATTAAAAGTTTAAAAAATTACGCATTCATTTTTGATTGCTATGTAATAATATCTCATGTTTGCATGTTTTATTTATGATCAGCCGTGGAAATACCTCCGGACTGCAGCGTAGAGGAAGTAGACAACCAACTCAAGAAGCACGAAGCTTTTGAGAAACTTCTTGCCACGCAGGTTAGTCAACTTTCTTCCCGACCTATATTTTGCCGTCCCGAACCTAAATCGCCTAAATTTGGCGCCTTGATTTTAAAAGAAACAAAAATTAAATACGAGTCGCAGAAAAAAAAATGAATAAGTTGTGAAAAACTCATAAACGCAATGCTGTTACTGCGGTTTAGGCTCGGAAGAGCAATATTGTAAGACAGGTTATACTACTCGAAAGTAAACTTATCTCCGAAAGGTCACTTTAAAACAACTGACATTAAAATATATAAACAATAAAATATGCCTATTTAATATAAATCAAATTCCTAGATGACGCTGTTACTTCATTTATTTAACGATTGACGTAAGATGGCACTATTCTACATCTTTTCTAACCTTAATATACTATTCTATGCATCTGTTTTATGTACATATCGGAACGACGTCACGATTATGGCGGATAACTTTTTCGCGATTATAAAAATAAATTGATGTAATTTTATGACAAGAAAACGTCATTATTTTTCAGAAATATTTGTTATTTTTTTTTTTACTTGATAATCAAGTCCCAATGAATCAGGAAATGGTTCATAACTCTATTTTATAATAAAGATTATTTCATAGGATGAGAAATTGGTCACCTTGAACAGTCACGGTGATAAGTTGCTGGAACAAAACCACGTGGAGAGCGAACGCATTGCTAAAGAGCTGAAGACTATCAATGAACGACGTCGCAAGGTAACTTTATATATAATTTCCGTATTTATATTTAACTTTCATTAATATTTTCTGTATAAGAATTTTCATGTAAACATATCTAAATGATAGGCAACTCTAATTCAACAACTATTTTTAATTTATTACATGCTGATATGCAAAATATATGGCACTTGCATTTCGCATCGATCTTGATATCTGGGTTATCAATATACAACGGCTGCCTATAAGCAGAAACATCTCTTGTCGAGAAAGAGAGAACGAATATAATTAATGATTTTAAAGAAAAATACTTCATTTGAAGGTTGTCTAGAAGAGATTATTATATAGCAATAATACCGCCGATTGTGACATTTAACTATATTTGATTATGTATTGTTTTCTCTGCATTTTTGGTGTATACAATAAAGTGTTATCTATATCTCCTTCACTACTAATACATGCACATTAAAGGACCACTGTAAACAAACCGTCTAATCACTATAGATGTTAATATAAATGTGTCTGTTTATATGTATAGTTGCACCAGTCGTGCGCTGATAAAAGGGCCAGGTTAGTGCGTGGACGTGCACGTGCACAGTTCGCTAGAGACGCGGCCGATACACGTGCGTGGGTTGCGGATAAACTAGCCAAATTACACGCGGACAACAACCAAGGTAACAGAACAATAACACTACAATACCACTTTATAGTATAGCTGATATACTTTTTCCTGTTAGGAAGACGTGCATTACTATTAAGTAGTTTAACACAAACTATTTTTATTTATTGTAAATGTTTATTGGTCAAATAGAGTTGCGACAGAGATTATTTTTCATTGAACCGTCTCTGCTGTATCTGTTTCATACTCGAAACCCGAAAGGGGGATCTTAGGGGTCGAATTTCGCAAAATTTCGTCTTAGGACCGATTAGCTTTTAGTAACTAGTTCCTAAAAATAATCCCTATGCAAATTTGAAACTCCTAACTCTTTATATTGAGTAAGTGACCTTTTGTTTTTATAATGTTACCCTTATGCGTCATTTGTAGCTAGACTAAATTTGAACTTGACTTGAATGTTCCAGGTGAAGTGACAAACCTAGAGGACAAGATCAAGAAGCTACAGAAGCACCAGGCGTTCACCGCTGAACTGGCAGCGAACAAGGCACGTCTACAAGAAGTGAAGGCATTAGCGGACCAACTGAGACCTGACAAGGACGTGGAGAATGAGCTGCGAGCGCTGCAACGTGACTGGGACCTGCTGGAGGAAGCCACCGAGAAGAGAGGTCAGTTTAGTTAATGATATAGTTAGCCCAGTCTTTTATTTTTTAGTTAATTAATTTTATAGGATTATTTTATTATAGCAATACTATGTCTATGTATATAACCGATTATTTGTAGAACACCAAGAACCACGTAGGACCATATGGACAACACCATCCAATGCTTTCCATATCTATCTATAACTCAATACTTTGAACAAATATGTTTTTTTTTGTACGCTCGTGACATTTAGATCATCATCAGCCCTTTTGCGTCCTCACTGCAGGCGCTTAGGCCTTCCTTATGGATTATCCATGTTTATTTTATAATAAAATTAAATATATTCATATTTTAGAGAATGTTCAGAGGAAATTCTTGCGTTGTATGCATTATAAATGTTTAGGTGGCAGGTTATCGTATCAACAGTTCCTATTCAAATATAATTGTTTAAATTTGGAACATATACATTTATTTCTGGAAGCAATGTTACTATATGACATGTTCCAAATCGCAATGACTGTATACCATTGACGATAGATATTGGAAGATCTTAATGTGCCTGGTAACTAGATGTCTAGGTAGCGGCACACTAGAAATACAATTTTTACGTCGATACATTAGGTTGAAATGTCGCGTGTCGTTCACCTTTGTACATTTTCTACATACTTATGACGTAGTGAGCCTCCACTTTAATGCCTATCATCTGAGCCATTTCTTGTTAAATTGCAGCAAAAAAAATACGCGTCTAATATTTTTCTATTATCTGCCTGACGGACTATAAATATTTAGATTTTTTAACAAAACAAATCTATGATCATTTTCGAACTTTGCTGAATTATTTTATTTGTATACAGGAAGAGGTTTGGAAGAGGCACAGGACATCCTGGAATTCAACCAGCATCTTGACAAGATAGAAGCCTGGATAAGGGACAAGGAGATGATGGTATGTCTGTTGAGATCGATTTATCTATTCTATATATATCAACACACTGCCGAAACTGCAGTACCTAGAAACTTGAAATTTGGTGGAGGGGTTCCTTTCATGATATAAGGGGCACTAAGAAAGGATTTTTCTGAAATTCAACCCCTAAGGGGTTGAGATAGGGAGTGAAGTTTGTATGGACCACGCGGGCGAAGCAGCTATGGGAAAGCTAGTTTAAAATAAAAAGAATTTTCGAAAAAGTATTTTACTATTTACTCGGAGTGCACTGATTTACAGTTTTATCCGAATTTGTATGTTGTCGCGCAATAACAGATTTAAAATAAATAGCCGTAAAGGTCAAATTTCATTTTTTTGTTGTTATACATGTGTTGTATTTAATTTAGGTGCAAGCACACGAACTTGGTCGGGACTATGAGCATTGTAGCGCGCTACTGCGAAAACTGGACGACTTGGACAGTGATATGAAAGTGGACGACAAACATGTACGCAGTATATGCGCACTCGCAGATAAATTGCTGCAACAGGTAATTTTTCCATAAAATATAAAAAAAAATTGTATAGTGAATGATTCCAATAGTATTGTTTTGAAGGTAGCTATAATCTTAATGAGAAGACAATCAAAAAGTTGTTTCATTTAAAGATAGCAAATTATAGGATCCCATTAGATCTGTACTTGCTCCTATATCCAGAGGGTGATAGCCGATTGTGATCGATATATATACAGTTTTAATACATATTTAAATAATATTTTATTCTCGTATAAAATTACAATACTATATATAAAACATACCCTGAAGTTATATCCATAAAAATGCTGTGCTGAAAATGGACCGTGAAATTTCTACAAAATGCTTATTTTTGCGACCTTGTAAAAATATTATGACAAATAATATGTATATTCAAAGAAAAGTTGGAAGTTTCACTATCTTAATGTTCTTATTAAATTACCTATCTTAATTATCTATATCAGAAGATTTAAAATGAAATGCGTTTCATGCTGTTCGTATAAAAAGTACACAAATAGAGTGCATCTTGGAAAGGATATAGCTTTTTTATGATTTTTTTTTTTAATCCACTAGTCGCAGGCTGTGTCCCAGGTACCCCGAGATGAGATTCAAATACGATCTTTCGCTATCCTAACTACTAAACTACCCGAGTACAAACAGGACTGACGAATTTTTCAAGCACTTGTTCCTTTTTGCTACTAGTGAGCGTGTTTTCCAAACAGGCGAAAGAAATATTTTAAAGTTTATTATAAGCGTTAAATAGGCTTAAAGGGGTCAAAATAAGGGATTAGAATACGAAGGGTCATAGTAACGGAATTCCTCAAGGGTGGAAAGCTAGTATAATAATATATCCTGTATGTATGAAGGGTCCTACTCAGCAAGCGACCGGTGTGGCAGCACGCCGGGACGCCTTCCTCAGCAAGTGGTCCGCACTCAGCGGGGCATTGCAACAGTACCGGGACCACCTCGCGGCTGCATTGGAGATACATGCCTTCAACAGGTCAGATATATGCTATAATAAGGCTGCATAGTGATAACATACAGTAATATAATTTGCATAAACAAATATTTCAATATTATACTGACATTTAATGTCACATAAGTATAGACTAATACTGAACTGTGACGTCAAAGTTTAGTAAGTCGTATACGTCACACGGGAGTGACAATGACAGAAAGCTGCCCTAATGCATCTCCACTACATTCGTTTCTAAGTTATAGTTAGTTGATAATTTTATCATTCAAACATTACGCCTGATGCATATAACCTTTTAAGATGGACTACACAAAAGACATTTCTTTTATTAAACAGAGATGTAGAGGATACAGAAGAACGTATAGCGAAGAAAGCCGCGTTGTTCGCTAGCAATGAACGCGGTAGAGATCTGAGCGCTGCCGCCGAGTTACAGAGGAAACATAACGCCAGAGCAGCTGAAGCACGAGCGGTGGGAGACAAGATAGTAGCGTTACAACAGGAGGGCACCGCGCTAGCTAATAAGTGAGTATATCGATAGTGACCATGGTAACATCACGTGATGTGACACAACATTCTAGAACTACAATACAAAGTAACGGAATCGCTAACAATTGAGTATGTTGGTAGTAACTGTGGTAACCTCTTGCGTAGTAGGCTTAAAGTACTTGCGATAACACGACTGGAATGCGCTATACAACATATGAATATAACAAGTTACCACGGTAACTTCACGTGATATCAGAGATGAGGTGCCAGCACTAAGATACAACGGTCGGACACTGGTAAATAAGCGATGACATTTACAGTTACCGTGGTAACATCACATGACGGGATACGAGATACTAACGGTTTGATATGCTAATATGTAGTTAACGTTACGATACGTCGACAACGCGCTAGCTAGCAAACATTCCATATAAAAACACAGAGCACACCAACTACGCTCGCACATATATTATACGATGGCGTATAATTATTGTAAATTCTGTTTTTCACTATCATACAATATAACTTTTAAATAACTTGTCTAACTATCAATATTCTCACTAGATATCCGGAGCATAAGAAAGAAATAGAAACAAGTCTCCAGAGTCTACGCGAAGGCTGGGATAATTTACAACGTTTGGCGGCCAAACGCTCCGCTCTCTTAGATGAGGCAATCGCCGAACACAAGTTCGAAGAGAATCTTAAGGTAAGTGAACTAATATTGATATATCTATGCTGAAATTTGAAAAAGCGCGAGGCAGCGCTTTTTTATGTATGGTAAACATAAAAAAAAAATTCATTTATTTTTAAAGAGCAACAATATTTTGAAAAGGACAAACATATAAAAACTTTAGGTTCGTATATCAAAAACTTTACGATTTAATCGTAAAACTTATCACATTCACATTTTATATAAACAAATAAAACTACTGACGTCTCCTATTGACTTTAAAAGACAAAATGAAATTTTGAGTATGGTGTAAAACAAGGTTTCAACATCGAGTAACGTTTTTCAACTATACAATGCACGCCTTCAATTAAAATAATTTAAATATATAATTAAAATATGTCTTTTCCTTCTGCGCAGGAATTGGAAGTTTGGGTTGGTGAGACCATCAAGCGTATGGAGAGCGTGGAGCCACCAGAAAACGAAAGTGAAGCCAAGGCGTTACTCGATCAGCATCACGAGACAAAGGTACTCATAAACATATATCTACATCTTATTTTCACTCAGATCACAAGGGAGGGAAAGAACTGAATGCCACGAGATGTCGCCCTTATCACCTTTCGATGAGATCAATCCGTATGATCGGATGTGTGCGTCATAACATAATGTTAGATTTCGCCATAGATCGCGCCATTACGTGCTGTCTAGTTCATTTAAATAAACTTTGCAATATCATGTAATATAATTAAATGATTTAATGAGACTCCAGCATTTAAAATATCAATTAGATAAGGATCGAAATATAAACATGTTGCGTCAAAATTAAGTAAACCGTTACACAGCGACTTTATTGGATAATAATTCCGTTTTAGGCTGAAATCGACGGTCGACAGAAGGCTATTCAGTCGTTGCAGAAGGAAGTGGAACAGGTCCCGGAGAAGAAGCAACGCCTGGAACTGCTGTCTGAGACACTGGATGCGGCGTGGATGCACAGGAAACAGTATCTTACACAGGTGAGTCTACTAATATTAATGCAGAGAAAACCACACATATTAATCAATCACCCACCGTTTATATAATACGGGTGTAGACAATAAACGAAAATTAATATATAAATATTAAACAACATCACATACATTGCTCAGATTCCAAGATAAGTAGCTAAAGCCCCCGTATTATGAAGTATCGTAGACAAGGAAGGTACCACAACACCCAGACCCGAGACAGTAGAGAAAAATGCATTTTCTACATTGACCCGACCGGGAATCGAATCCGGGCCCTCAGAGATGGCGACACCTTGAAACCGGCGTACGAAACACAATAATCACATTTTTATGCTTATTGTATTTATCTCTTATCCCATCTCGGAGTGCCAGGGACGATGTGGATTTTTGAAGATTTTTTATTAATATTATTAAACGAATGTTACTATTTTAAAATATATTTTTTAAATTATATTTCAATAAAAGATTAATCAGCTAAACTTAACATTACTTATACTTTCTAACCTAACCTTTTTTTAGTTGGCTGATCTTAATACCGTAAAAAATGCAATAAAAACAAATTATTCATTCAACGTTTTAATAAAATGTAATCGAATCTGTGAAATGCCTATGATTAATCTGCAATTCTACATCCCTTCTTTCCCCACAGGCTCATCAGCTACAGTTAGTGAAAGAGCAGGCGAGACAGACGGAGGACTGGTTGGCTGCTAAAGAGGCCTTCCTCAACAATACTGATCTCGGCGAGAACCTTGATGGTAAGTATAAGACACGCATTACACGGAATTGAATATTATATACAGTTCTTTTGATTTTACAACGTGGTTCTCTAAGTTTTATGGCGATGGTACCTTTTCTGAAAAAAAAAAAGTCTGAGACCCTTTTATGTGTACTTTTTATTCATAACTTATACGTACTCGTGTTAATTTAAATTTGATAATTTGCTGAAATATGAACAATATTTTCCATAGATTACTTCGAGGAAAAAACGTTATTGGATAATATTTTTGCGGCTGCAGACCACCTTAAGAATTAATATGCAGTAACACTACATTACATTTACTCCATACAGCATTACACATTTAATACGACGCTGCACACTATACTGAAGATTTCACAGCAATGTTCTAGATACGAATTATTAATCCATAAAAGTCCCTTTATTCAAAAACAAACTATTTCAGAATTTTTGTGCTAATAGTTATTTTGCAGAAACCAAGTTACAATTTACACTGAATCACTACCTAGCTTAAAATTCATTCGTATAATAAATGGCGGTGGGTAGGATGCATTTTCTAAGTGAAATGTAGAATTTAGGGGAATATACGGCATAAATTACATTTTTCTCCCAGAGAAATAACTTGAGAAATTAGCCCTCGCACCATTTTCCTACTTTGCTCCCACCCCTTCTAAACAGTACAGTACTTATGGTAATTTTTCTCGCCAGCCGTGGAGTCTCTGATCAAGAAGCATTCTGAGTTCTCCAAACTGCTGGACTCGCAGCTAGGACGGGTGGACGAGCTGGAGAAATTTGCTCGCGGCCTGCTGGAAGAGAACCATCATCATAAAGATTATATACAGAAACGTCTAGATGAAATACTAACTAGGCGAGATAAACTCAAGGTATGTCGATATTTTAATATTAATCTCAGTAACGGTACAGCTTATATATAATATACTTTTCTATGCGTTATTATACGATAAATCACGGCTTTCTCAAACCTTCTCAAATTTTGTCCTACTTAAAATCCACTAAATATTAAATTTATTATTGTGACTATATTATAACCAACAAAAATTAACTTGAGACCTAAGCGCAGTATGCAACGGCGCTAAGGTCTCTACACCTGCCAAATAGTGAATTATTGAAATTCAACTTTATAGTATTCAGATAGTACATAACTTTTATTCAAAATAGAACAAGACGAGATCACATTACAAATCGCCCCCTAAGTCTTTGCACAACGTCTCCATTTATTTTTCCGAGTCTCTTACCCCCTTAAAACCTGCAGTGTCCACGAGAGGTCACTATTGTCCACTTTGGGAAAGGCTGCCATAAATAAATAGAGCTGTACTGTACTGTACTGTACATTGATTATTTCCCCCGCATTGGGGATTGGTAAGCTTTTATTGACTAAAACGCATTAATTTTGTATATTAAATGCTTGAATTTGTATTAAAAGTATTAAAACTTTCTAATCGATCGTTTTTGCGTACAGGAGTCGTGTTCGCAACGCGCTATTCGCTTACAACAGTCACGGCAATTACACGAACTGACTAGAGATATTGCACACGAGCGAGAGTGGATCGCGCTCAAGATGCAAGCGGCCACAGACCATAACTACAGGTGATATACATGATCATCATCAGCCTTTTTACGTTCCCACTGCAGGGGGCCCAGGCCTTTCTTATGGATGGTGAAGGAGGATGGGCCATGACCCTCCAAGCTGGCCCAATGCGGATTGAACGACCGGGACCAACGGCTTATCGTGCCTTCCGAAGCACCTATGGAAACAATAAACTTATTGAGTATTTTATTATTTGTTTGTTGGTTTGCATCAAATAGCCGCCGAAAATACTGCACCGTTTTTGAAAATTCTTTCACTAAGGGAGGCTACATCATACGCGGGTTACATATGATATAATTTACGCGGAGAAAGTCCCGGGTGTGTTAGTCTTAATATTCGACTTTTGTTTTTTTTTAAATTATATCTGTAAACATCATCTGTTCATCAGAGCATCGAAAAGTCTGTTTCGAATATAAACGAAATTTCGTTTTTGAAGAATGGGCGTTCACATTTATTTAGATAACATATGCTTATTATCGTTCTCATTATGTCAGGGAATTGTCGAACCTTCAGACCAAGATCCAGAAGCACGCTGCTTTCGAATCTGAGCTTGCGGCTAACAAGGGTCGTATAGATGACGTCGCCAACCGTGGAGAAGAACTTATAGGTAAATATTTTGATATAATTTATATAGTTTTACGAGAACGATAACCTGGAATTATATATTGGGGCGAAACTGATCTAATGTAACAGTGACAGCTAACTGACACTATGAATGCCCCTACAGCCAACGACAAATAGTGCTGCCAATATCAAACAATAGAATGAAATAAATTATAATTAACTTCTATACGCGTCGTTACCATGATTCTCCAATAGCAGGGAGAGGATGTTTTTACTTACTTTTCATATCTTTCGCAAAGTTTTTATTGAAATTAACTGTAAATTCTTTTGCGTAACTTCTAAATATTTTGTTTTTCTAGAAGCCAAACATTACGCCGCAACGGAAATAGCCCAGCATGTGGAACAGCTGGAGAGTGAGTGGCGCGAGTTGCAGACGGCTGCAAAATTGAAACGGGAACGTTTACAGGAAGCTTACCAGGCGCGCGTCTACCTGAGAGGGCTGGCTGACTTCACAGCTTGGTTGGATGACGTTGAGGCCCAATTACTCAGCGAAGATCACGGTCAGAATTCATATCTTACTGCAGAATGACCGTAACTCCTCTAGCTATAACTCTAGTCATAAGATACGACTTTTTAGCGATTTTATAGCGTCACTACGTTTCATTTTACTACTTCTACGTGTACTTTAATAAATGTCATACTTTAATAACGTCATAATATTCGCTAAGATGTCATATTTGATGGCTAGAGAGTTAGACAATCACACCTCTGTTCACAGTAATTACTATTCAATGTATCTCTATTGTCTTTTGTAACAAAGTGCTGCCGGCATATGACGACACAGAAGTCTTAAATAAATAAGTATGATTTAATTAACTGATAATCTTATGTTACTGTATAGGTACTGATCTATCATCGGTGACTGCTTTACTGAAACGTCACTCGCGTCTCGAACAGCAAGCTGCGGCCAAATCAGATACCGCGACACAACTAGCGGACACTGCGCGACATCTAGCTGACAGTGGACACTTTATGGCCGAACAGATACTGGCCGACGCTGACAAAGCTGTCAACAGGTTACTATATACCCAGTTAAAAATATATTTTAACTCTTTTTTTCCATCGAAATTTACCTCAATAACTTTATGAACATATCTACCAAAGACGTGCTATTGTAAATTTACCATTTATAAAACTTTACAGCTTTTTATAATTTACTAGCTTTCCGCCAGCGGCTTCGCCGGCGTGGTCCCTAGAGAACTGGTCATTTCTATATCGATTAATATAATGCGAATATAATTACAATGATAAATTGAATAATTAACAATGGTCACGATGGTTACCTTTTAATTCCCAATACCAACTTTCACTCCCATTTTCATGTCTTTATTTGCTGTTTTTTGGGATAAAATATAGCCTATATTCACCGCGTATGATAGCTTCCCGTAGATGAAAGAATTTTTAAAATCGTTCAAGTAGTTTCAGAGCTTATTCAATGCAAACAAACAAACAACCATCTTTCCTCTTTATAATATTAGTATATCTATGCTCTCTTCTTTACTCTATGAATATATAGGTGTTTTTGAAACAAGACTAATTCAAAATTTTCATTGTTGCATTCGGTCATCGTCGCAAGTAATAGCACTGCTGTAGGACTCTATATTTATATATTGCAAATTGTCATAGATATCGTCAGCTGCAAGAGCCGATGTCAATACGTCGCGATAATTTAGAAGATGCCGCTCTTCTGCATCGTTGGGAGAGAGACGCCCACGAAGAGGCTAGATGGTAAAAATACCAAAATATTTTTATTGTATTTGGTGTAGACTGTAAATTTTAAACTTTTTTTTTTTGTTTTTATATTAGTATTTTCCATTGGTGGATTATAAGATTGACCAACCCGTGAAGTCATCCATGAAAAATGTATTTAATATTTTTATTCAAATTTATTATAAAATTATATTTAGCTTTTTTTTCGAAATTTAAATTTATCAAAAACTGGCACGCAGTGAATTAAATATTTAATTAATGACCAGGCTGAAAGAACGCGAAACGGCAGTCCACTCCGAAGAATGGGGTTCGACGTTGGCTGAAGCACAAACGTTGCTCAAGAAACATCTCGCCGTGGAAGCTGAAATAATTGCCAGGTGATTTATTCAATGAAATATAATTATCATTAAGTTGTACCATCGACAAAAGCCTTTTATATTTGCCATTCACTACCGTATGTTCACTGCTATCCTGCTGCTTTTTTTTGTCTCGTTTTACAATTCAGGCATTCCCTCTGTGATATTGTTATACCCATTTGTCCTCCACAGGTAAGATCATGTGTCCATTAAACTTCCGTTACAAATTTATTCTACGGGTCATATCAGTCTCTCTTGTCCTTTTTCTCATCTTCTCAAATCAAAACCTGTTCAAATCCTAGCTTACTACTCTCAATTCACAGCTGATATATCGTACTCCCGGTGCGACACTGTCACTTATGCAAAAAATTAGTTTTTCAGGAGAAGAGTTTTAAACTCTGCCACCTCACAAAACAATGACTTTAGAAGATACAGATGAGATGAATCATACGGAACATAGTTCCGTAGTCATAGTCCCTACAAAAGGAGCATTATCGCATCAAGTAAAGGGGGCTTTAGGACAATTATTACATATTTAACTAATTTTTGTATTTTTTGCAAAAGTGACAGTGTCGCACCGGGGGTGCGATATTTTTATTGATATGTATTGACTATAAATACTTACCACAATAAAAATAAAAAACACGTGTACACGACTTTGAACCTTATTTCCAATGACAGAGAGGCAACAATCAAAGGCGTCTGCAATCGTGCGTCGCAACTTTCCAGACGTGGACATTTCGCTTCACAATCCCTAGAGAACAGTTCACGTAATCTTCTAGCTGCGCTTAAAGCGCTGCAAGATGACGCAGCCGCTAGAACGTTGCGGCTGCAGCAACGATGCGAGATGCTACAGGCGAGTATTTTTTTGAGTTTTTATTAGTCTTCTTATATTTATTTTGATTAGATGTAATTTTGCCCATGTGCATCTAGAATAATGCATCTGTCAAATAGAGTAATATTTAGGAAAATATCAATAAGAATATTTTTTTAAGTTGGTCCAGCAATTCAGAAGGACCACTGTTAATCGGTCGGATTTAATATGTCATCCGAAGATGAAGGAATTCAACTGAAAAATAATTGGGGCACCCACCCATAAGCGATTTCTTCAAACTTATTAAACCTCCGCACTTTACAAATTTCTAACATATGACCAGTTTCTTACGTCCATTCTTGTTATTAGCCAAAAAACGACCTAAATATTAGAAATAAATTATTTGATGACTCTAAGTGTTTTCAAAAAGCTTATTTCAATAAAGTGTCTTTTGGTTAGGTGGTGACAGAGATAGGCGAGGCTGAGGAGTGGGTGTTATCGTGCCGTACTACTCTATCGGAGCCTGAAGTGGGACGCGACGAGGAATCGGTGGTGGCATTGTCACGACGACTGCATGCCACAGATGCGCGACTGCGTGCCACTGATGCCACGCTCGCTGCTCTACAGATGCGCGCTGACAAATTAGCGGTGAGTATACACATATTCATATTCATACTCAACTATTTTCCGTACTCTTCCTAAACCACATTTTTATTATCACTCATACTAATTTTTAACTGAATTCAATATCGAAAAGGAGGCGGTTATATGTTCGACGGCGATGTCATTATTTTTTTATTGATTTCACCAATTTTTCAGCTAATTGTGGACCGATTTTGCAATATTTATTCAACAGTTATTGGGCCGAAGTCGTTCTATTTGAATTTTATCGAAATCGAATCAGTAGCTTTGTTTATTATCATTTCTCTCATTCTCTTACTCGTACGTATATTTTTTAACATTCATACTTGTTATTAGTTGTGCGTGACTTGCGTGTTAAAACACAAATATGTGCCAAAAACTTGATATATTAGTGACTTCTGCGTTTACTTTCTCACTTGCTATTAGAGTTGGTGCAAATCTGACGAAAGACTCGTCAAAAGGTCACGAAGTATGCATTTGCGACGGATTTTCTGTCGAATGTACAAGGTCGAATGGTATACGAGGGTCAAACTGAAAGTTCTTAGAAAATCAAAAACTGATTACATTAGCCAGTTATTAGTTTTATTATATCTTTTCAAAATATTGTCCATTCACGTCAATACACCGCTGCATGCGATGGAACCACTGGGAAAAGCACTTTGCCCACTCGTCCTTAGGGGTCTCTTCAATGGCATCGCGATACGCAGCCACCGCTTCTTCAGCATTCATAAACCGCTTTCCTTTAAGTTTTTCTTTAATTTTTGGAAATAAATAAAAATCACAAGGCGCGAGGTCGGGGCTATACGGCGGGTGACCCAGTAATTCAACGTTTGATGTCGTGCGACGAGGCGTTGTCGTGGTGAAGGAGGATCCTACTGCGAGGTCGTTTCTCTCGAACTTTTTCCAAGACAAGTGGCAAACAATTGGTAGTGTACCATTCTGCAGAAACTGTTTTTTGATCCTCTAACACAATTGTTGCAAAATGACCTATCCTTCCAAAGAACGAGGCCACCATTTTTTTTCCCGCACTTCGATCTCTCTTCACTTTAGTTGGCAACTCCTCGAAAGGAAACACCCACTGAGCAGATTGTCTTTTGGTTTTAGGATCATAACAGTAAATCCAGCTTTCGTCACCTGTTAGTATGTCGAACACAGCATTTGAGTCACCTCCGTTAAATCTTTCAATCATTTTACGACACCAATCCACACGATGGAGTTTTTGAGCCTCAGTCAAATTATGAGGTATCCACCGGGCGCAAAGCTTCCTGACCGCTAAATGTTCGTGGAGGATTTTGTGCACTTGACTCATACCGATGCCTAAGCTTGTCCGAATCTGTTGATAGGTCACTCTTTTGTCAGTCTCTATCATACGCCGCACAACACAGATGTTATCTTCAGTCGTCGCCGTAGAAGGCCGTCCCTCACGTAAATCATCAGTGAGATTAGTGCGACCACGTTTAAACTCATTAAACCAGTTGTAAACAGTCGCACGAGATGGGGCTTCATCGTGAAAGGCCAATCGTAGTCTATCATAACTTTCTTATTGACTTAAATGACATCGAAAGTCATAAAAAATCATTGCACGAAAATTTTCTCGTGTTAAATTCATGATGACGTGACACAGACAATTTTCAATTTGCCGCCAAATCGTAAAACAAATGACAAATGAATGAAATATATACTCAGTAATATTGGCAAAGAGTTATATTTTTAAATTTTAGAATTATTTTTTTATTATATTGTTTATAAGTGGCCAGTTCTAAGAACTTTCAGTTTGACCCTCGTATCTTACAATTTATCAGTTTTTCAATGACAAATTGAATAGTAAACAATGGTTGCTATGGTAACGTTTTAATTTCCTATACAAACTTCCACTCCCATTTTCATCACTCCCGTATAGATAGGGGATGATAGGGAATGTAGTAATGTAAGTTAGATTAATGAAAATTAAGAAAATAGCTTATTACAAGATGCCAAAATTTTATAGCGTTAGCGTAACGTATTTGGACTACATAACAAAGGAGAAAATTAGTAGATTCACATTTGATCGTAAATACTTGGAGAGAAAGGGAAGTTCTTGTTAGACTCATTTTCTATCATAAAAATGATGTAGTCATATCGAAATAAAATGAACATAGTCACATACATAACATGATAAAGTTAATATAAAATATTATTTTAGACCCGCGAGCCATCCGAGCGGGCTCTTGTTGAAAAGCGGTTATCTGAACTGAAGACTACATATGAAGAGACAACCCTTCTATCTGCACAGCGAGAACAACGGCTGCAACAGAGCCTGAAATATTACAAGTGAGATAGACCACGTTTATTTTTTTGCTAAAAGCGTTCAATACGCCACTACTCTGAACTCCTTAGCCATGATTCTAGCTATAAAATACTACATGTAACCGAAAACGATGATATTTCGTTTCACAACATAACACAGTATAAAACAAACAAGACAATTAACAAATAGTACATACAAGAATTTAAAGTGTAACTTTGTGTGCTGTTAAAACTGACCTCAGCTCAGCGTAAGTATTGGGTACTACCGTTGCTACTTTGACATGTCTTCTGTTGGATAAATTTGGGATGAATGACTAAGTTGGAGACAGCTGTTTTTATATTCATAATTCTTTATCATTCATTCTTTGTCTTTTGTATGTATGCTTAAATATTTAAAAAATACGCAACTAGTCTGACATAATTCCGCGCTTCGCCCTATAGTAATAATAATAATAATAATATACTTTATTGCACTCAATATGATACAATGTTTACAGGAGCTTATTATTTAAAAACATTGAGTAAACAAATGGCGGCCTTATTGCTTAACAGCAATTTCTTCCAGGCAACCTATGGTGAAACTGGATAACGAATATAGATACTGTGGGGAGTGGGTGCAATATTGAGAAGGATAAATACATAAATAGTACTTTGAATTGAGCAGCGATCGGACGCGTTTATCGGAGCTCTTTAACATGGAAAACAATTAATACATATTCTTAATGAAAAATGCTTAAAAAATCCACTTGGTCCATTGTGAACGCGAAATTGATCAAATATAATAATTGATACATAGTATAAAACAAAAGTTGCCTACCGTCTGTCTGTCTCTGTGTATGCTTAGATCTTTAAAACTACACATCGGATTTTGATGCGGATTTTTTAATAGATAGGCGGATTCAAAAGGAAGGTGTTTATCACAGTAATAATATGAAACGAATTAGCGCTATGACATCGCTAAGATGTCGTATCCAATGACTAGAGTTATAGCTAAAAGAGTTAGGTGGTCGCTCTACAGGCACGAATGTTCAGGATTTTAAGGGACTAATTTGTCTTTATCAAGACTTATTTATGTTTCAAGTAAATATAGTAAAATGATATGTATGATTTATTATACCACAAATATGCTCTGAACAGTGTTGTATCCAAAATACAGCGTTGATCGCATTTGTTGATATTATGTTTTACATATTAGAAAACCAGGTTTAAGCAAATCTTGTTTGAAAGAAAATTTCTATTTTTATTCATATTAAACCTCTATTAAACAAGGATATAAATATTTTTTCATTGTTACAAAGATTAAACTTGTATTAAAATTAATTGAAGATACTTTTTCGTATGGGTTCAATTTATAAAATATCGCTGTAGGTTCGTGCAAGAGTGTTCCGAGGTCCAGGAGTGGATCGGTGAGCAGATGACGGCTGCCGCGAGCGAGGAGTATGGCGTGGACGTGGAACATGTGGACACATTGCAGCAAGCCTTCGACAACTTCCTGGCACAATTACACGGTAACCATTTAATATATTTGCTATCTTGTAACACTTTCAGAGTACGTATAAAGCTGAAGAGAAACAGCAAACTGTGAGAACCGTGTATGAGACAGAGACAAACTATAGACTATTGCTCTGAAAAACGCGTCATGTTAGTAATATTTTTATATTAACTACTCTGAAATCTTTACGTTTATCATCGTATTGCTCGTGCCTTTTAAACCTGATTCATTATTAAGATATATCATTTTAATTATAGTTTATTTGGAACTCTTTTCAATAGGTCACAATCAGCTTGATTTTTTTTTTACTCTTATGCGCCCTCTTAATGAAGCCGACTCAGTTTATAGCATATTGTTATTTAGAGTTTTTGAAGCAATATCTCCACACATGGAGAGTTTCTCCCCAATTGTATAATCGTACACAAGTATGATTGCCTCTCATAATTCATAAATATAAAAAAATCATGAAATGTTCATTAAATAAGATAAGTAAATCTTTGTGATGCCAAAGTTGATTCAATATTGACCGGAACATTTGCCTAATGTGGCGTATGTCTTTAAAATTTCCAAGTTTTGTGGTAAACATGACTTTTTACGTATTTGATATGTTTTATGTCTATGTATTAAGTGTCATTTTTGTATGTGAACAGCTAACGAGGGTCGCATAGAGAGTGTATGTGAAGTTGGCAATGCTCTGATAGAAGAAAACGCGCCAGAAAGTAACCGCGTCAGGCAAAGAATAGACGATCTGCGAGGTCTATGGGACGACTTGAAGGAATTAGCACTCGCCAGGCAAGAGGTATATAAACTACACGTTTATAACTTTACTATTATTACTAACTAGCTTTCGCCAGCGGCTTCGCCCGCGTGATTCCTAGGGAAATGTTTAGTGGGATAAAAAGTATCCTATTATCTAAGTCAGCTAATACTCTATCTATATACCAAATTTCAACAAAATGCGTTCAGTAGATTCAGCGTGATTGACCGATAAACATCCAAACAAAGAAACTTTCACATTTATAATATAAGTAGGATAAACTTTATTTCTTTTGAGCAGGGACAAAAATAAGTTTTTTTTCCTATCAAAAATATGTACGTAGTGACGATGGCTGTCATTACGTGAGCCGTGAGTTCACGAGTACTAGAAGATAAGAATGTTTGGGTCACAGGTGACTGACATTACAATAAATTGTTATGTCATAAATCCGTTCCAATCCGAATGCTTCACCCCTTATATCAAATTCTTTTTCTTTTGTAGGTACAGATAATTACAATTAGATTAGTTTTTAATTTTGACTGTGTGGCACTATGTTACGTCACGCCTAAATCATTAAAGTGATTTCAATGAGATTTGGTACAGATACAGAATTTGTCATGGGTAGCAATAGTGAGTGATAGTAAGTCCGTCGCGGGCGAAAAGTGTCATAAGTGGCATATATAATTACATCAAATATTCACCACCCTTGTTTAAGTCGGTTAAAAATGTTTGGAACCCCTGAAAGTTTGTTTCCATTACTTCGGGCTTACTTAACAAATGTTTGCCAACCTCGTAGGCGTTAGCGGGCGCTCGCCAAGTGCACGAGTTCGACCGCAGCGCCGAGGAGACTGCCGCATGGGTACAGGAGAAGGAGGCGGCACTCCAAGCGGACACCGCGCACGCGCACCACGCGCACGCGCTGCACGCGCGCCGCCGCCGCCTGCACGCGTTGCACGCCGACCTGGACGCCATACGCGCCGCCGCCGACAGGCTGCAGCTGGAGGCCGACAGGTAACACAACTATGCCACCTTTTTTTTTCAATTAAAGTACATTAGTTATTATTGGTACAGAAAAAAAGTACATAGAATCAGAATAAAGTATTATTTATTATTATTTAACTTAAAAATATAAATTTTGTTTTACGAAAAATACTAACGACTAAGCTTGAAAGTTACAAACAAATAAAATCATGCTAAATAAAGTATTTTCGTGTACTATTGTTCTCATGGAGTATAATATTCTGAAATAATGTACAATACTTCATTATAAAGTACATGTGGTAACCCTAAACACAACTGACAGGCAGAAATTTATTGACCCCACAATAGTATTTATTTATTTATTATATTGCTGGAAGACTTACAGCTATACAATGAAAAAATTTAGTTTATTTATATTTTTGTCCAATGTGATATAAAATTATTTTTATTGTGTATTTTGTTTGTTTAACTTTTATAACTTAATACAAATAACTTTACAAAGTAGGCAACTTATAAAATGTTTATGACAGATTATAATTTACAGTAAAAAAAATAAAATTCATTTAATCGAAAACTAATTAAAATGCATTTCAGATTAGGCACAGCATTCCCGGATGCTAAAGAACACGTAACAGCCAAATTAGAAGATGTAACTGAAGCTTTGGAAGCTTTGACACAGCGTGCAGCTCATAGCTCGCAACAGCTGGAGCTAGCTGAACAACTGCAAGCGTACTTCGGTACATATCAGGAGTTGCTGTAAGTGATATAATTTCAATCGACAAAAAACATTCTTATTTTCGCATCTGTCAATATCAGTTTGGTTTTGATGACCAGTATTTTAAACCGAGTACACACTTTAGTCCTAACCATACGTCACAGAGCTTCTGTTATTTCAACAATCTGACATCAGAGTAATGAATCTAGTAATAATTATCTATTTTATGTTTTCATTAAAAGCTTTGTAACAACTATAATAAAATAATGATTTCACTCAAGAACACAAAATATAATAACCTTTGAATGGAATTAAAACTTATACTTATCTAAATTCTGGTACTTTAAATAACCAAGAACTACTAACTCAATATTACAATAGTCAGTAATAGTGTTATTCCAAACGTTTACCTAAGCGAGTGTACAAGACGACGATAAAAGTAGGGTAGAATGCGATCTGTAACTGTATTTATATAGGGTAGTATCACTTTCAAGTGTTGCATACATCATTCATAAAATTAATATCAATCACAAACATATCACCCTTCTTTAATACACTGTCATATTATATCATCGTTATCGTAAGTGTGAACATGATGATGAATTATATAATGTGACTAAATATTATTCAATTGAAATTTTGGACCTTGATGGTTTAAGTGACATTTTAAAATTTTTACTAAAACCTTTTGTATGTATGATGTTGATATGCCTTGAGTAAATAAATGTACAGATATTTGTACCGTATAATAAAAAAATAATATTGTCGATTAGTGCCTGGACTAACGAGATGATAGCACGAGTCACCGCAGCGGAACTGTCGCGCGACGTCGCCGGAGCGGAACGTTTGGTCGCTCGTCATCGAGACTTGCGCGTGGAGATTGACGCTAAACATGATGACTTCAAGCAGCATTTTGAAGACGGTCAGTGATTACTCTACTTTTTGTGCTGTTATTAGTGAAATTGCAACTAGACAATAAATTATATTATAGTTATAATTAGTTTTTGCAAAATTAACTTGCTATTTATAATCTATGGATTTGAAGAACCAAAACGCGCACTGATTGACGGAGCGTCGTGTGACGTTGACGTTGTTTTTTTTTTGCGAGTGCAACCAATACTCATATTTATTGAAATGTTAATGTGCTACGGTTTGGGTCCCAGAAAGTCTCGTGTCTCGAATTCCCTGGCCTTTCCTTAATTTTATTTGTGTTGAGTCCCGGAACAGTCGGCTCGAAACTCGAGACGAGACAAGACTATCGAAATATTAATCGATTATAAATAATGTTTCGGGGACACTTTCTGTCCTTGTCACTCCCGTGCGACGCTATCTATATTCTTTGTATAGTATATTTCGCTTTTATGATTTTAATGGTGTCATAATATCGGTTGTAGGTGAGAAACTGCTACGCGACCGTCACTTCATGTCCGCGGAGATTGAGGAACGTTTGGGAACGCTGCGCGCGCGCAGGGAACACCTAGAATCCGCGTGGAGCGCCCGCGATAAGATATATGCTCAACACCTGGACGCGCTCGTGTTCAAACGGGACGCCGACGCGCTGGACAACTGGATAGCTAACAGGTACATACCTATACTCACAAGGGCGTCGCCAGGCAGATAAGCAGCTGCTCCCCGTACAGATTCTAAAAAAGTTGCCTAATATAAATCATACAATGGCGGGTTGTATTTCAAGACTTTTAATTTTAATATCATAATATAATCATGCTATTTTAAGACTCAAAATCAGAATCTCTATGTTTATTACGATGTAAATTTAATTATTTGGAACTTAGAGATTTATTTTTCACTACCGAAACTTACCTATTTCCACACTCGGTTTTAACCCTTAATATATTGAAGGTAGAAGTAATATCTTTATTGTGGTACCTAACGTGACGTGCGTACGTCGTGTGAAATTTCACTGAAATCGGTTGAGCCAAGTAACTAAACTTTTTTTTTATTTTTATTTATCTATTCAGGGTACCTTTGGTACGCGACGGTAAATACGGCGACAGCGTATCGCAAGTCGAGGAATTGATAAATCGTCACAGGGACCTGGAAGAGACCATAGAGTCACAGAAGGATCGGTTCCAAGCACTAAAGAGAATTACACTGGTGAGAATGCAAAGAAAATATGTTTTACCATTATTTATTATCATTTTTTGGAGAAAAATAAATTTAATATGATCATAATAAAGTTTTAGTTAAAGTTATCATGTTAAAGTTATTTAAGTAACAGTTATGTAGCCAATTGTAACGTCATTGTCAGTTTTGACCTAAAGATTCTTTTGTATTGGTAAATTTTTCAGGTGGAACAAGCATTCGCCGCGCAGCGTGACGAAGAAGAAGCGGCTAGAAAGAGATCAGTGGAGAAGCAAGAAGAGGAGAGACTACAGCAATACAGAAGGAGAGAACTGCAGAGGATCGCGGAAGAGAGAAGGAGAGACTCCGCCCCGCCCGTGCAGATGGCTAGAGAGGTAAACTGACTTTTTTAACGGAGTATTTAATGTATAACTCTGATAGCTATAAATAAAAAAGGTATAAAGTAGCTAAATTATACAGGTATATTTTATGCATAATCAACAGAACGGCAGGTTATACATAACTGTCAATAGTTTTCACTTGATTTTAAACCTTAATATATCAAGATTAGAGTACGAAAATTACTTGCAGTAAAGAAAAAAGGAGATAAGACTTTCAGGATATTTTTATAAGTACGTTATGTTTAACTGTATTCGTAATAAACATTTCTGTATATCAGGTTGAACAAGCATTAGGTAGTGGAGTGAGTGGGGGTGCGGGTTCGATGCCTGTGGATGAGCAGCATGAACAGGAGGTGACGTCACCGGCGCCACAGTTCGACCGCTTGCCTAAACCGGACACGCTCGTCAAACGTGCCGAGAGCATGAGCGTGAGTACTCGTTTCAATAATACAATTGAATCTTATTCCATACAGCCTAGTCTTACGTAATATAAATCTTCTAGTTTCACTAAAACGTTATATTGCTTTGATATTAGTTAAATACGTCTTTGGAGTTTTTATGCCAATAGAAAATGTAGGAATGCAGAGAAGTCCGCAGAAAAGAGGCGACACGTTAGCGTTCACGCGCTAAATTCACGGAACGGTTGCCTTGTTACGACCCACGTACCATATTATTTCATTTAAAATCACTGTTATCAATATAACTTACAAGCTATTCACCAGTGACTTCGCCCGTGTGGTCTCTAGGGAACTATTTAGTGGGATAAAAATTATCCTATTATCTAAGTCAGCTAATACCTTATCTGTATACCAAATTTCATCAAAATCCGTTCAGTAGTTTCGACGTGATTGACAGACAAACATTGAAACAAAGAAAGTTTCACATTTATAATTTTAGTAGTATGGATGCTATGTGACTCTTACGAACCGCGCCAAAAATTCCGAATGAGCGTAATGTATTTATAGTTTTTTTTATTTATTGATAGGCGGCCCGAGTATCGATCTGTTATTCGATAGTTGCTTAGTCGACGATTTTTAAAAGTTTCGATATAATAATTGTGTTCAGGTGGTGAAGACCCCGAAGCGCACTCCTTCATTCACGACGCGACGTCGAACTCAGAGCTTCAGACGACACCGAAGACCCGACGCCGAATTACCGCCAGTAGAAATACAAGGTTATTATTGTTTTTGTACTTTATCTATGGAAATAAATAAGCGAAAGTTTTATTCACACAAAAGAGGTCAACATTATTTTAAGTGCATTGTACTTTATACCCATCTGTACTTTATCATGAAATTTAACTTCTCTACTTATTATTGGACAGACAGATGACCCCTCGGCACCATTTGTTTTAATAAATCTGATAGATATTATGTAATGCTTACTAGCGCCAAATTTAAAAATTTACATACTTATTAAGATTTGTTATATACCTACAATGGATAAGCATTTTTTTCTAATGAGAAAAACATATAGTATATGCGTTCTGTTTGAATGGATTATCCTTAATTTATGGCTCATTTACATTAGTTGTCGGGTCATGTGGAGTGCAAACTATTTCTGTAGATTTTCTTTGATAAATGACGCTAGTCAATAAACCAGTGATCGACTAATGAAAATTTGTTATTTATTAACTATCGACCATCGTATAAAAGACGTCTAAAATTAGAGAAAAATAGTAAAGACATTCTGTTCGTGTCACTTAGGATTCCTGGAGCGCAAGCAGGAAGCTGGATGTGGCGGCAAACGTGCCACGGTACGGTCGTGGCGTTCATACTACTCTGTACTGTGCGGACAGCTGCTGTGCTTCTTCCGAGATGAACTGGACTTTGCTAGCGCTAAAGCCGCAGCCCCACCCGTCGCCATATTGAATGTAAGTCAACATTTTTTTTTATGAAATGTGTCTGATTTATGTAAAAATTATTGTATTGAAAATGTCACACTTTTATGTTTATTATGTTAATAATATTGCTAAATGAAATCTAGAAAAACAAATATTTTGTGTTTACGAGAATGCAAACAGCTCGTGACGTAACGCCCTTCTTAGTCATATCAGAACTTTAGAATTCAACTTAAAACGATATTCGTTTTAAAGGGCCGTGACGTCAGAGTGACACCATTACAGAAGTAGCGTTTTTCGCGGGACTTTTTTTTAGATTTTAACTTATTTATGATATTTTTTAGATATATATAAAGTATAAGTTGTCTACACTCCTAATAAAAATCATTCAAGGCCTTGACGTCATAGTGACACCATTACAAAAATAGTGTTTACGCGGGTCTTTTTTTAGATTTTAACATATGTATGATATTTTTTTAGATATATTTCATGTAAATATCGACGTAAAAAAGCGGAAACGTAACCCCCAAAATGTTTGTAACCCTGGCGAATATTTCGGACTTTGGGGGTTACTACGTTTCCGCTTTTTTACGTCGATATAGAAAAAATAAATTGTCTACACCCCTATTAATCATTCAGGCCCGCTGCGAACCGGCTGGCGATTACACGAAGCGAGCGAACGTGTTCAGGCTCGCGTGCGCGGACGGTGCCGAATATTTGTTCGCGTGCTCGAGCCGCGAGCTGATGCGCGAGTGGGTGGCCAAGTTGTCGTTCCACGCGCAACTACCGCCGGAATTGCAACTAACGCCGTACACCGCCGTCCCACCTGGAGACTCTCCCACTGCCGAGTTGAGGAGAAGACTGCATGAGTGAGTATTTTTTTAAATATATACAGATTATCATAAGTCTCTTAAAACATCCAGCTACCAAATAGGGTATTTTACTCTGTTTAAATCATTATTTCTTTATTTTTCAATCAATTTATCACATTTCATCTTAAAAGGTTAAGTATCGATTATATTTGTGATAGGAACGCGTCATCATCATCATCGGCGGCGTCATCACCTGAGCCGCAACGTAAATCCCGCACCCAGACTGAGATCCTGCAGGAACATCGTGCCACATTACCACCAAGAGCACCAGCCACGCCAGACAGAAACATAGGTCAGTCTCATATCATCAGCCTATCAATATCTCCAGGCTCGGGTACACTGGTGATAGAAAGTTTGAAGAGCCCTTAGGCAAACGCTCATTGAACACTAGGCATGTGCCTAATTGACACTAGACGATATTAAACACCCATTGGATGCATAGGCATATGCGTAATTAACACATATTCTACGTCCTACACAAACACCTAATGTACTCTATAGGAGTGTGCCTACTGGACACTAAGCAAGCACCTAATCGACGCCCCTTACTTGTGAACGTCAAGGTAGAAAGCACTCCAACGAGTTTGAGGGTCTTATGTAATTCAATAAATTGTGAGTAAATAGTGATACATAACATATAATCAGTGACACTGTAAATTAAGAGATATATTGAAGATCTCTGCCTGCTAACTAGACATCTAGGTAGCAGGCACACTAAATACAATTCATATGAGTTTGATATATATGTCAAAAAAATGTGACTAATTAGTGACTTCTATACCACTAACTTACATTTCACTCACTTCAATAGAATTCAAGATATTTCTGATTATTGCTATGCCTGCCAACTTGAAACTTAAAGCAACTCAAAGCAACGGCAATAGGGATCGGACAACTTTCTAAATAGTATTTTAAATGAATCATTATGGGCGCTTATTCCTACAAAAAAAATAATAGTTTATGTAGATAAACCTCATTATGTAACCAAAACTATATTTAAAATTTAACTTTTTGAAAAAATCGCTTAAACGAGACGTGACGACATTTGTGGGATAAACAAAAGGGTTTTTCAGATAAAAATAATTTACCATCTGCAGTACTTTTACTTAAACTCACAAATATATAAAACACTAAACTGAGACTTGTAGCCTGTTAAAAATCCGTTTGCCGTGCTTTTCTTAGATAATTTTACAACCAATTTACCCAGAAATGACGTCACCCACTCTGACTGGTGTTTCGATGTGAGACACAGACTACAAATATAGGAATATTATGTTATGTTTTATTAATTTAAAAAATCTAATTTAAAAAAATCCAAAGATTTGTTCTTTATTTTTCTTTAAATTAAAAAAATACTTCTTCACACTAAATGTTCATGGATGTTAGCGATGAATTTTAACTTTATCGTGATGTAATAAGGTTCAAATGTAGTTTTAGTGATGTGAAGAATACCATCGAGTAAAGAAATGTTAATAGAAATGAGTCTTAATTTTATGTAAAACATTTTTTGGAACTATAGTTTTAAACCAGTCATCATTAGGTAATATTAAAGGTGAATTTCTTAAACGGGAGGAACATTATCTAACAGCTTGCCCACACAGCTCTCTGAAAAAATAATTTCGATTGCCTTTATAGTGACAGGTAAAGGGGCAGCTGTTAGTAAATTTGTTTGTGTATTGTGATTAAACAATATTTTTTATTTGTATAGAGTCAGCAGTGCTACCATCACTACCGGCGCGTCAACCACCTCAGGAGGACGGATCTGAAGACGTTATTTTACGGTCAGTATATTCTGTTATTCCGCGACTTTGCCCTAAATTGTAGCCTACAGTACCTAAGCGCTTCCCGTAAGTAAACAAAGTTAGAAATATTACCTCTTCGTAATATTAGTATAGACACATTCATCACGGCATATAAATAGTAGGCCAATACAATTGTACTAGAAAAACTTTCATAAGTTTAGGTTAGCCAACCTTCGTAAGAGGCGAAACCGTATGCCAAAAGCCAACCTTCGTAAAAGGCGCCAAAAAGATTCGTGCTCGCAATCTTATAAGTATCTTTTACGTCTCCATACTACGATAACGATACTTCGTGCTTCACTCAGTCTTTAACTCAAATAGGTTAAGAGCGTGTTTCTATTTAAAAGACAATTTCATTTTCCCAGTTGACCTTTACGACTTGTATGGGGTGAGAATGAAATGTCATATTCTATCTTTCATTTATTTATTTATTCTGTTGCTCGATCAGCTTAAATGGATAGTAGACAAAACGGGGTTAGAAAAATATCTTTACACATTATAAAAATAGTGACCTTACATCTTCTCCATCTTCTGCTCCATCATTTGGGGTCGGCCCTCCTCGTTCGTATGCACCAAGACATAATAAGTAAAACCATTATTTAATGTTGAAAAGTAAAATAATGTGTAGAAAATTCTACAGACCACTTTTTAAGTTTAGCAAACATAAGCTAAATGTGTAATTATATAATATGTATAAATACATATATTAGGTATGTGTATATTGTAAATTTTAGGATTTGTTAAGGCAACATTATGGTAACAATAAACCTTTTTTACAGGAACACCGAACCGACTAGTGCGTGGGGCCGTTCGCGGTTCTCCAACGGTCGGGACATGAACACAGAGTTTATAATGTCACAACAAACAGGTAACAAAATTGGCTAATTGTTAATAAACAGATAATAAAATAAAAAATTAACAAAAAGCGATGTTCATTTTTCGAGATTTTCTATTACAAAAAATCGTTTCAGAAATATGAAAATTATTTAAAAAGTTAGACTATTCAACTTTGATGAGGCAACACTTTGAATTGTTAAACGCAAGTAGTCTGTAGTTAATAAAACTCGAATATAATAATAGCACTAGCTGTTTTCCCACGACTTTGTACGCTTAAATTATAGCCTATGTTAACCCCGTGTGCTACCCGTAGGTGAAAGGAGCCTACTAGATTCAAATGATTTCTTCTTTGTAATATTAGTGTATTCTTATTGTTTTATTAAATATTCAAGTTTATCGACAGCGTGCGTGGGTTGTTTTTATTAATCGACAGCTGTTACATTAATGTTTGTCATAAAATTGGTAAACATCAAATAACATTTTTGTAACACAATAGAGTAGTTTCAGTGATAAAAAATAGTTATGAGTTATGATATTATTAACATCTGTTAGTTGAGTCATAAACAGATGCACTATGAATAAATCTATAATAGATTATAAATCAAATTCCTAGATTGCACTGTTCTGACCTTATTATACAAATCTCGACTAATGTATAGTCGGTAAATGCAAAGTACTAAAATTACCAGCGTCTTGTAACAGCGACAAGTGATGTCTCACCAAACAATAAATATTCTTACAATATCAGCTCTCGAATAATTTTCATGGCTTAAACATATTATTTTGAATTTTAAACTAATGTATAAAGGACATCGACTCATCGACAAGTGTGCCGAAGAGCGAATAAAGCACTTTCTTGAGTATTATGGTTTCCCAATTTATTTCATTATTTTAGCTTTATTCATTATTGTTATATGATTATGTCTTAATATCGTGTGTTGTACTTGAAATTGACGTATAACATTGTTTTTTTTTTAAGTGTATTGTGTTTGTTATGTGATGTTGCATCTGAAGTATTTCATAATGTGGTTGTCCACAACTCGATCCAACTTGAATCAGCGATCGGAATGAGTATAGTTTGAAGTGTATATATTAATATGGACATGCCTTCCTAATTTATGATTCTTTGTGATAATTTCGGGGAATTAGGAAATGTAAATATATTTAAGTAAAAATAATGTTCTAATTTTTAAGCTTAAAATGGGATCCAATAGCAGACAGCAGTAGGATAAATAAATTTTAATAGTTATTTGTTTGCAACTTGCTCCTTGCTTCCAATTGTGAGTTTAGTAGCACTATTATTATATTATTACCAATATAAATAATTGAATTCTAGAAACACATCTTATCTATTTCATTATTTCTAAGGGTATATATGATATAAGTAAATATCAAACTACCTACTTCGATCATTGATTTTAACATAAAAACTTTATTTTGAAATATTCAAATCAAAAGAAACGAATAAATTAAACAAATGTGTTTTTTTTATTCGCCACATTTATAAATGCTCATAAATCGTATTTTATGAATGCGTAAATAAATTATGACGATGTAATATCGCGCACTGTAAACTACTATAGCCGAAGCACCGCCCTTACCGCTGTCGGGGCCTCCCCACCGCTCCACGACGAGCCCCGATCGCCCTCCGGCATTACCCGAACGCGGCCCGAACCTACCCGAGCGCGGACCGAGTTTACCCGAACGCAATGCAAACATGTCCGAGCGTACCGCCAACATGTCCGAACGTAACGCGAACTTACCCGAGAAGCAGTCGGTGCACGCGTTAGTCAACAGCTTCCAGCAGCGTATGACGGGCAGTTACCAAACCAGAGACAACAGGAACACATGGTCTTTAGAGAGACAGAATAACAACTGGCAGAATGTGGAGACCACTTCGCATTTCTATACGGCGAGCGAGCTGGGTCAGTTGACTTGTAAATACAAAAAAAGAGTTTTCAATCTTTTATTCAGGTTGGGTTCCAGCTCTAATACTAACAACTGCAGTGATTTATGCACAAATCACATAGCTTCCTCTCCCTTTCCGTTGATGTAAGCTATCTCTTTCGAGTAGTGTTTGTAAAATTAAGCTTAGTTTTAAATGTACTCCGCTATCCTCTTAGGCATGGCTCTATCATTTATCAAATTTCAAACATGTAGCGTGTGAAGGTGACATTTCCAAAAAAAATCATTTTGTGTGTTTAAATTTTGAACTGTAAATAATGTAAAAGCCATTTCTGTATGACAGGGATCAATTCGATGTGCTGAATTTAAAGTTAACTATGAAGCAATTTTAAATTCAGGATTTTAAATTAACATTTGAAATGAGTTTGAATAGTAAAGTTTTTGAAAGCGACAAGGACGATAATGAAATGTATTTTCACTATGATATTTTTTCTTCCACAATAAATATCTAGTTCTATTCAGTTAAATTATAAATGTTATTTCGTTATTATACAAACTTCGTCGACATGGTTTTCAGAATTAATTCTTATTCTACCTTTTTTTCTGTGAATTACGCTATCTAACCTCTTCTGCTGATCTTGGTTACATTTATCTTTTTGTTGTTCCAAAGTTAAACAATATTGTTGTATTTAGCTTAATAAATAAAGGTTTTCTGCTTTAAGTCGGCAATCGCTAGTATCTATATGCTGAGCACTATAGTATTTGACCCTCAATAAGCTTCTGTACTAGAGTAATGATCCAACTAATTGGCGCACGATGAATCTTCGTTTTCGCAGAGCAGCAGATTCCGTAAAAATCGGAACCCGAATTCAAATTCATTCAGGTGACCGAATTCACTTCGAAAGCGAATCCTTTTAACCTTGAATTGGTATTAGCGTTTTGTGGCATAAGTAAAGTGAGTTACGAAATAACACAGGGATAGAATATCCAAGACACGTATGAATCTTGTATTTTTATACAAAAAATAGAATCAAAAGAATTTTCACACTAATATAAGTTCAGTGAATTCGCTTTCGAAGTGAATATGGTCACCTGAGCGAATTCAAATTGGCTCTGCGGAATCGCTCTGCAGGTCTACACATTCCGAGGAAGACCGAACATGCGACTAAAATTTATAGTCAATCCTTGTTTCGATAACGAGTAATATAAAAAAGATCGGGTGCCCGTCCAACTCATGCTTAACGTAGATCTGTAGCCTGATGGCGTTATACTTGAATATGGGGAAGTAAAAATAATCTATTTAGTCCGTCAGTCAGATAATAAAAAACTATTAGATGTATACTTTACATAATAATTTATAATAATAGGCATAAAGTTGAGAAATGGGGGCTAATTACATTATATCTATTTAGAAAATGTACAATGGTGTGTCATCGTACTATATTTCAACTCAAAGTAGCGTCGTAATTTATCGATTACGAAGAAATTAAAAAACAGTGTTTAATATACTACAAAAATCTACCTGACGGACGAACAAACGAATTTGGTCATACCTATTCTCGCGTCACATCAATTGTATCTTACAGTACATAAGTCAAGTTTTGAGACGTTACTAATGGTTCAGCCAACAACACGTCAGGCTATACAAAACTCAAAATTTTCCACTTGATTTTATACCTTAATGGCATTGTAGCTAGTATTTAAATATGAATTGAGGAAATTTGACATATTTGTGAACCTTAAGCAACTTTCGATACTAAGCAGATTTGATTATATTATTCGAAAAATATACTTTCTTTTACTGTAAAGATAAATTGATGGGTTACCGCCATCTTCTCTCCTTATCTGCGTTAGTTTCCCATTTAGAGGCATGTCTTCCCTATTCTAGTATAAAACTATGTATATCCAACATTTGTATGATACCATTTAGAAATTATATTTATACATGTATGGAAATATTATAAATAGGCTTAGTTAATTTAGTCTTTATTTATATATTTTTAATTGTTCTGCTGTTTCTTAAATATGCGTTCAGGATCGAGCCATCTTCTATATGTTCTCCATCGGGTGAAATGTATGTTTATATATTATGTATATGGCTTACACACGCTTAATTTTATCACTTTAAATAATATTATTTATGCTCTGTACCATATTTTGATTATTCATCTTACGGAAAAATTCTTAAAAACCCATCTCGAGGACTTGAGACAAAGTTAAAAAATCCATAATATAAACATGCTGTGTTTTTTGTCCTATTTGGTATACGTATATAAAAAATGACAATCTTTTAACGTTAGTAATTAGAAAAATATTACTATAATACAGTCGCCGTACAGAGAGAATTTCGTACGTTGACCTTTGTGCCTACTGATAGACATCGTAAACATTTTTGTTTTATTTGACTATGACAAAAGTGGCTAGATGCTTATGTGTGAGCGCAATAGCAATATGTATGCGCACGAATGAGAGATATGTAAATCCGGATCATTGTACAAAATTCTTTCTGTTCAGATGAATTGATTTTATTAAACATTGCAAATATTTGTTGCTAAATAGGACAGTTTACGTATTATATATGTCGCGGGCCAATCGTTGAATTGGGCCTGAATCGGATGATAGATGGTTAAATCAAGAAACGGCGGCATATCCGTGATATGCCCGGGCAGATCACTATCAGCCCAATTCAACGATTTGCCCACGACATATATAAAAAACGTAGCTATCACCATGTCTTCTGTAAACAAATATTTGAGTATACGTATATTGAATTCTATATTAATTATATAATTTCCGAAAATGTATAATATTTATTATATTTAGAAAATGTTATATTACGCTCATATCTGACATTGTTTTTTTGTATTAAATCTCTTGTAATTTTAGCGTGCTTGTGGTTTTGGATAGTCTTTGGTTTTTGAGCTTTATTTGTGAAATTGGCATTTTTTTTTTTCTTTTAAAGTTTTCCACTTTTGCTTGGCGTTACTGTTTTGATGCTTTGTCAAGTTGGGTTTTAAGTATGGTTAAAGCTAGTTATAAAATTTTATAAGGCCATATCGATTTTTTGCGAATAATTAACTTTGGACCTTATGTCAATACATAAAAAGCGATTATGTGGCTGCTTTTGGTATAACTAGATTCATGATGGTTTTTTTATACATATTCTCATTTAATATTGAACCTTATTCGTACAGCATACGGTGGCAATAACAGCGGTCGGCCCGCTTCAGTGGCCGGTAGCGGCGGTTCTCCCGCGTTAGATCAGCGGCCAGCTTCCAGGTGAGAACAAATCTAATGGAACTTTTACTCGAGGCCGAGAGAATCTAGTAAACCAGTCCAGTCCAGTCCAGCTAATCGATGAATAAGGAATATATATATTTTTTTTAATAAATTATCTGATAATTTATATAACTGTAAAACAGTACCCGGTACCGAAAAACTAAAATTAAGTGACAAAAATAAATGATGGAATTAAGTAACAATTTTGGCGCCCTTGTTGTGACGGCAAAGGTCTTCTTCTTTTTTAATTTATGGCCTATTTACGTATGCACAATTCCGCCAATGTCACGTTGGTGGCCTTTACACGTTTACGACTATGGCATTCTATTATTGTTCCAGATCATCTGGAGAATCTGAATTATCAGTGAGTGGAGTAACGAAAGAGAAGAAAGATAAAAAGGGAGTGTTCGGAGGACTTTTCAGTAGAAAGAAGAGACCACAAAGCCATATGTAAACAGATTGTATCTAGGTGACAATCTAAAGAATAACGCGTTTTAATTATATTTACTTTGAGATGTATAATTTTTGGCCATTTTTCATCGAGTCAATATAAAGAAATTTTCTAAACATATATAAGTCATTATCTTATCGAATAAGATTTAGTCTGGTTGAGTTGTATAACATTAAATTGCAAGTGAAGAGATTATAGCGATATATTCATACTTTTTTTGTTGTAGCGACTCATTAATCGCAGAAGGTTTACTTGAGTATTTTTTTTCTGTATGTTTGGGACTTTAACCTCTGCTCTTTGGTCATAGAAAAAATTAAATTTTGCTTTTGATATAGAGTTATATTGTATTGTGCGCCTTAATATTTTACCGCCGGTAATAATGACATAGCTTTGAATGACTGAAAAAAGTGACTTTTACAAATTCAAGCATCATTCATGGTTATAATTGCCGAAAAAAATTAAATATGAAATATAAAACGTGTTGATTTATTAATAAAGAGAAAAGAAAATCAAATTATTATTGATATTATGTTAAGTGCCTTAAATATACGTTTTTAAACCGGAAACACGAAAATATAATTATGAGTATTATAAATAATCATAACTTTTATTATAAGTATAAAATTTGTATATAACAGCGATTATAGAGTAAGTTAACCTCAAGATCGAAGTTGTTAATATCGTGCCTTACAAAAACGTATAATGCAAATCAACGTAATTTTTTTCTTTTTGTCTACGTTCTAATATATTTTTAAATTTAACTTCTATATTTTACATCGTCTAAATATAGAATTGGTGCATCATTGAATTCAGTTTGCCTAATTATATTTTTATTATGCTATTTCCCTTTTAAATATAAGCATTTTATAATTCCATTGTGCTTTCTTTAGTATTTATTTCAAACTGATATGATAAATCATTTAAAGGTATATTTTGTACTTTTATTATTACTATATATTTAATTGAGTATTTATATCGAAGTTAGGTTTTATGAAATTAATTGCGTGTCACAAAATATGGGAATCAATTTAACTAAGGGACCATTGTGAAAATTCCATTACGTTAAGATACTTTCTTTCACCGTTACTGTAACTGTTACGCGTAACTGTGATTATTAAAGTTAAAGCAATTAAAGTAAATTGGACAATAATAATGTGTTAAATCTAGTTATTTTAACATAAGACTTGGTGAATTTATTTTCTATATAGTTCTTATAAAAATCATAACTGCAATTTTATTTTACGGATTTAGTAAAAGAAAGATAAAATATAATGCAATAGGACTTCGACTATATTGCCTGTAAAATCTAATGTGTTTCTCATCCTAATTGCAAGAGAATTAGCTATTTATATTATTTGTTTCTTTTATACTTACACATTTAGACCCGATAAATAAAATTGGCAGTTTTTAAACTTGCATAATTATTAAACTATAAATAATACTTTTTTATGAAAGTTATAAGATTTTTTAAAACCTATTTAACAGTTTCTTTTAGTATATTTTTATTGCATTACTGGATAAGTTGTTTTGTTAGAACTGTTTAAAACCTCTTCATAATTGTATACCGTGTCAATATAGTATGGCGGGAAATCGAATGCATTCATTATATATAGTGATTATTACAATTACAGAAAATTGCCAACCTTTTGGTACAAGAAATAAAGTATATTTAAGTCAGTAGATAATTAACTTTAAACTGAAAAATATTATATTTGATCAATTTTGCATTTGCATATAATGAAAAATGCTTGAAAAATTCAATTTGAACTCTTGGTACTCTTACTAAACTAGATACCGAACATACATAATGGATTACAATGAACATTCTGCCCAATGCTGTATTAGTTTGGACGTCCATACAATTATGAAATTCGTTATACCTTTGTTACAATCAATGCATTTTTAATAAAGTACAATAATTCTCCACCTACTAACACTATTCGTTGATTTTTAATAAGTTTATTGATTTGTTATTATGTCTTAATATGTCCAGTAATGCAATTTTATAAGCTCGAAAATATTGATAATATTCGTTCCAAACGAAATTGTCAAATTGGAAAAGTTGCTTGAAAAAATAAATTGGCTAATAAATGGTTAAATATTTTCGACAGACTTTTTATATATCTGTTTACCTTAAGTAGGTCGGTAAGTTTACTGAAGCCTTGTTTCTGGCTGTTTTTATATTAATCATGTTATTGTAGTTAGTATCGCTTCTCAATTACTGAATATATTTTGTGTAATTAAATCACTTTGTTTTATTTCAACAGATCAGCGGCGCCATTGGCAAATTAGTCTGTCTAATCTTAGACCGATCCTAATCGGTGTACTGACAATAGGAGTGTAGACGTTCTTTTTTATATTTTTATTTTATAGGTATACATGAAATATATATTAAAAGTATTATCTTTCCCGCGAAAGCTTCATCTTCTGTCATGATGTCACTATGACGTTTTGCCCCTCCAAAAAATAATATCGTTTCATGAATGCATAAGGTATAATTATACAGCGCGCACAAACAGCGCGCAGTGCGTATTTCAATCACGCGCTGTTTGCGGTCACTTGATAACGAACATAAATTTTTTTTTTTTCATCATTAATTTAAGCAATATTATAAATATAATAAACATAAAAGGGTAATTATCAGTAATAGTATATTAAAAACTACCAGATAAAAATGTATTTATTTTCGTTTACTGTCTTGACTCATGTTGATTTATCAGTCATTCAGCGCCTCAATTTGAAAGATCGGTTGGCAGTAGAGCCACTGAGAATGGACTTCTTAATAATTGAGTTCGTACATAGATTTGTATGACAATTCTTGAATATGAAGTTATTAACATCATCAGTCTTAATGTCCCCACTAATCGAGCACAGGCCTTCCCTATGAATGGGATCAAATAGAGAGAACAGGCCTTATTCCACCATGCGAGCCCAGTACAGATTACAGTACAGTGTGTTTACGACCGCAGAAGCAGCCAGGACCAACGGCTTATCGTGCGTTCCGTGAACGTGAGTTAATAAAATGTTACCAAGCACAGTAATTTGCTAAAAAGGTAAATTTTCTCAAATTTATTTTAAACCATTCCAAAATCATGTAGCTCGTGACAAACATGTTTATTATCATGTGATCAAATAGTTACCATAAAATAAAATTTCTACACCATTACCGCCGTTAATATATCACGTTACAAAAATAACTGTTACTGCACTTATACATCGCTCACCGTCCTTAATATGCCGGCATAGAACGGTGCCGGAACAGCCGGATTATAATTTGAACCGTACCTATGGATTACAGCGATGTTCCCTCTTTGGAATATAGCTTCTAAAGATGCTCTCAATAAAGCTGCTTGTACCAAATCAGCGTTGAAATTAGTGCCTTCTTTGTTTTTCACGTAATAACTGATATCCATCTGGGGATTTAATGGCACAATGGGTTTTATTACGTCACGGTAATACGTGTGGGGTTTATAGACGTTTCGTCGACGTCTGAAATGTTTTGGAAAGTGCTCATGGTTCGGTATAAACGCTTCGAAATGCTTTACGTGTGTCGGAACTGGAGGAAGAATTTTCTTTGCGTACGCTTTCACTAAAGCCGATTTAACCGTTTTAATTTTCTCTGCTACATTATGAACGACAGCTTTGACTTTATGTAAAGGTGGCGGTACGTGTATTTCATTGTTTTTTATGAACACCTCACGTTTCTGAATGTGCTTGGTTTGCAAATCGTTTTTCACATCAAAATTCTCAGATTCCTTTAACAAACCGTTTGGTTTCTTTAGATTGGAATATTCCCAGACCTTTTGTTTTACGTAATATTTCATCACCTTCACTAAAGGATTAGTTTCATCTGAAACGGATCGTTTATTAACGGATTTGTGAAACGTCCATGTTGGCGGCAAAAAATCTCGATTGTCTGTGGATGTCGCCTCTAGTATTTCCGATTTTAGGGCGGGTCTGGAAGTATCATCACTTGATTTTGGTGGAATATTTGACGATTTAGATGGTGATACTGCCGTAGGCGTTGACGAAGACTGGCCTAAAGAATAAAGTAAAATACATAAAATAATAAAAAAAATATGCCTAAATTGTTGGAAATTAAATTTTTTCGTGTTTTATAGAATATATACAGCACCTAAAGTTAACAATGTAATTTACTTCGATATACCTTGATCTTGATCGTTAACAATTAAGTTCAAAGTGGAAATCGCAATGTGCTGTGTATTTATCATTGTGTGTAAAAAAATAAGTATCAAACTACGAGATAGCAATACTTGAAAAGTTGATAAAGCAAATAATATATGAAATGATGAAACAATTAATATTATTCTTTCTCTCACCCGCGCTGCTTAACGCTGCCATTATTTCCGCTAAAGATGGAGGATTGGGGAAAGCACATCGCTCAGTAGCGGGTACCTTTGAATCTTCCTTCAAACACTTCAGTAAATCTTGTTTCATCTCATCTGTTATGTTTAAGGGATTGGCGAGTTGTGGGGTAGGCGGTGCTGTAATATTATTTAGCGCTTCGGTGAAATGAAACTAAGAATTTCATTTAAATTATTTAAAATATTAATTAATTATACTATAGTTAAAATATATAAGGTCCTTACATATGTATTAGATTTATATATTGTCTTATTAAGTGTTGTTTTATAAATTGTCGTACTGGCCACTATTTCTGTCGTAAGCCAAAAATTTCTCCTCCTCGGTTGGGTATTCCAAATTCAAATTTATACAGCCATTTACACATGTATTTGTGTTTCGTTAGGCGACATTCATTTGTTTTTTTTTTTCTTCTGTTTGTCCTATTTACGTTACACAGTAAAAAAATGGAAAACTTGAAATATCGTGTTATTTACGAGTACGAGTTCTACCTTGGTACCAGAGTTGCGGAAACGGCTCGAAGGGTTAATGATGTGTATGGCAGTTATGTCGCATAAGAAAACACAGTGCGTTTTTGACTCCAACCTTTTCGTTCTGGAAATTTCGACCTGCAGAACAAGCCCCGTGGTCGGCTGAAGACCTAAGTTAATAATGAAGAATTGAAGGCTATTGTGGAAGCGGATCCATCGTAAACCACGTCCGAGTTAGTTGCAGGCTGCGGTGTTAGTGATAAAACTGTTTTAATCCACTTGAAGCAAATTGATTAAAAAGCTTGAAAGGATAAAAAGCCTCACGAATTGAGTGAAGCAAACCGGCAAACGCGCTTCGACTGCTGCGTTATATTACTTAACCGGCACAATAATGAAGAGTTTTTAAATCGAATCATTACCTGTGATGAAAAGTGGATTCTCTACGATAATCGGAAGCCCTCATCGCAATGGTTGGACCCTGGCATGGCAGCCAAATCCTACTCCAAGCGAAAATTGACCCCAAAAAAGTTACTTGTAAGCGTTTGGTGGACTAGTGCCGGTGTCGTTCATTTCAGTTTTCTCAAATCTGGCCAGACGATTACGGCAGACGTCTATCGTAACTAGTTGTTAAACAACCGAGGCTGGTCAATGGCTCTATGCTATACGTCTGCAACTTCACGACAACGCTAGACCACACATTGCACAACAGGTGGCTACCAAATTAGAAGAGCTTCAATTGGAATGTCTAAGACATACACCGTACTCCCCGGACCTTGCTCCAACAGATTACCATTTTTTTCCAAGTTTGGATAACTTGAAGGGGAAAAAACTCCGCTGGGGCAGTGCAAATGCATAACAATGGTTTATACTTTGATTAAATAAATATATGTATTATATTAAAAAATATTCGACTTTTTGTTCCTCCCATCCCAAACACCAATTTCATATGTAAGGACCTAATAAATTTGAACATTTATGTTCCTGACAAGTGTTTGACAAGGAATCATAATGCTTCAAAGGAGTTTGGTTTAATGCAGTTTTTTTAATGCACACTTCTGAGGATAGAATGTATTATATTTGAAGTAAGAATATAATTTTAAAGATGCTTATATAAGTGCTAAACATAATTATTACGAAGAATCTCTACCTGAGAAGTTAATATATGAAATCTCACAAAAAAAACCAACTCACGAATTCTATTGGTTTTAACCGGGATGTATCTCTCAGGGTTGGGCTCGTACCCGGTGAGATGCGCTAGCTTGTCTAGGTACCACGCGAGACGTAACAACAGTTCATTCTCCTCCATGCTCGCATCCTATTAAGTAAAACGAAAATCTACAATATTTATTTGTTTTTCATTGATATTTTTGTATTTGTTGTTATCTATATTTGCCTGGGTGAAAGCTATAAACTGTTGCTTTCCCTGTGTAAGTTACGTTGTTATAATTATTTTGTAACTTTGTTTAGTTTATGTGCTACTCTTGCGGTGTTATAATTATGTATGTGTAGCAACTTGTTGGCGCACGTGGCTACTCACTCTGGCTCCTGCAGATGCAAGATATACCGATATTTCACATATCTTGACGTTACCATGTCCCTTTGGCCTTAAAACGACCGTACATCGAACGACGACATCATGAATTACTTTACTCAAATACAGCGTCAATAGTTACGGTAAGATTTTTATTTTATAGTCTACAGACCGACAAACTGAAATAATCTATCTAATTCTATTTCACAAACTTGCTGATTACTAATCTATAAAATAAAATAATCTAATATTATTGTACAAAACATATTCATTGCAATAACGGTATTTTTTTCTACTTCGTTGCCCTGATCGTTGTTTTACAGGACATAAAACTAATCTCGTTTAAACGGATATATTCCAAGTGGTGTAACTAGAGTGTTTAGCTATGAAGATGATGTCCGGATTTTAGGGCAAAATATTCCACCTTATAAAATGCCATAGTTTTAGGGACGTATCGATGATGAATGAATAAAAAAATCCAGTTTCCAAATTACCTTGCTGTATTTGGCAGTGTAGGCGACATCTTGCAGTCGCCTTGTTGCCCACAGCGCGAGGTCTACAAGTCGTCGTACGTGTTCGCTCGCTTCTGTCGCACGTCGACACGACTGTTGAAAGTCGCGCCATCCAGTAAAGTTTCCGATGCTGAGAGGCGAGGTAATATTTGGAGGGAAATCCTGAGGATTATTTAAATGTTTTTTTTTTTTTGTCGGATTTGCGAAATTTTGAATTGAATTATACAGATATACGAGCAGTTAGAGCTCACTATTGTTTAATAAATTGGAAATGATAATACCTACAAATATATGTAATAAAAAACCGTATCTACCTAACAAAATTACGTTTTAACTAAAACTTGTATTTTAATCACATAATTGCTTTGAAATTGGTGCATCCCGTCAATTACTAAGAAAGGATATATTGGTATTTTGTAAGTTTCATAACGTAAGTAGGTATCTATAAAAGATAATATTGCAAATTTTGACCAAAACTGATATCATATTAATAATATCTAAAAGTGTTCATGTAATGTAAATATTAAGCAAAGAAATAAAAGTACCGCTGTGAAATTCCTTCGAGAACAGTTCTCCAGCTCCTGCATGTAGTTTTCGATTGACAACCGCAAACCGTCTAGATAAACCGATCCATGCTCGAGGACACCGTGACTAACCTGATAACGTCACTTGTTATTATATGTTACTATATATAATATAATACTATACTAGAAACACACATTTGAAACTATTTTCAAAGATAAGTTGCCCGGAAGAGATCGCTTAAGAGATGCCGAGTGTTAAGGCTACACTTATTGCATTTTTCAAGTGTAGGATACGTCTGAAAATCTATTAAAAACATTATTACCGGATTACCCTCACGCCTCAACTAAAATCAGAAGACGACACCCGCCAGTTCTCCAGTCTCCTCGTGACTACGGCTGCTGTACCGTAGCCGAAACGTCGAGGTAAATTAAGTTTTAAAAAATGCACGACCAAGACCCAATTACATATAATTATAATGTATACAAATCGTGTGAGTTTAAAAATATATATTCTTATTAAAGAGTTTTTCTTATTTTTCATTCTTCGTAAAAAGTTATAAAATAGTTTGTGAAAATATTACTTACCTTTCTTACCATATACTCCCCGTGATTATATGCTTTTGCGTACACATTGTCTTTAGTGTCATATTCTTCCTTGGTTTCGTAAAAATGTTTTTCCTTTAGTTTGTTATAATTAATTTCGTCTTGTGGTCCCCTGTCGGTGTTATACAAACTATCTCCGTTAATATTATCAAAAAAAGTTTGATTTTCATCCAACTTCGGGACGTGGTCGTCAAATTTTGAATACTTTTCGAAATAAAACCTTCTCACTTCCGGCAAATCTATAGTCCACGGAACTACGTCCGTGACGAAAATCACAGGTACCAATAACGTAATCACTGCTCTAGTGAACATTTTCCCGCTCGTTTTTTGAATAAATTTCAAAATAGTAGTAGAAACATTTGAAATTTTCTATGCGTGTGGAGGTATTTCGTAACTACTTAAGAAAAAAATAGTAAGCGTAAAGAAACACCAATGCAACGTTATTATCTAGAGGAATCACGATTAAAACTGGGATGGGAAATTACCAAACAAACGGATGTGCGATTTTTTACATAATTATTCGTTTCCCGCGGTATGATGTGTATTGTTTCGCATTAACAGGTAGATTTTATACTTCAATAATAAAGGTTACGCTATTCTCGCATAAAAATCAGTAAAACTATAAATTGCTAATGTATTTTTGTTACATGATTTTCATCACGAGTCTAGTCTAGACTATCAAACCAAAACTTCGTTCCACACAGAAATTTGCTTTTTGATATTTTTCACGTTTTAAACGTTAAAAAGTCTACCAAAATCGCTTTTGCGATGAGTTAGGTACTCGTATGTTGGTGTCATTGTTTGACACTAAAAATAAAACAGAATTGAAGACAAACTTCTATTTATACATCAATAAACAACGATATTTATATGTAAATAAATTAGATTTTGAGTAAACCACACAACAGCAAATCTATTAGTCACTACATTTATAAGTTGTTTAAATTTATTATATTTTATCAATTTCGCATTCACAATGTTATACTGAAAAATATACTTAATGAAAAAAAAATGCTAAAAATCCACATGGTCCCTGGCATCCCGAGATGGGATTCGAACCCGGAGCAATCCGGGTGAAAGGTCATGGTTCATTAAGAATATCGTTTAGTTTTATAGACTGTCCATATGCTTAAATCATTAAAACTACGCAACAGATTTTGAATAGTTTTTTATAATAGATAGGGTGATTCAAAAGGAAGGTATTTATGTATAATACTGAAATTTTACATATTATTACAAAGTCTGACGTGCTGTCGTGTGTACATTTGTCACCAATCCAGCATCAGAAGCAAGCAGCTATAAGTGTTTGTAGCCTGATGATGGTTCGTCGTCAACGATTGTACTTTATAAAAAAAGTTAAACAGAAAGATAAGGCTACGATGGAAGCGATATCACTATAAGTATAGTATAAAATAAAGTCGCTTTCTCTGTCCCTATGTATGCTTAAATCTTTAAAACTACTTTTTTCAAAGATAGGGTGATTCAAAAGGAAGGTTTTTATGTATAATACAAGACCACGCGGGCGTAGCCTGCTGGCGGAAAGCTAGTATTTATATAAAATCAAAAGGAAAAGAATTGGTTATCGTGTCGTGATGGCTTAGTGACTATATAAAGGTAATTTTTTGTAGTTAAAATTGATATGGATACGGGTATGATCTCAACTCTAGTTTAAAATGATCGTTTACTGTTTGTTTTCATTTCCTGCCATTGTACTCTTACAAAACCCGGTTACATCACAAGCAGAGTAGTAGATAACAGAGTCAAGGAGAACAAATAATGAACACACCATTGCTACCTGAAATTGGTGCTGGCCAATTCATGGAAGATAATTACGAAGAAAAAAAAATCCCTATAGATAAGCATCTCTCCTGTCGGGAGGGCTAGCCTCTTCGTGATAAAAAATTCTACTGGCACCAACAAGGATAAAAACAAAGATCTGAAACCGCAAACTTAGTCAGCGTTGATCCTAAACTGACGAACTAGTTGCCAGAATTTTTACAAAATTTGTACAGATTCAAAATAATAAAAAAAACATACAATAAGCAGTGTTAAAATATTTTATTATATTATTAATAATACCTATAGTAACTTGCGCGTAACCCTTACCAAGTACATTAGATAAGTTGACGTTACACAATAATTTCATAAAATTAGTCACACGCACATTTTGAATATATATATTATTATATAGGACAAAATAAATGTTGTGACTTATCAGTGGACTATTTAATGACTTCCAGTATAAAGACATGGCGTAATAAAAAAAAAACGCATAAAACAATTACTAGAAATCACTAGATAATTTGCCAGTTTGAAAAAATAGAAGACTAGTGGCTATCTATCTTTTTGTCTCCCTTCTTTCTTAACTATATTTTTAAGCATAATTCTAGCTTTCCACAAAGCTATCTCATCCATGGGAAAAAAATTGAAAAAATTAAATATCAATATAATTTATTCAGTCTAAGCTGTTAGAAGCACTTAAGAATGTCAAAAGCTATGCTATCGGCTCTCTTTTCTTGTATTAATGGCTTATCTACGCGTTTCGCACAATTCGTAAAATTTTACGTACATAGTCAATACAGGGTAGGCATTATTACATAAGAAATGAATTTTGAACAGGAAGTTTTTAAGTATAATTTTTCACTCCCTACGACAGGTCAGCAAACCTGTAACATTGGAGTTAAATGAAGTTTTTCTCCCTATGACGGTATGACGTTTTAGCAATGTTATTTTATAGTACGTCCACATTAAAATTAGAAATTCTAGTAGCCTATACTAAAAAATATAAATAATTTAACAGTAATTTTGTTGCAAGAATAAATTGATTATATCATCCATTAGCTTGCTAACTTAATAACTTGGTAAGGGTTGCTGTATTTTAGTGCAATGATGTGTCTTAGCCCATTCGGGGCCGACCCATCCCACGTCCGGGTGGGGCATCTCCGCCGCTCTTCACGTTCTTTATGGTCTCGTCTATAGACAGGATCTGTGACAAAAATGTGAAGAGAAAATATTAGCAGAAGTAAACAATTCGCGTCTGTTAACTTCATTTGAAGCTACCTTATGCCAAACATTTGAGTATGTTAGTCGGCCTCATGTCTACTATCGTAATCCACACAACCATTTCAGTAATTGGATCCGTATGTTATAATCATTGGCCTACAAATGACATTTTCTCAATATATCTATTCAATGTCCCATGGGACCACGTTCGGTCTGCGATGCGGAACTTAAGCGACTTTAGCAAGGGCCAGTCATTGGATGGATGCCCAAATATTTATTATCTCGAGCTCCTACGTGCTTCGGAAGGCACGTTAAGTCATTGCTACCGGCTGCATCTGCAGTCATTAACACGCACCATCCACATTGGACCCAAGGATCACGTGCGAAAAATAAAATGGAAAATTACTGAAAACTAGTGACAATCATCATCAGCCCTGTAACGTCCCCACTGCAGGGGTTCAGACCTTCTGGATGGTTATGAAGGATGGACCATAGACTAATGAACATGGATCTATTTTGGGCCATGCTCATCATTGGCCCAATACGGATTGGAGCTTAACGTACGCTACGCTCGCGGAGTACTTGGAGATAATTTTTTGGTCACCCATCCCGTGACCGACTCTTGCGAGAGTTGCATAACAAAAACGATCGCGGGCCTCGGCGATTATCCATTACGCCACCTAGCTAACTAAAGGTAATGAAAATTATGACTTCTATTATACCTGCGCGGCGGCCTCGCAGGCGGCTGTGATAGCGTTAATTTTGACAACTGCTGGTTCCCACACGCACGCCTCGAAGTTATCAGCGATATCCTCCTTCTGTATATCGACACCGTACCACACATCACCTATACAATAGAATAACGACATAATTTACTATCAATTACGCGGTCAGTGTAAAAGTTGACTAACTATTATCTCTCAAAAATTCTTATTACATTTTGGGGGCCGTTCTTCGGATCATTCATAATCAAAGAGGTCCCCAAACTGCAATGAGAATTTTGTCTAGACAAGCGTAAATACAACTTGTTTCTTTTACTTTTAGTATCTAAACAATAATGGGATTAACAGCCAGTTGCTCAAACGTCCATTTAATATGTCATTAGTTTAAATTGGCATTACCCATGCAAATTTGACATTCATTAGATGTATAAGTTGTCATTAAACCTTAATGGACCTTTGTGCAACTGACCAAAAGAATATTTGATTTTTTTTATTATGTGAATATTCAAAAAATAATTTTCTTTCAATGGGGTATTTGACACTATTAAAAATAAGTTGCGTATTATGGTCATCCTGTTAGATAATAATCTAATAAAGTTTATTTCTTAGAATCTGCAGATAAAATATGTTCAGCTTTAGTAAAATAACATAATTTTAATGAACGACGAAAACGCCCTTTAATTGGTTATCGGCGCAACCAATAACAGGTTCTGTTTACTGACGTCATACGTAAACCGGAAGTTATGTCAAAACAGTGTTATTAATTAGAGATACGCAAAAGTTTGTATTTATACATACAATTTGTAGCTCACTTTTATAAACAAAACCAGAGTAGATACAAATACAAAACATAAAATTTAACTTCAATTTCCCTTCTGTAATACTATTGTTTACATCGTAAATAAATAGTTGATCAATAGGTTATGTCGCCTTATTTACCGGCATGTGACGTCAAAAATACCACGTGATCAGCGTCGTTACATAGAGCAGCGTGTTTTGGCTTTAAATTTTAACAATTATTTTCATAAAAAATAGAACAATCTGTTCTATTTTTCTCATGAAACAGAGTAGTTATAATGGTATCAAACAACCATTTAAAATAGTTTTCAGAAAAGCGTCAAATACCCTATTTACTATTCTGCATGTTATATATTCTATGAAATAATAATGAAAATCTAACAAAGTATTGTCCATAAAACACATTAGATAAATCTCAGGGAAAATGTGCCCAAATGACTTGTATTCTATTTTAAGTACATTTTAAAATTGGGTCATTGTAGAAAATAGACGATCCTATATTGTCTTGAGTCTGAGTATTGAAACCTTTGTTGTCTCAGATACTGCATCTTAAAATCTGAGCAATGTATGTGATGTTTTTCTAATTTTTATTTTTGTATATCCTATTAGAATCATCTCGACTCACCCTGGTGATGTCTCTGTCTCAGCTTGTTGAGCAAATTGGTGGCATCAAAGCCTGCGTTATCGCACAGTTGCCTCGGAATAGCTTCGAACGCGCGCGCTATACCACCCAACAATAGTTGCTCTTTGCCCGCTACATTCTTGGAATATTCGCGAAGATACTTCGACAGTTCCATGTCGATGGCTCCACCACCTACATATATGCACAGATTATCAACAGGACTGTCAAAAATGTTCAAGTAATTTCAATTTGAGCTTGTTTTAATGGTTATCACAGTGCTAAATATCATGGGACTGATTGATTTTGCAGTCATTTTAATAATTTAAATAATAATAAAATGATTTTCCATCATTTAATAACACTTTTTCGATAAAAGGATATCTGTGAGAGATTTAATATGATCCTATGAAAGTTTGAAAATAATTAACCCCAAATAGTCAAGTAGGCAATACAGGTGTAGACTGTAAACGAGATGTATTTATCTAAAAATTTTTTTATGATATGGGTTAATATACTATTATCGATGTAAAAATAAATATACTCGCTGTCACGTGACCGCAAACAACGCGTGACGTCACTCCCCTTTACCCATATGAGAACTTTAGAATGAAATCTTATGCGTACATAGAACGATATTATTTTTACCCGACTGCGCGACGCAAGGGAGGGTAATGTGTATATCAGTCTATATATGTATGTATGTTTGTATCTATGTGGCGTTCTAGAGACCAAATGCGTAAGCCGATTTTGATGATTCTTACGTCAAGCGATTGTCTTAACCTTGCGAGTGTCACTAAAGACATGACTAATGCAGAAGAGAACGACTCACAGCCGGATTCGTTCTGTTCTGCATTAGAATTTTTGATTTGTTTTTACGCAGTCGGGATTTTTGTTTTTCTTTAAATTATTTATTTTTTTAGAAGATGGCGCTTACGCGTATGTATTTTTAGATTTAAAATTATTATATATATACAGAAATATTTCATGTATATCTAAAAAAAAATATATACAAAAGGTAGACGACTTTTTTTGTGTAATTTACATGACCCCTACTTAACTATATGTCTCACTAACTCACCAGCAACGACAGCGTCGTTCTTGATAGTTCTGCGCACTATCATTATAGCGTCGTGTAACGAACGTTCAGTCTCCTCCAGGAACTGTTCAGCGCCACCGCGCAGAATCAAAGTACAAGTCTTCGCGCCTGGACATCCTGTGTAATGATAGAACATTAAATACTTTAATCATTACACAATCGACGACGTCTACAAATAACTATTTATAATTACGGCGAGTGCACAGTAAATATAAAACTATATTCTTAACTCTATGATGCCCGTGAAATGCTATTACACTATTTTATATAATGTAACAAGCATATTTAAAAAAATAGATAAAAACTTAATTGACAGCGGCCTCATGTCTACTATCGTAATCCACACAACCATTTCAGTAATTGGATCCGTATATTATAATCATTGGCCGAATTTAATCACTCAAACACAAATAATATGCGTTATTTTAATTTTAATTTTGTTTCAATTTGTAAACATATTTTTAAACAGCAGTGCTACGGCACGGTCACCGAACAGAGAGAATATCGTACAATGACCCGGCATTACATATCTCTTTCACTCATGCTCTTGCTCTTGCGCTCGCAGGGGCATTTAGCCAGTTTTGTCATAGTAAAGTGAACCTAAAATGTTTATTAAATCTATCGGTAGGCAGAAAGGTCTACAAACGAAATGATAACCGTTAAATGTGGTCTCTATGAAAAATAATACTCTTATATAAAATTATATGTATCAAAGATCTTAAAAAGAAAGTCTTACAATCTGTGAGAATCTAGATCTAGTGTTTATATTTTAATTTCAACTTTTGGTATTTTTGGTTTCGTTGGTAAATATGGATGACATTACAAATTCTATTCTAATTTTCAAGTTATTCTTATACTTTTTATGAGTTCCTGTACATAACAGAAGTTTGGAAAACTATAAATTTATTGTTAGATTAAACTGTGTTTGGACCATTATAATTAATAATAATGTTTCTATTGATTTCTGCTATTCATACCAGTTTATTGACTCATCAATATTTAAAAATTAGACAACCAGGCTTCATACTAAAATACTGTAAGCATTTAAACTAATTGCTATATTAAAATATCACTTAAGCTCACCATTCGGAGAGTATTGTTTGTCATAGCCTGGAAGGAAAGGAATTATTAAGGATAAGGAAAGGAATTTCAATGATAAGGATAGGATCTTAAGGTTAAAGATCTAAAGGGATAGTACCTACTGACTTTCCGCCAGCGGATTCACCCGCGTGGTTTACATAACTTGACAGTACATTTATACCAAGGGAATCATTTAGTTTGATAAAAAGTAGCCTGTATGTTAATACAGGCTTGTAATTATCCATTTATCAAAATTTTATTATCTATCATGATATATGTACACACAGGTGCACGTCAGATTATACATTGTCGACGTTGTGAAGACCGCGCTTTGTATAGAACTGCCCTACTCAGTACTATTCAATAGTTCTACATCAGTACTTAATAAGCTCTATTAAAGAGACCTAATGTCCAGAAAAAGTTTAGATGGTGATCAAAAAGTATTCCTGTATCGGAATATGAGAATTATTAGATCTGTCGTAAATTGTCCAATTTTTATGTTTGAATGTAATTGTGATAGATTTAAAAATTAATTAACGAACAAAACTTCGTACGCTATATCAGTCGAAAATTACTGTAATAATAATAATAAAAAACAAATTGGTATGGTACAATGAAATTAAATAACTTACCAGTGAACAGGTTATATCGTTCGCCGCCCACTTGTCTCTCTGTGAAGTGTTTGCAGTGCCCCAAAGCGTCAGGTTGCAAATCACGTACTGATGTCAATACAGCACCGCCGCACGCGCGTTGTGTTCTACGCATATCTTCTTCTGGTACACGGCCCGCGCAAAACATGTTGCTAAAACGTTTAAAAAACAATTATTATTAATAACGCGTCATCATTTTATTATTTAAGACGATTTGTCAGTTTTTCACCTACTTTTATAAGAAAAAGTAAGAATTTCGCCGCCAGCTTCTCCTATTTTTAATATATTATTAGTTTATAAACTAAAATAAAAATTTATATTTCTATTTTCTTAGATTTTAAGAAATTAGTCAAGGAAAATCACTCTTTTTCAAGATACAAAGAAACAAAGTATATATTTTTTATGAGACCTTATTCATGACAACAAACACTTGTATGATATATCACCTTACATAATATATCACCTTACATTAGATGTACTTATTTATTCTGATGCTAAACCTTATTAATAGCACTGATTGAGAATAAACAGATGAGATTTTGTACTTTATTCAAATAAAAACTTTATCAGTATACCATCAATATTACGTCATTATTTTTATCGATATCTTTGCGTACTCACCGATCAGCGAAATATTGAGTGGCGACATCACCAATGGGCAATTTGCTGAGCACAACGTTAGCACCGCTAGCGTGTAACACCGCTAATTTCTCGTACAATATCTGCCATTCGGCGTCAACCACTTTCTGGTACTCTTTCACGTTGTCCACTCGGACCTGAGCGTAATAACGACGTTAGATACATATTTCTCACCTTTTTTAAATTACATTTAATATATCCCTGTACTCTATCTCATCTAAACTTACTCACTTCTTAATTCAATTTCTACAAATCAATAGCATTAGTAGTATCTAAATTAAAGATCAAATTTAAAAATGAGCAAATTTTGGGCATCTATCATTTGCTGATCTTATTATTATACCCTGAATATTATTGATCTAATTATTTCTACGACATATTAACTTCAACATCCTATTTTAAAGATATGGTCACCCATACTATTCCAAACCACACCCAAACATCCTTGCATATGATTGATCTCACCTCTGCATTGTCCCTCTCGGCTTTCAGCTCCAACTCAATGTTGAGAAGTGCCAACTTGCAGTCATCATAACTCTTGGGTTGCATCTCAAAGCCGGCGTACGAGAATGTCTTCTTGAACGCCACTCCAGCTACCAGGAACGAATCTTCTAGAGCTCCGCCAGATACTTTCTTGATACCTAAGGAAAAATGAAAATGATATGTGAGAAAAACAAAAAGTCACTTATTATAATCAATACAGCGTAAGTTTAAAGTATTTAGATTGATGAACTTATCATTTAATTAATAACCTACAAAAAACCTCCGCCCGACTTTAATAGCATTTACTTGAATAAGTCGCTTTTGGAATAAGTATTATGTATCTTTTTATAAAAGTTTGAAGTCGGTTCTACTTTTTATGTCATTGGAAATTTCAAATTCATTATTAAATATCATAGAAAGTTCCTACAGGAAGAACTATATATCTTTAAAAAGTACACTCATATAAATAACAATATACTAGCTGTTTTCCCGTGACGTCTTCCACATAAATTATAGCTAATGTCAGCCGTCTATAATGAAATTTACCAAAAAAATTTTGAAATCGGTTTTGATGCAAACAAACAAGACTTAAGTACATTATATAACATAACTACTACTTACCGATCATATCCAGTGGTAATAATGGAGCATCCAGCGATAGTACAGCATCCACCACCATTTTGGAGAAGTGATCCTTCTGCTGATGGATCAATTTTGAGGACATCGCTGTAGCAGCGCACTTGCGGAGTAACTCCCTATATAATATTAGACAGACAATTTGATTTCTAGACTACAACCAAATATTATCGCAGTTTAAAAACATTTGGGTAAGCAGTTATTAATGGACAGTGAAATCACAACTACGATTTTTATGCCAGTATATAGAGGTGATTGTGATAAAACTATACTTGGTTAAGGCCCGTTTTATGTCACGAGTATAAAATGTAATATAAAGTACGCAATTAACATTACACCAGAACTTCCCTCGGGAATCACTAGGGTTGTCAGATGGTCGGGAATCGACTGGATTATCCCAACATTTCGGATGATGTCCTGAGTTCAAAGAAAAGAGGAAATGTCCCGATAATAGGAAAAGTTAAATAATTAATAAAAACCAATTAATCAACAGATTCCTCGGCGTACTACAGTCATCTACGCAAAACTTCCGATTTTTGTCCCGACTATGTCCCAAAATCTATATCAGGCAACCCTAGGGATAGCCAATCGCTTTTAGAGTACGAATTTGTGTTATTTGATGCGATGCTGTATTTAAGATATCTATTTTAATCAAAGGTTTAAAAAAATATATATTAATGTGCTACCTCTGTTCCTCTGGTGATTTGTTGTCGATCTTGACAGATAAACTTTTCACGGCATCCACAGCAAGTTTCGCCGCGGTACGCACAGCGCGCACTATCACACGAGGATGTACACCTAATACCCATAAAAATATTAGTTATCACTGGAGAAAATAAACGAAAAAATCTAGGGTGTCAGACATGAAGGTTTTGATATTTATGTTTTGTAAATCAGACTACTCTCTCAACCAAACTTCAGCATTCAGCATTATGTTTTAAGAACAATCAATCGATCACATTTCGAACCGTCACGTTACATTTCAATAAACATGATTATTGGTTGCACTCACAAAAAGACGTTGATATTTAATTATTGAAATGGAACGTCACACAATGCTTCGTTTTAGCTGCCCGCATTTTTTTTTATTTTAATCACACAGATTATATGATTATTTTTGTAATATTGAAACCTCATAAACAATATAATGGTCCACATGTTCATTCAGAAATTGGATCCGTTGTTATAATCATCGGTTTCATACTAATATAATATAACCAGTATAATACTAATATAACACAGTCTTTATTTACATGCAAACATGCTTATTCCTATGAAACGGAAAGTGATTTTTTACGGAGTGCAACGGCGCGGTTCGTCTACACCAGTGATTCCCTAAGTGGTCCAGGTGGACCCCCAGGGGTCCACGAGGGATTCAACGGGGTTCTACGGAACTCGACGGCGACGCCAATTTCCATCGTTATGTCTTCACATTTTGGACAAATTTTGGGAATATGGTAAAAATGTAGCAGCAGGGGGTCCACCGAAACTAGTAATTTTTTTAAAACGGTCTACGAGAACAAATTATTTGGGAACCTCTGGTCTACACCTTACTAGATGGCGTTAAACGCCAATGAATCGCGCTAACACTGTCGAAACTACGTGAGTCATATAGGTATACTTCAGGTCGGCAAGAAAGGGATGCTTACCAGTTATAAAACTTTTTGGTAATGCCTCGAATAAACCGGTAGGGTTGAGACAAACCTGAAATATTTTAGATTTGGTATCAACCCCTATAAATATGCGGTGTACCCATCCCGGCATGACTTCTTTTTAGTGACTAGTGAACCGAAAGCGAAACTCCAAGCGAATATTAGTGAAGTCAAAACTATCCGGATGATCTAATTGTGTTGTAGTGTTCTTAGTGACGTGAAATAGTAAAGTTGAAGTGTGAATTTTGTAATTGAATTATATTTGTAATTTTATTGTGTTAAATAAAGCCGGATTATGAACTATTATTGGTGTTAATTTTTATCCCCAACCTTAAGCCGTAATAATATCAACTGACCTTCTTCAACAAATGGCTTCAACCTCTTCAGTAACTCGCCAGCGAGTATGACCACTGAAGTAGTTCCGTCGCCGACCTGATAATAACCATATGCATTTAATATTAGAACTCAATATCGCAGTAATTATATTAGCGACCAGTATGGCAACTAGAGCAATTTCTGTATAAAAATAACCCGGTCAAGAGCTAATCGAACTCGCACACGAAGGGTTCCGTACCGGACGTTTGTTGTATGCTGCCCCTAAAATGTTTGTGTAATTTTAATTGAATTGTTCATTTTTAAAGTTACTGTATAAATACATATTCTGTAAATATTTCAAGTCTACCTGTTGTCATTATTAATACTGAGCAAAAAAAATCACATTTGCTGTATGGGAGTCCCCTTAAATAATTATTTTATTCTGGTTTTTAGTATTTCTTGTTAAGGAGGCAACAGAAATACAGCATCTTTGAAAATTTCAACTGTCTAACTTTTATGGTTCATCTCATGACCTGGTGGCAGGCAGACAAACGAGACAGCTTAGTAATGGTTCTCGTTTTACCCTTTGAGTACGGAACCCTGAAGGATTCACTGCCTCCTGCCCCCGTTGGGAAGGTGGTTCCATACCCCTACAGTTGAGAGAAAAAAAAAATCAAGAGAAGTTTAAGCTTAACCCACTTGCATTATCAATGTGTACATTAGCATCCTGCATTGGATCATTCGCTAAGCAGCTAAATACATTTATACTGTATCCATACACCCTAAAAATACCCATGCCGTATCGAACCGTTAGCCTTGTCGTTAGGCTAACGCTAAGGCTAAAATTAAATAAATAAAAGTGTGGGAAAATATGGTATATATAAAAGATTTAATTTACCTCAGCATCTTGAGATTTGGCGATGTCAACAAGTGTTTTTGCAGCAGGATGTACAATGTCCAACAACTGAAAACAAATAAATATAACTTTCAAATTCAAATCATAGATGCGAGTTTCTGAAAGAAAAATATCTGTACAGAAGGCTAACATAATAAAACCTATAAGGTTACAATTTCATTCTTATCTGAAAATAATACTGCAAAGAGAAGAATACACAGAAAGTATAACTATTATATCATTCTTCCATATAATTAAGTTATTGCAATCTGAATGAAATAAGTTGGATATTAAAAAAGGGAGCTACCTAGGTCTTGAGCTAAGATATGATAGATATTATGTGTGTATTGTTTGTATATTTACATAACCCCTGGAAAGATTTGAAAAATTATTGAACTATTAGAAACCAATCTTCAAAAATGTTAGAAATTTGATGTACCTTCATGATTGTAGCACCATCATTGGATATGACTGCCTTTCCACTGTGATCGACAATAAGCTTGTCCATACCACGTGGACCCAGAGTAGTGCGCACCTAGCAAAAGAGATTTGGAATCACCTTATAAATACATACATTTTCCTGTGATTTTTATAACTTACCCTAATATTTGCCATTTGTAAAATATACAAAAAAGTGTAATGGTTAAAAATATTCAACAAGCTCAACTTTTATACAAATTATATTATGGAACTTAAAAATAATATTATAAATTTCTCTATCTACACCATCTTCATAGTAGCTTTACAACTATTATTGATTAAAAAAAAATTGAACATTAATGGAATCAAATTAAAGTGAATTTACAATATCATTACATTGAGTACTACTCTAACAACTGAATTAATATAATACAAGTGATTTGTAATTGTATATAATCCAATATAACATAGCTGACAACCCATCTCTATAATCATTCTGGGGCCTTTATCTCTGTTTGGTGGTATTCATGTGAATGATGATCATTATTGGTGGTTTACGAACACAAATGTATGAGTAATATTCATTAGCAGTTACTATTTCATATATATGAGAATTTCGTACCAGAAACCAAACATTTTATTAACCTTAAGTGAACATCAATTGGCTATTTGACAGTGTTCAGAACAGTTTTGATAAGCATTTAAAAGAAGTTAACATTAAAATCGTTTAACATATTTCATTCTTTGAAAATTCGTTTACTGGTAATCCAAGGTGACTTTAAAATAGTAGAAATTTAAAATAGTATTGTTTTAATGGCTAATTTTATGTCACTACACCTGTGTAAATTATAGGCTATTAAAGATATTATAACAAGGAACCACTTCATTGTTGTTTACATAAATAGACTTTAAAAGTAATTTAGCAATTAGAAAAAATATTTTAGCATTAGAATCCTACATTATCCCTGATGAACATAGGCAATTGAATATTATCAAAAACTCTTTTTCACATAGCATGGGTTATTTGGGATTTGGAGTTTTAGTGAAGAAGTAATAAATAAAATATATACAAAAACTTGATATTATTGTGGTTTGTGGTTATGTATTAAACAGGACTTGTGAAAAATATTTATTCATTAACTAGACGAACCAGAGTCAGAAAAATATAAAAAATTAATATAGTTAAATTTGATTGTAACAGCAACAACAATTAAAAAATTGTCAAATGATTACCATATACAATTTCCATTAATACAATTTTATTGATGCAATCCCTATTAAAAAACCATTAAAATTTTCTTAACAAAGATTTATATTTTAAACTTCACATGGCTAGATTTCAGTAGTTATGGCTATTTTAAAAATTTGTTTTATTGTGCTGGTTTAAATAAATATCTAATTTGTATACAGTCAAACTGCTTTTTATAACAATAGTTATTAATTATTTGGAAATACAAATCACTTGAAATAACAAATGTCACCATACCCATGCTGTGTGAAACAGACCCATAGGCAGAGCCTAGTTTTAGATAATTATGCTGCAAATAACAAATTAATTGAAGACAAAAATTGTAAATTTGTTACACCCAGCTCTCCAATTCATTACCCATACACTTATATATATATACTTAAATAGTAGTTAAATTACTTAAAAAAAGTACTTACAGCATCAACTACAAGCTGACACGCATTGATGTTGGAGATAAGCTGTGGCTTACCCTGCGACTGGTCCGTCCCCTCCTTCAGTACGAGGATTTGAGGTTGCTATAGAAACACAATGACATTTAGTTATTTTGTATAGATACTGCACTGTCTGCACAATCATGGAAATCTCTTTTTAATCTTGTATCTGTTGTTGCAATTATTAGCAATGCAGGAGAGTGGCAAGGGTATCAGTTACTACTTGACTAGGCAGGGTTTTATTAATTCATAACTAAAATTAAATTAAATATAGATTGAGCAGCTTCCTACTCTTGTAGAATAAATTTGAATCGTATTTTATGATGAAATAATAAAACAATTCCTGCCTCTGTGAGACTATCTGATCTCTATCTAGTAAATATATAATATCATACCTGATAGGTATACAAATCCTTATCAATATCCTGTATAAAATTGCTAAAATTCGAATCATTTGATTGGGGTTGGGGACAAGTCTCATATACATACTTTTATTATATAATTTATAACACAAACGATCTCCAAGGCTTGTGTGACTCACTCTGGTATGAAAGTAAATAAATGAAATTGTTGGAAAATAAATACGTTTATGTTAAAATGTTTGATTTAGAAAAAAAAAAAGAAAATAATGTCTCAAAGTACATATTATAGTTATAGTCGACATTTTCTATGAATTAGAAAAACAGTTGTTGACAAATATTTTTTAAATAAATTACAGAATAAAATACTGCCGGCTTTGAAATTCATAAAATATTTAAGTCAGGATATACGAATTTTAACAATAACCGTACAAAGAAAACATTAACAATATAAATTAAATCCACTTCAATTATATAGAACTTAACTAAAGTAGGTTAAAGATATTTTTATTATAATTTACACAAAACATAAAGCCCGAGTCCTGAAATAACTGTGTGATGCAATAATTTACATACTCAGGATTACGTTAAATAAACAAAATTATACAATAAGTGAAAGATTTCATTGATATTACAGAATTATTTACCATTTTGGCTTTGAAACAATCCGGAACCGTCTACCTACAAACACAATGACACTGACATTTGTGGCCAGTGTTGCCAACAAGAGTAACATAGCTAAAAGGCTGTTTGCCAAAATTATGCTAAGGCTTTGTAATTTGAGCTAAAAATTATGCTAAAAATATTAGATGTCAAATAAAACGTCATTTAATTTAAAATATAATTTTTGTGGTATATTCATAGATTATTATTCCTAAGATAATGTGTTACTATGTTACTATTCTATGCTATACTAGATATACTCATTGTTGTTTATGACAGCGTAATAATTGACTTATATTTTTCCATATAAAATGTATCGTTACTTATAAAGTTGAATTAAACCATTAGTCTCAAATGGTTTGTACCTTTACGTGTCAATTTAATCATCATTATTAACATATTTATGTTATGTTTTAATTGTATTTGTGAAAGTCGAAAACTTTGCCAATGGTTTGCAAAACTAAGACAGAAAATCTTGTACTGACATGAATCGGCAAGAAACTCAACAAAGGCTGCTTTTTTAGGTATCTACTCTAGGTACTTAGTAAATAATATATTTCAATAAAACTGATTTATAGAGTAGGTTGTGTAGGAAGTCAATCTATTATTAACAATATTATTGTAAGAAACAAAAAGCACATACCCACCGTACGAATCAACTTAACACATGGCTCGACGTCCACCATCTACATGCAAGATCAGTAGCAATAGTATAATAACTGTACGTGTCTTTTGATTATAACCTTGCTGTTCGTTTAGAACAGACGTCTTTTGTTGATTGCTAAATGTTTATTAAGATGATTTAATTATGAAAATAAGATTTAATAACTGATCATAGTTTTTTAAAGTCTTAATTTCGAAAGCACAAGTTATTTGCACGTTACACTTTGCACAAACGTCATTTTAGCCAGAAGTCATGTTATTTTGTAAGAATACCTAGTATATTTGATACATATCGGGTAAGTACACACGGTGGAACAGAACGACCGACACTCCCGAGGTTCCTGGAGAGTACTATCTGTCTATAATATGATGTAAAAAAATATATGTCTAGGTAAAATAGTTTCGGAGATATTCAATTACAAAGATTTTGGAAAATAATGAGTGTTTTCAACCCTTGGTCAGCTGTTTTGGGACGTACTAAGGAACAAGTTTTAATCGGTCATTGACTTCTTAATCTCTAAAAACAAAATAAACTACTATTGTGATCTATTTAACGGTTTTTTAATAATTTCTAATTGAAAATCACTAAACGTGCTAAAATTAAGACTAACATTTAATAAATCATTGTAAAAACAACATTTTAATTGTGTTATTTATTATACGCAGAGTGAAGCTATAACGCAAGGGCAGCTTTACGTTTGTAAAGGGAACGCTTACCTCCACCACACCCTACAAACCCTCACGTTGTTACAAGTGCATTTTATAGGCTAAGAGAAAATAGTCCAATCGTCCCACGTACTTCCATAGATGACCAGCGAGGCGACCGATCTAGGCGTGTACCTGTTCAACTGGCTCCAGCTCATTCTGTTGTGGAGGTGCGCCAGGTACTAAACGAAATGTTTGTAGACCAATGGATCGGCCGGTACGGACCACATCGCTAAGCAGCACGCTCTCCTGACCTCACTCCTTTGGACTTTTTTTTATGAATTTGAATGAAATTGAATGAATATCATCAATAAAATCCAAGCATCGCGAGTGACATCTAGTATGATTTCAAGAACGAATTTTTATATTTTAAATACTTCCTCATTGATATTAATTATTGAAAAATAACCAACTGTTTTCAATGAAAATTTGTTTTAAGAACCTTTATCGATTCATTTCATTTAAGGAAAAATGTTAACGTCGCATCTCACAACAGGGTATTTTTAAATTTTTTTAAGTTTCTCAATTCAATCGCAATGTCCTAATAAACCAATGAAAAAATACAAAATTTTTATTTAGTCAGTAAGGGCCATAAAAACATACATATTTAACAGTTTTCAATTTCACACGAAGGAAGATGCTGGACGCTCTTGTTGTTCTGAAGTTATAACGTCATTTGGTTTTGTAAACAAACGCATTTTGATTGTTTTTTTATAAAGATTTTTGTTTTGCTGTTGACTATACATATGTGCAAATAATTCGTATCGAATCAACACTATCGATACTATTTGCGTATCCTTGGCAACACCGGCCGAACCACAGAACATTATGTTCATTGGTCAGATGGGAATGTCAAAGAACAAACCGGTGAATAGTTTGTTTCCCGATTTTGGTAATTACAAAATAATATTTAATGAAAAATATATTTAAACAGGATTATTAGTAATAACGAAAATGACCCGAGAGGTGGATGTGAAGGCTTTGATATCGCATATAGTGCGTGGTGATGGTGCCGATAAATGCAGAATTTGTATGGGGGACACGTCCGAGGGTCAAGTCTATCTTGGAGATACGGTTATGATGGACGGTGAGAGGCCTGTCACCCTTGCAGAGATAGTTGAAGTTATCACAGGAGTTGACGTGAGTTTATTTGACTATCTTACAAGCAACATGATTCGATTTGTGTATTTGTCTAATTATTCTGCAAGAAACGGAACGGCGTCATTCCCGCCTTGACAAACAAAATGGCGGCCGTAATGATAAAAGTACGGATAAATATTTCTTTCGAATCATGTTGTATTACACTTTCAAGGAATTCGGAATAATTTTTATGACCAGTATTATTTTTTTATATAGAAATTATATTTATATATCTTTACGCTATCAATAATATGGCACAGATTCCTTATGGTCCGATAACTATAACATCAAATATTAGACAATTTATGTTTTTTATTACTTAAGTATGGACACGAGGTTATATAGAAGTATTGTTGAACATGATTTGCTTAAATTTTTTAAATAGACAAAAAAAATTGTGGCCCTTTGATTGATACGGTGGTTGCAGGTCTCAGAAGAAGCAGAACTACCGAGTGGGCTGTGCACCACATGTTCGGGCTCAGCAATTGATGCAGCCCATTTTGCCATACTCTGTCGACAGGCAAATTCCTATTGGAATACAACATTGCATCATCTGAATGATTTACCACTGCCTAAAAAATTGCCAGCATTCAGTAAAGCAATTTATGTGAAATTAGATAATGATCATCTTACAGTAATTCATGATTACAAAGTCACAAGTATTGAAGAAAAATTTAAAGACTTATTAAAAAATTATAGGAAACGTAAAAGGATTCGAAAGAAATCCCAATCATTGCATTACAAATGCCCTAATTGTGATAAAAGCTTCAAAAATGCTTGTGAACTGTCACATCATCTGAAATGGTCTAGTGATGACCAAAGAGCATGTTATGTTTGTGCTAAAATAATGTCTAGAGAAGATTTGATAAATCATTTGAGCTTGACACATAAAATTTTACCTTTTGATTGCAAAACATGCCCAGCATTATTTAACTCTAAGATAAAATATATGAAACATCTTAAGGAAGCTCACACCAGTGGTGTATGCACATGTGGTGATTGTGGTCGTACTTTTCAATCTCAATTTGGTTACCATGCCCATCAGCCTGTCCATTTACCAAAGACATGTCCTGCTTGTGATAAGTTGTTCCGCAACCGTAGGTGTTACATTTATCATTTAAAAGTTTGCTGCAAATTGGATAAAATGAGAAGTGGTAGACGTGAAACTAAAAAAATCACTATTGAAGTTAAGAATAAGCTGAGCACGAAAAAAATAAGGGTTGGTTTACGTGGTAGTGCTCAGACTGAATGCATTTGCGATTATTGTGGTAAGAAATTGTCTAGTAAAAAATTCATAAGAGCGCACATTCAACATGTTCACTTGAAAACTACACATAGACCATGTCCTTACTGTGGCAAATCATTAGCTTCTGCCCATATGACAGAGCATATTAAAACCCATGAACTTGTAAGGAAATTTAAATGTGAACATTGTCATTTAGTGCTAAAAACTAGATTAGGTTTTATCCAACATCTACGTCTGCACAGTGGGGAGAAACCATTTGCTTGCAATCAATGTGGAGAGACATTTTCAGCTTCATCAAGAAGATCTCAGCATATTCGTAAAGTCCATGGTGGCGGAATTCAATTGAAACATGCCTGCAAGCTATGCCCAGCTCGATTCCCACTCCCTTTTCGTCTAAGGAAGCACATGGCAGCAGTTCATAATGATAATAGCAATAAGACTGTGTTTGAATGCAATGACTGTCATGAAAAATTCAGCAGTTGTCGTGGGCTGATACACCATGCAAGGAAACATCAAAAAGACACTATTCAACCAACCAACACGAAATTGGTAAAAATAAAATGAATGATTCATTTTTCAGTATTTATATAGGAAAATAGATGAGGGAAATCCAATTCTTCATTTCTGTCTCTCCTCTCATTACTTATCTGCCGTTTACTCATCTGTTGTTTCATTGATGTAGTAAATAATATAAAATATCTTTATTTTTTTTAAATTGTTAACATATTATGTTTAATCTAGTTTACCAATAGTAACTTCTGGCAAATCTAGGCTATAGTAATTTCTATGACCATCACCATACAATTCCGTTCTCAAATCATAAGAGGCTGGCCATTGTTATTGAATGTATCATATTATATAATAAATACCCTATATTAAAATTATTAACTTTGATTATTTGATGAACTTATAAAATAAATTATGCATAATGAAAAAGATACTTGAATACATGATACATACAATCAAGTATCAAAGATACTATCTCATCAAAGTTTACGAGTACTTTGAGTGGAGCATATTATATTAAATACATTCCTAAGGTTGAGACTGCACAGTGACTAAAACCAGGTTTTTTTTGGTTTTCTGCGTGAAAGCTGCGCGAGTTTAAATTCGGTGCGCTGTCAGCCTATATGTGGGAATCCTTAGACTATAATCTTTCTATATACTTATTAGAATTGAATGAATAATCGAAAGTGTCTCAAGATATACAATTAAAATAAACAATTTTCTATCAAATTATAAAGCTGTAAAAAATACATTTTGTTCTATAACGTATACTA